AGTGTATTACAAACATATCTTGTTATGTTAGGGCCTACTGTGACATGGGACGTCAGTTTGTATGTTCTCATCCAAAGGACTGGCCTCCATGTCCCTAAGTGGGACTAGAACCCACAATACAAGGATCAACTCCTTTCAATACTAAATTCTATCCATACTCAACTACATTACCTTTACTTGACTATACTGCAAGAAGAAGTGAGTGTGTTGGGGGCAACTGGCCTTTCAATGAATAGTTCTGTTTGGAAAAGAGAGGGGGAGGCAAGCTGGTCCCCCTCCCCCCAAAAATGCTGTGTGCCTGATAAGATATTCAATTTATTATCAATGTGCAGGTTGAACAAAGTCTCAATATATAAATGGATTCTAGAAGGAATGATTCTCATATTTGGAAAATCAATTATTAGGAAATTGAATTCATGGAAAAATGTCTAATGAGTTCTTTGCATGTGGGGAGTGGCCTGGTTCAGGTAAAATTCTTAAAAATTGGGCATAGATTTGTGGTCTGTGGTCAATCTTGTTATCTGCACCCCAAGACATAATCATAAGGAAGCCTTTAAATTCATTCTCCATTTTAAGGTGTTCTTATGCTATAAGGATCTTTAAAGGTACCTTTTTTTAAAAAAAATTGCAACATGCAACTTGAATATTCTTTAAAAATTGTGGTTTTTGGTATTGTCTTTGATTTGAGGGAGTGCACATTGGGGTATTGGGACAGATTTTATTGGAGATGATAAATTCACTTGAAGTCTACTGAAACGTTTGGTTTCCTTTGAACCTGTTACCAGCTACCAATTTAACAGTTGATAACCATCAAGCCAGGGAAGTTGGTTCATTTGTAAAGTGTCTCTGTGGTTTATTAAGAAATAAAACATTCGGCAGAGGATGCTAGTAACATTAAAACGTTTTATGTAAATAGTGAATCTTTTTCTCATTAGCTTTTTGATTATTGTGCCAAACCCCCCATTACACCCTTGACTAGTTACCATAAACAAGGGGACTGGCAAAGGATTCTGTAATGTAAAGACAATTGCAGATACATGTAGTTTGAGATTGTGTTATTTATTAGTAGCTGCATGTACAAAGGAAGAGCTGCATGATTTAGAACTGTTATATTAATTATGTATTTTTCTAAATTCTGTTAGCGATATCTGATTATCAAGAGTGTGTTTTTTTCTTTGGTAAATTAGAATGATTTCCCCAGTTACTCAGGTTGCCATATTAAAGTGCTTCCAGATTACAAGATCTGTTTGTCTGTCTGCTAATATAAGGTGCATTCAGAGAAACATACATGAATTTGTGGTCACACATGAGACTAGATTATTTATTTGCAGACCAGTATGGAGAAATTCTTGTAAACAAAGGAATTTATAAATATAAATGATCAATGGACTTTTATGTTGCTGCCTGTTTTTATCTTAAGGGACACAACTTTATATGTGAAGAACTTGGGCTAGTTCATATACTGATAAGGAAAATTTCATAGTGTAAAGGTATGTATAGAGTATAAAAATTATACAAAGCCATCTTTTCATTTGCAAGACATTTAAATCATTTTAAAGCCATTAAAACGTTGCCATCTGACAGGTATTAATAAAGTGATTAAATTCGGCATTACCATAACAGATCATGTGTCACATTTCATATCCCCGGAAAACTGACAGACTTGGGCAGTCTCCTCTCCCCGTTACACTGACTGATCATTTATAATTATCATCGAGACTTTTTTTGCTGTGTGTTAATGAACATGGAGGGTTTTATTAGATGCAGTAATTTCTGAAACATAAAACCATTAAATACCCTGTAAACATGGGTCATGGGAAAGGTTTTGTTATGCAGTGTTTGACACAAATCAGGGTTAAGTAATTCCGAAACATTATCCGCAAATCCTTATTTAAATATATATATAGCACTCTATCAGTTGAATTCATCAAAGCTATTGATGATTGTTGATTGAAATTTTTTCTCATAAATCATAAAAATTTCATTATTATACCTTTACACTTAATGTTAACTTTAAATATTATGGGAGGGATAATGGAATAGATTTTACTTTAATTGTCATAAAAGTCTGTCTTATCGGGAAGTGTATCTTTGACAGAAGATTAATTATCATTAGAATTCAAAATGGAGACCACCTATTTTGAACTATATAACTTTATCTAGTTATAGAATGCTAAAATTTAAGATTTTTCACATGTAACTTGAGAAAATAGAGAAAAATGCAAAGTAAGATTTTTTAAAAACACAACTCATAAATAGCCATATGCTATATAACCAAGGTGTAGTCAACTTGCGTGCCAAGTTATATTGAAATCAAATCAAAACTAGGAGGAGTAGTGTTTTTTTTTATTTTTTTATTAAATTTCTGTGAAATTCCTTAAAAACACTATTCCTCCTACAGTTTTGGCAGTATTGTAGATTCCTTATTAGCTCTACTGGTCAGAGACCAGAAGAGCTTATGCGATAGTAATGCGTCCGTCGTCCGTCCGTCTGTCTGTCTGTCTGTGTGTAAACAATTTTTCAAAATGCTACTCCTCCTACAGTTTTGGTCTGATTTCAATAAAACTTGGCACACAATTAGATTACACTAAGATACATAATTCTGTGCATCGGTTTTTGATTTCGATGAATGATGTTGCCATGGTTACTAAAAATATAAATTTCTGTGAAATTCTTTCAAAATGCTACTCTTCCTACAGTTTTGTTCGGATTTCAATATAACTTGGCAACACAAGTAGATTACACTAAGATACATAATTCTGTGCATCGGTTTTTGATTTCGATGAACGATGTTGCCATGGTTACTAAAAATAGAAATTTCTGTGAAATTCCTTTAAAACACTACTCCTCCTACAGTTTTGGTTTGATTTCAGTATAGCTTGGCACACAAGTAGACTACACTAAGATCAGGAGGAGTGGTGTTTTTTTTTATTTTTTTATTAAATTTCTGTGAAATTCCTTAAAAACACTACTCCTCCTACAGTTTTGGTTTGATTTCAATATAACTTGGCACACAAGTAGACTACACTAAGATGCATAACTCTGTGCATCGGTTTTTGATTTTGATTAATGATGTTGCCATGGTTACTAAAAATAGAAATTTTAGTAAAATTCTTTCAAAATGCAACACCTCTTACAGTTTTATTCCGATTTCCTACATTTTTTGAGTTTTATTGATTTGGCACATGTATAAAGCCCTTCGGGCACACAAGTACCAACCCGTTTTACACTAAGATCAAAAAATGATACCTTATTTATATTTACATTTGTGACTTGTTCATACTTTAAATTTTGATTGTTACTTTTAACGTGTGAAACATTATTTTTCAAACCCAATGGCATGTATGTAATCGACCCTTTATGACGTCACAGAGAAATTATGTCGAACGTTTATCCAAACGCACATCTATGACCTCTTGACCCCATACCTGTATTTATACAGTTATAAAAACGCTTGCTTTCAGCAGTGTTATATAAAGGAAAACATTTGCAAATGTAAATATTATAACTTAGCACACAAGTAGACTACACTAAGATACATAATTCTGTGCATCGGTTTTTATTTTGATGAGCTGCAAGGATCATTTTTCTATTTATTGCTGTTTTAAAGTTTCCCAACTGCTACTTTTCTCTTCCTGTGATTTAAATATAAACCAGTAGAGCTACAGTCTCAACAGAGACTTCTTTTTTTTTGTGAGTACTTATTATTGCGAATGGGCTCTTCGACATCAAATCGCAAGAAAATAATTCGCAAATGGACAGTTGATCAAAAGATTTTACATATATTTCAGCACCATAAAATAAAATCAAGGAATTTTATTTCCCGTTTGGTGCTTACGTGATAGTTAATGCAATGCATATGATTAGGAATCTATAGTACACAACTAGTGATAGATTATTAGTTTAGTGTAGGACCTTTTTTGTCACCATCTACTGCGACACGGGACCTCGGTCTCATCCATAGGACTGGTCTTCACGTCCCACACTGAGATTCGAACCCGTGACGTAAGGATCCACACCTTACTTTGCAACTCTAGAGCAGACACGCTAACCACTGTGCCTCAAAGGCGACCATGTTCAATTGCCAATGGCGAGGTAGCAGAGTTGGTGGAGCACCTGACTAGAGGTTCAAGGGGCTAGGGTTTTAATCTGCATTTTACTCCTCTCTCATTGAACAAATGCAAATAAAAAGTGATTATTGTTTAGGGATAAATTCTACTGTTAGTGACCTGAGTCCTCGGGACATATTCTTTATGGTCAATCCCCTGTACTTAAATCTGTTGTAAACTGATAATAGGAATCAGAAGTCACTGTTTGATAGGTTGGTGTCTGACACCCGAGTTTTTATCCGTATTTCCATTTTGTTTGTGTATTGCAGCTGTCCCTTTGTTGGAGAATTGTTTATTAGAACAAACGGAGCCCCGAGTCAGCCAGCTGATGACAGCTAAGTGTGTAATGAATAACATTTAAATATTATTTATGAATGGGCTTTTTAAAATATGATCTGACTGAGGTCACAGGGTATTATTAAGGCAGTCACGGTTGGACTCAGTCGTTTCTCTGTCTGTTTAACAACAGGGCCGGGAAAAAAAGGAAGACACCGACAAAAATCTACCTTTGGGCTGCCGTGAATTCTTACATAAGTTTCGGCTTTAATTGAAGTTTACCTGTGGAGGTAAATCAGTGGTTATTGAAGTGTACTAGTGCAGTAATTACTAGGATTGGTCTCTTTCAATTGTGAGGTTGCAATAAAGGATTGTTGGGTCATGCACATGTATGTTATCGTGTAAAAATATTGGTGTGACAGGATAGAAGTTTACCACTAAGACATGGATTATCATTGCATGTTTCTTTGTGTTTGTTCAATTCAAGACTGGGACAAATTATATCGTAAGTCAAATATTTAATGTCTTGTTCGGGGGAAATTTGCTTTATTAATGTCTGTCTTAGATGTACTGGTGAGGAATTTTTAACAGGTAAAATGCAGTTTTAATTTTTTCCTGTCTTTTGCACAGAGTATCGGACAAAGACACCCTAAATAACTTAAGTAAATACCTGTACACTTAACAAAGGTAAGAGGAACTACCTTAGCACCTAACGAAGTTCTGTGGTTTTTTAATACAGGAAAAAGGTCAGTAAAACCAAATCTTTTCCTGTATCTTTAGAGTTGTTCACTGTGTCAATTCAGCCCAAGAACACAGAGGTTCATGGAGTAAAATTCTGTGTGTCAATATTTTGTTTTTCAACACAGGATTTGAAGGAGTTTAATGTAAGTAGGCAAGGTCAACAAGTCTGTCTGGACATTTTTAAATCTACGCAAAAAATATAAAAGTAATCTTTGACAAAGCAATCCTGTGTCCAATTGGACACTGACTGTGAAAGAGGTTGAGTATCAAATTATGAAGATTATATTTCAAATATGCCATAAAATTCATACCAATGACATAAATGTGGGTTACTCAAAGAACAAGTGATGCTTAAGTAATTTAATTGGCCATGGTTCTTAACTGGAATAACAGACCAAAAGTGGGATTTTACAATAGAAACCGTACATAAGCATTTCTCTTAAGTTGTCCACTTGTATTACAAATTAAATAAATTGGATATTATAGTGTAGATGTGATTTACTGGTTGATTAAATTAGTTGAAGTAGTGTCAATCTAAAAACCTGTAATAATTTTTTCTTGTTTCAGAATACCAGGCAATGGACATCAAACGGCAGACAGACAGTCATCACTAGATTAGAAGAATGCTGCAGAATAAGGAGACGGTCATGATGGAGGACCAGCAGAAATCGGCATACCAAAAGGTAAAGAAAAAAACCCCACTTAACGGGAGTCAGATTTAATTGGACGGAAATGATCGGGTTTCCTATCAGCCATCTGGTGTGGTGTTGTCTTTCAGCTTCTGGGTTAAATTTTTACTTTGTCATTGAGAAGTTATATAGGAAAAAGTGGAGTGAAGATTATTAATGCAAATACAGAGTACTTTTATATTGTAGTTGGTTTCAAAATCACCATGCATATTAACAACACCAGCTTTTTCGTATTTTTTTTTGGATAATTCTTTAAGAAGTTAATTTTTAGCTCTACTGGTCAGAGACCAGAAGAGCTTATGCGATAGTAATGCGTCCTGCGTCCGTCCGTCTGTCTGTCTGTCCATCTGTCTGTAAACAATTTTTCAAAACACTACTCCTCCTACAATTTTAGTCTGATTTCAATATAACTTGGCACACAAGTAGACTACACTAAAATACATAAAATAGTGCATCGGTTTTTGATTTCGATGAACGATGTTGCCTTCGTTACTAAAAATAAAATTTTCTTAGAAATTCCTTTAAAACGCTACTCCTTCTACAGTTTTGGTCTGATTTCAATATAACTTATCACACAAGTAGACTACACTAAGATACATAAAATAGTGCATCGGTTTTTGATTTCGATGAACGATGTTGCCATGGTTACTAAAAATAGAATTTTCTGTGAAATTCCTTTAAAACGCTACTCCTTCTACAGTTTTAGTCTCATTTCAATATCATTTGGCACACAAGTAGACTACACTAAGATACATAAAATAGTGCATCGGTTTTTGATTTCGATGAGCGGTGTTGCAATGGTTACTAAAAGTAGAATTTTCTGAGAAATTCCTTTAAAACGCTACTCCTTCTTCAGTTTTGGTCTGATTTCATTATCACTTGGCACACTAGTAAACTACACTAATTTACATAAAATAGTGCATCGGTTTTTGATTTCAATGAACGTTGTTGCCATGGTTACTAAAAGTAGACTACACTAAGATACATAATTCTGTGCATCGGTTTTTGATCAGTACAAACCAGTAGAGCTACAGTCTCGACAGAGACTTCTGGTTTAAAAATAATTTTAAAAGAGTAATCTTGGTCATTTTTTCTCTATTTTCTTCCAAAGCATAATTTACATAGACTGGAATTTGTATTGGTAAGACCACTTTGTTTTGCTTGCCCACTATAGGTTTGTGTTCAATGCACTTTTGAAAATTTATGGATTTTCAATAAATTTCTTTGGATCACAATGTTTACAAATGTTTTGAATATCTTATAAATTATAAAATAATTGACATTACCTAGTCCAATTCAATACATTATAATAAATATCTAAAATGTCAAAGACAATTTATATATATTTTATAATTTTATGTTCTTAAAAAAGAATATTTTTATATGTTATAAATAAGTTGGAAACAGTCAGTTTTGTAATGCAGACTGTATAAATTGGAGGGGGGGGGATCATTTACATGTATTTTTATTTAAATTGTAAAGGAAAAAATAAAATGGTTTTAATCAAAATTGTTTATTACATTTTCCAATAATGATATAATCCATAACTGCCAAAGTTTTAATATAGAAAACTGACCTATTTGTACAAAAAGTTGTGTGGTGTTACTTTTAGTTGTTGAATATGTGAAAAAATGCAGCATAGGAAAAAAAACAACAACATGCAATTAATCTAGACATTCACTATATTTTATTTCATTCATGTCTTCTTTGCAATCTTTATCCTTAAAACATTATATGTACCGTAGATTATTTTATTAGATACTATGTAGAGGCTTACTGTATCTATGTCCATATGTCTCAAAGAGAAGGACACATAATGTAGGATATCCATATGAGATCTAGCTTCTAACTCATCACCTGGGTGATGAGTAAAATACCAGATCATCCATGGGTAATGTAACAATGGTATTAGCCATCATAAGAGTTGATTTGATGATCACCAATATCATATGCCTTCCTGAAGATTATGAATTTAAATCTGTTGTATTTTTTTTCTTTAACCTTTTATGTATTTAAAAAAAAAAATCACTTTCTTTCTTGTTAATACTTAACCTTTTGAAAATGGCTATTTTCATTTAATTCACTTTTATTTAAAGTAACCCAGAGTTTTAATATATGTATATTTTTTTTTTAAATTAAACTGCTTTGCTTTATTTCACTGTGATCATTTTATTTATTGGTATAACTATTAAGTTCAAAATAATATGATTGATTGATAACACTTCTAAAATTAAAATTGTTACATGGAAACAACAGCATTTTACTGGTTACATTAATACTACTAATTAAGATTAATTTTTCCTGCCTTTTATTTAGCTCACCTGAGCTAAAAGCTTGTGGTTACATTTTGTCAGGTGTCCAGCTGTGAACTTTTCACATTCTCATCTTCTTCTCAAGAACCACTGGGCCAATTTTAACCAAACTTGCCAGAGTGTATTTTTGGTTAAAGAGGGTTCAATTTTGTGTACTTTCTTTCAAAGGGAGGTAATTATGAATTGTTAGAAGATTAATTGCAGCTTTATAGAATTCTTCCTCTCGAGAACCATGCAATTGGCCAGAAAATATTAAATTATTTTGAAGTATCTTCAGGTAGTGTACATATATATTATTTCAAATCATGATCCCCTGGCGTTAACGTGGGGCCACAATAGGCCATTAGAGTTTACAAAAGAAAGATCTTTGAAAAAAATTCTTCTCAATAAGAGCAAAGCCATGATTAGTCATATTGATATAAATCAAAGCATCCTCAGGTATTGTAGATTCAAGTTTTTTCAAAACATGACTTAAAGGGTAGGGAGGGGCAAAAATTGGTGCTCAGAGTTGTAAGAATAGTCATTGGAAATCTTGAAAACAAAACTTCTCAAGATCAGCAAGGTCATGAATGGAAATATATCTATAGGTAGTGTAGTAGATGATCAAATGTGTGCATGGGAAATATATCCTTTTTAGCTCACCTGAGCTGAAGGCTCAAGTGAGCTTTTCTGATCAGACTTTGTCCGTCGTCCGTTTGTCAGTCTGTCTATCTGTCTGTCCGTCTGTAAACTTTTCACATTTTCGACTTCTTCTCAAGAACCGCTGCGCCAATTTCAACCAAACTTGCCACAAAGTATCCATGGGTAAAGGGGATTTAAGTTTGTTCAAATGAAGCCCATGCCCTCATTCAAGGGGAGATAATTGGGAATTAATGAAAATTTGTTGGTATGTTTTAGAAATCTTCTTCTAAAGAACCTCTGTGCCAGGAAAGATGAAACTTATGGGGAAACATCCTCAGGTAGTGTAGATTCAAGTTTGTTCAAATCATGCCCCCTGGGGGTAGGGCAGGGCCACAATGGCCGATCAAAGTTTTATATAGAAATATATAGGAAAATTCTTTAAAAATCTTCTTCTCAAGAACAGCAAAGCCATAATTGATCATATTTATATGGAAGCATCGTCAGGTAGTGTAGATTCAAATTTGTTCAAATCATGCCCCCTGGGGGTAGGGCAGGGCCACAATGGCCGATCAAAGTTTTATATAGAAATATATAGGAAAATTCTTTAAAAATCTTCTTCTCAAGAACAGCAAAGCCATAATTGATCATATTTATATGGAAGCATCGTCAGGTAGTGTAGATTCAAATTTGTTCAAATCATGCCCCCTGGGGGTAGGGCAGGGCCACAATGGCCGATCAAAGTTTTATATAGAAATATATAGGAAAATTCTTTAAAAATCTTCTTCTCAAGAACAGCAAAGCCATAATTGATCATATTTATATAGAAGCATCATCAGGTAGTGTAGATTCAAGTTTGTTCAAATCATGGCCTCAGGGGGTAGGGCGGGGCCACAATGGCCGACCAAAGTTTTACGTAGACATAGGAAAATTCTTTGAAAATCATCTTCTCAAGAATAGCAAAACCATGATTGATCATGGGACTACTTTTGGATTTAAACTTTTCAATAATAAACCAATTTCTACTTTTTTTTTACTAGCCACAGTGCTCAGGTGAGCGATATGAACCATGGGCCTCTTGTTTCATAATTTTATCAATTTCCATTTTTAAGAAAATGTAGTCATAATAATTGTCTTATTACAGATGCTAAACAACATTGCAAATGACCTTGACCTCTTGCTGAATGACTTCTGCACAATATACCCAACCAAAGAAAATCAAGTGACCTTCAAAGCATATGGGTAAGTTTGGTAAAAAAGAATTAATAAGACATGTACTTTTGTATTTTCAAATACAATCTGTGCATTCATCATATATCATAGACATAGCAGCAGATCTGTAGCACGCTGGTCTGAAAAACTGGGAGGAATGACAGAGCTACAGTACTGTGCCCTCCATTAAAAAATTATATCTATTGCGCACAAAAAAGTGGTCTGTTTTTCTATTTATTTCTCTATATATTTAAACTGCCATATCAAATATTACTTACAGTGTGCTTCTAACATTTTCTTCTATTGTTTTCATAAAACGTTCCCTATAACCCTTGCTAGTAGGCCCAAAATGGAGACCTTCAAAATTTTCGCCTACCTGGTATTTCTAACCTGCCATTCTGGGTCACAAGACAATTTCATCCAACTGCTTCAAGCAGATGTTCCCAATAAGAATATTTGTTAGAATTCAAAAGAATATTGTTGAAATCAAGCTTTTGTGCAGTTGAGGTAAGAATTTTCAGGAATAAATGCAGAACGGACTGCAACTTTTGTGGGCAATTAATATATAATTTTTTCAATGGATATCACTGTAGGTGTCTGGTTTGTCAATATTTTTTAGGAGATCTATATTTCTGCAGCTACATTTTTAGCTAGCTGTTTCTTATTGTAAATCAAATTAGATGTGTCATATATAATAATGATATATATTATTTAGAACTTGTAAAAATATACAAAATAATAGAAAATTAGTCATTGATATCGATTAAAAAAAACCCTGAACCGTGTACTTCAAGTTTGACAATGCATATCAGCCTAAAAGTCTGTGGTAATTGTCAGTCAATGATCAAACATTTTTTTGTTTTTCTACTTGTTATGCCTCAAGCACTTGTTTCTGAAATTTTGGGGCTCGGTAAAGACCAAGCCAACTAATTTCGCCCTTAAAAATTTTACTCAATACACATGGAGTCCAATAAGAATGAATCATAGCATTATGTATCTGTATCTACTATCACTCTCAGGTAGATAAAATATATATATGTATATAATATTGGCCATACATATTGGTGATCAGATGATTATTTTTACTGACAACCTATGACAGACCAGGAACTTAAGTTCATGGGAACAGTGCCCTGGGGGGGCAGTGATTAATTGTGACACATGATAACAATCTCGGACATCATTGTTGTGTTTTAGAATATTGTATCCTATTGAAAACTGATTCCCTCTGATCACCCACTATATCCCACTCCCCAAATTTTTGTCTACTCTTTGTACGGGAACCATTAGTTGTGTTCGTGATGGATTAACTTTGATGAGGTGAGATATAAACTCCTCAGATTTTATCTCTAAACTTGTATTGTTGTCTTGAGAAGAGACTAGGTTAAGTATATAGGTAAACAATTGAAATTTTCTAAATTTAATATCTAAACAAATCAACAGATTCAACAAAGAACCCATATTTTACATTTTGTTATCCAAAATGACACAGGACATTTTTTGGGGCGGGTCACCTTACTCCCATGTGTTTCAGTTCAATTTGAAAACTGTATGTATACTTATAAAATTGGGCTTCATAATTTAGCAGCTTTGGCGTGGACAATGATGCACTTATTCATGAATACTGCTTTAATATAATTCATTTATCAATACAATACATGATAGAGACATGTGTATAGTGCTAATTTATGATTACACCAAGAACGATTGCACTAAATTATGAATATGCCAAATTTATACACATACCGTATTTGATGTCAATATCTACAAATCTGAATATTGTGCAAATTATTTCTATGTAAACATTTTGGTTTGGGAAAGAGTTAATATATCAATTTATTTTAATGGAAAGGAATTTAATTCATTTTCGTTATTGTTTTACAGTTTTAGCACATTATATATGTATATCTCTCTTAAAAGATTGAACATAATTCTTCTCTTTTGTTTCATTTTGGTTTGTTGCAATAGAAAACAAAATTTTGATAAGTTCAATCTCAAATATTTACATTTGCTGATATCTTTCCTTATATAACAATGCTAATAAAATTGAAATTAAATTTTCAATGACATGCAGTTGGTCACATGATCAGACTTTCTTGAGTATGGAAAGCAAACTGCACGAGCCTTTTGGAAAGTTTCAATTGTGATGTCACAGGATGTCGTAGATACGTTACTTCTTAATTAACGTTTATATAATAGTGTTGCATTATGCATGTACTATGCCTAAATAGTTTTAGGGTTTGACACATGGTGCACGAGCCGGAGGAAGAGCTTATGCGATAGTAATGTGTCCGTCCCTGTCTTATTGTCTGGCATAGTAAACAATTTTTCAAAATGCTACTCCTCCTACATTTTTGTTTGATTTGTAATATAACTTGGCACACAAGTTTTCACTAAGAAAATATCGGTGCTTAAACGGTTTTTGCACTTGCAAGAACGGTGTTGCAAAATATTCATGCTAAAATTTTTTGATTAACATGCTTAATTATATTGGTTACTAGTAGTTTTTCAATATAACTTGGCACACAAGTAGACTACACTAAAGCAACACATCTTTGTTTCTGTTTTGATTTCCTTATTTGTTGCCGTGGTTACTAAAAATAGATAATTTTTTGCAAAAACATTCAAAAGCGTCATATAAAAAAGCGTTTTAATGTAACTTGGCACACAATAAAATCAGTTAAGATACATGATTCTGTATGTAATTAGTTTGAAAGTTTGTTGTACACATTAATCTATAGTTCCTTAGAATAATATAACTGTTTTCAAATAATATTCAAAATGTCTATTTTCTCCTTCTTGTGTCAATTGTATAAATTAAGTTTATATATTTAATAAAATTACACACAAGCAGTGATCTACACTGGCGTAATCGATAAGGCATAATTATCAATTTTGTGTTTTTGATTTTGATGATTTATGTGCACGGAAGTAATTAAATTGAAAATTTTGTAAAATTTTATTAAAGCCGTGCTACATTTAGGCATATTGCAATCTTGCGCTATATAAATCCTTAATCACTATGGAGAATAGTATTTATTGCTTTATGTAAAAATGACAGGAAGCATAATAATACAAGATAGTGTGAATAAACCATCCTAACTGAGACTAAAACTTTTGAATTTTTTCCAAATATTTTGAAATCCATGTTTGCACTTTCTTGAGCTTCAATTAATTAGGTAGTAATTTGTTTAGAACTGTAATAAATGGGTGGCATTAGGAAATGCTCTTTACTGAACATGCATGCTGAAGATTTTTTTTTTTTTGTTTGATTAAAGCCAAAAAATAACATCAATCTAATTGAAATGATTTATTCTGACAGAGATTTAAAATAATATATAATTAACTTATCAAACAAAGTTTGTGTAGTAAAATGTAACAAAATACCCATAGCTATTTTTTTAATCCCTATTAATCCAGTCAAAATATTTTCTTTTTCTCTTTGCATGATTCACAGCTCCTTTAATTTCTGAAATAACAAACAAATCAATGAATTAGAATAAATTGATATAAAGGAGGTTATACAAAGAATAAACAAACAAACAATAAACAAACATGAAGCTAATTGTTCATTAATTTATTGTTGGAGAAAATGTGAACAGGTAATACATGTACTGTGTAGGTGTTACAGGACACATTCACAAATAAACTTGATTGATGATCTGGACGGAGGCTTCACATTACAACATATATGCTAGATTGGACAAAAAAAAAATTCAATGGAAATGTTAAAAAGATTCTTATGTCAGATTTTAAAATGTATACTTTTGGTATTTTAAGAACGGGGCAGTCATGCAATTCCAGTCATATGGTGGGGGAGGATAGCGCGTTTGGGACCCTAGCGTCCACCGACAGCTTCTCACACAACGAGAAAAACGAATCGATAAAATCGGGACATCTTGACATCTTCGGATTACAGCCACAACAGGTAAGGATAAATTACAAGTTATAGAACAGTTACATTCCAGAATTGAAAAAATTGTCTTTATTAAGGCTGGGCAAAAATATCAGTATTTCAGTATATTGCAATACAATGACAAAAAATATTGTATTGCAATATGTTTTTGTAATAACGATATACCAGCAGAATGCTTAGACTAAGGAATTTTATCATTAATCATAAAAATAAATGTAAGAAAGGTTTATTATGAAGCCAAATAGTAATTAAGACAGAAGCTGTTTCATGGGTGTATTTTAGAGCCTAACTTTAATTATAATCAACAAGATTTTTTTCTTTTGGTTACTTAGTTATACACATTCTGTGAGTAAGTTAATAAGATGAGAAAATGCCATTTTATTTTCATTGAAAATATTGCAATACACATAGCAATACAGTTAAAAATATTGCAATACAAAGTCTCTGCATGGCCAATAACCCAGCCCTACTTACTATGAATAGATAGAATCAAGCAGCTATCTTTATGTGAATATTATAGCTAGAACAGGACAGTAATGAATATTGTGCCATGTCTTAGTCTTTACTTGTACTTTATGTTTTTGAAAAGTAGAATATTTATTCTGATTCATCTTTTTTCCTCCTTTCAGACCCTTCAAATTCCCAGCATTATTAATGAATCGGAAGTAGGCCTGCCCATTAGAACATGCAGTGAAACAAACCTTGAACAGCGACACATTTCCTTTCATGAGCGCCTGACGAAGACACACCCCATCTGGCACCTCCCAGATATCGGCAGATCAGGGGCAGTTCATCTCCTCAAGGACCGGGAACCAGGGGTAATAAAGTTACTGGATTTTTATCATCCAGAATACTGAGACTTGACTGTATACAGTTATGACTTTGGCTTGAGTCATTTTCATATTTCATCATCCATTTTCAATTGGTGTTTTAGGTCCTACCTGTGTTGATAATTGTTAATTCCTCTATAGTGGAAGTCTCTGTTAAGCTTAACTCTATAGAATGGACATAGTGAAAATAAAACTGGACTTTGTACTTTGTAAAATATTGAAGTATCTCACTTTTACTTGCAGACTTTCATCATCCGTAACTCCAGCCAAAGCAATACTATAGCTCTCTCAGCCCAGTTCCCCGAGAAAAACCGGGCCAATGTGGACCACTATCTCATTCAACATTCAGAGAAAGGCTTTAGAATCCAAGGCTCACTGCATTACTTTGCATCTATTTTTCATCTCCTTGATCATTACCACCACTGGACTGACGAACTACCCTGTCCACTTCTTCTACCCCCCACCATCCGTAGGGCAAAGACTCTTCAAGAATTAACGTCTTTGTCATATTTAGGTCAAGGTAAACATAGGATTTTTCTTCTTCATTGGTTTTTACACCATGTGTAGGAAAAAAGATTATTTTAGATTAACTCTCTTTAAATTTGACTTATGATTTATTATCTTTATTTTTTTTTTTTTAAAGATTTCTGGACATCCTACAAGTTTGATAGAGGTTCCCAGATGGACTTATCCCTAAGCAAACCAAACCTTCACAAATCCAAAAGTGAACCTATAAACATTGTCCATGGCAGTCATTGTGTTCTGCGAAAGCCCTCCCTGGCCTCTGATCAGCAGGGTTCCTCAAGCACCCTGGAAACTCTGGGGAAATCCTGCCAATCTTCCTCCAGTAAAGGAAGTTTGAACCACACCCCCTCAAGTGTGGAGGATAATGTAGGGAGAGGGTTGGACCACAAGAGGCCCTCTAGAGAGGGAAGTTCTGCTGAAAGTCTTCTCTCTAATGAATCGGGGGGCAGGTCTGTTAATCAGCCCTCTCAGACTTCACTGTACTTCACAACTTCTCTAGATTTACTGAACATTCCAGAGGAGAACCAATATTTCAAAAGTAATCTGTCAGACAAGATGTCAGATTATGAGGACATTTGGAGGCATTCCATTTCTTCACATGGTGTGCTTAGTCCTGCTCCCCCAACACCAAAGAAAAAATCCAGTAAGAAAGGAAAGAGGAAAGAAAGAATGTCAGTGAAAGAAACAATCAAGGAAAAAGAAGCTGTAGATTCAGAAAATGTGTGTGATAGCAATATTCCCAACTCAGTGCCAGAGAAAGAGTTAAAGTATGATCTCAATGCTTCCACTTTCCCTTCCCCAAAACCTAAATCCAGCATTCACAGGACTTTGAGTTTGGATGACTACAAGATAAAAAATGCCATACGTAGTGAAGATGTGGATGCTGATCTTTTAGATGAGAAGTTTAACACTAGTTCTGTACAAACTCAGACTAGTCCAAAAATGAAAACAAAACCCTCCCCACTCCCTGTCAATGATGACTCTTCATCCACATCGACTGCTCTGTCTTCTGCAAAAAGCCCTGTGTATGCAGAACCATTTGACTCACTAAATGATGCAGAAATGAAGAAAGTTAATCGAAGATCAGCTCCAGCAATGGGAATCCATAAAAGGAAGGCAAGAGCGGTCTCACAGACTCCTGAGCTGGAGACAATATTCTCTCCAGGATATGACAATGAAGATGGAAATCAGACATTTGAAAATTTTGAAGTTCAAAACTCAGACATTGGTCCAAACCGTGTTGACCATAAAGCATTACGGAGAACTCAAAGTGCCAAAGTTAATTCAAATAGGAAATCTGAAAAAGACTCATTACCACCTTCAATAAGTGCCTTGCGTCTGGATAGCAAAAATTTAGTGATTAAGAAAAATTGTAAACAGTCCAGGAGCAAAACTAACATTATGTCTACCAATAAGAGTGTTAGTTGCATTCACCAAAGCCGAGAATTTTCTTGGGAGGAACTGTCTAAAGAGCAACAAAGTGAAGTGACCTCGACACTGAGGAAGTTTCCAGTGTACAAGAGGAAGATATCTTGTGAATCCTCATCCACAGATGGAACAGCTACAATGGAGGACATGATATCCTCTGTTAATCCCTCACTGACTGTCCGACCGGTGCAATTTCTAAATCCTTTACAACAACGAAACAGCCCTTCAGAATATGATAACTTAAAAAATCCAACTACAGACAATAAACGCCAGTCTCACGTTAGTACTGGCACTGTGTTTTGCAAGCCTTGGGATAATGTGTCTTTTGAAGCTTTAATGAATCCAAAATTTGTCCCTCCCATGGATGTGAATGAGAGAATTCAGGCCTGGCAAGCTGCCCATCAAGGGAGGGACAGTTTGTTATCAGACAGTACATTAGACTATGTGTCTGAGGATGATGATGATGAAGAAGATGATGATGGTGATAATTGGGATGACGCTCCCAAAGTTTTTGTTCATCCTCCGTCTTCGTCGGGAGGAAGTGTTGTGAACCATTCTTGTAATCCACAGCCTTCTAGTCAGTTACCACCACAAATCCCACCACAGATACCACCCAAATTATTCCCACTTCAGGATTATCCAGATGTGTGTAAGACTGCAATGAAATCAGTGATAGAAAATCGACTCTCCATTCATAGCTATGGAGGTTTTGGAGATAGTTTTCCCAAATCTCCAGAAACCAATGTTGTCCACCATATGCCATTGCCACCATCTGCAGGTACGTGCATTAGAAATTTAATTTTTAAAAAAATTTTTGCCATGAATATAGGCACATTAAGTTTGTTACATGCCTTCTGTCTTTCCTGCCGTCTTTCCATCCTTCTTTTGATCAATCCATTCATCACATTTTCAGTTTATCTTGGTTTCAGTAAAATTGTTCAAGATATGTAAAAATTAAAGCCCTGATGAACATTGCTGATAGCATCTTTTCTGACTTTGACAATATGTGTGACCTTGACTTAACTAATTCCAAATTTGAGTTTAGCTCAGTTTCAAAAAAAATGTTCTGAGATTTTATTTTATTTTAATTGATTTAGAAATTCCAATCACTTTTTGTATTTTTATCTCTATATCTTGAATCTTTAGATATTTTAAAGATTTGACTTTATAAATATGTTGGTAATGAGAAAATTAACTCAATGCAATGGGACTTCATTTAGCTGTTTCAGTGGGATGAATCACTATATACCATGATACAAAAGGCCAGAGCTGTGCTATTAAGTTCTGTATATGAATAAGAAAAAAGAAATTTATATCTTCTTTTTGTCATAGTGAACAATCAACTGATGACCAATATGTAGAAAACAGGGTACATTGGGCAGGCATTCATGTTCTATAGATATATTTCTAGTATTATATCTATAGTATCAAAGCTAAAATCAACGGTAATTGCTTGTCTTTAGAACTTTTCATTAACTTGAAATATATAGTGTATATAACATTAAAGCTATTTTTTTTCTTTTGATTTTAGATGAAAATAGAGATTGTAAGCAAAAGACACCAGAATCCAAAATTATTGATTACATTTGCAGGTTTGTTTTCATTTACTTTAACATTCAAAGTTTTTGAATGTTCCACAATGCATTTAATAAAGGTTGACATCTTTGAATCACGCCTTTGCTTTATTCAATTTCTAAACAATTTTTTTCTCCATGTTCTAAAAAATTATGTAAGTGTATGCATACAAAAAAATCAGTAAAAATCTGCTTGGTATCAGCATTGTGATGTTATTTTACAGGCTTTCTAAAGATAAAAAGACAACATTTGGCTGTACCATAGAGAACTTTATACAGTGTACATTGGAAAGCCAGGAAACAAACCCACACCATGTCACCAGAAATGTAAGAATCACTCATTTTTAGATTATAAACATGCACATATAGTTATACTTATAAAAATATGCTTTTACAGTAAGTTTACCCTTCTTTAGAAAATATATATTTGCTGTTCATTGGAAGAGGAAGTTAGAAGATTGAGCATATTAAAGGAGATAATAATAGATTATCTGATAATTTCTTCATAATTATCTTTGTTGAATTATGTTAAAATTTGAAAAAAAGAATTCAGATAGGTCAGTTTTAAAAAATTGTTTGCTGCCCTCTTGCAACCAACTGACTAAAATTGGCCCGACTCAGAACTTTTTTACATTTTAGGACACAATTTATTTTTCTTCAACAAATATGTTGAAATTTCCTGGAAAAAAAGATTTTGCCTCCTACTAAACAACCCAATAATTTTATTCTGAGTTGGGAGAGGGCAAGCAAACATTATTTTAAAGATGGCCTCATCAGTATTTTTTAATTTTAGGTTCGTCAGTTTATGACTGGAATAAGGAACTATCTGGTCAAGCATGGGGAAGGTGAGCTGGAAGACCTGATTGAGCATGAGCGCGCTCGACTGAGACAGAACGAGATCCTCAACATTGACAACATCATCGAGCGCTCACTCCACATCTGTGTTCTCCATCCACTAAAACTCCACATCTATGACCTCTTTGTCACAGAGTACACAAGGTCAGGATTTAATCAGGGCACCTGCTTTAGTAGCAAATATTTTGAAATGTTCCATAAACATGATAAAAATTTCATAAAATAAATCCTATTGTTATCATTAAAGATGAACTGAATTATAGAATCCTGATGAGATCCTATCCCTGTTTATCTTACAGGTGTCTATCAGTGTCTGTCATGTGATAATTTTTATACATGTCTTCATTCAGAAATGGTAGTTTACAGAAGCTCTCCAGCAACATTAAATATGCCAGAACAAAGTCAGCTAAAGACATAGGGATCAGGGTGAGTGCTTAGATTCCAAGACAGGTCTTGGTCAATGAAAGAAACTCTTGATATCAGGGAATTTAATAAAGTTTATGTTGGAAGATAAATATTTGCCAAACATTATCTTCACCCCCCAAAGCAGTGACTTTAAGTAATTGAGATAGCATTTTGCCTAGGTTTGGGAGTAAACATATTGAAAAAGGCATAGTTATAAAATTAAGCATAAGTGGTTGCTTCTCTACTTGACAATAAAGGTAATTGATATTCATGAAATAGGGAACAAAGTCAGTACTGTTAATTTCTTCGTTGTAGCCTGATATTCCTCTCCCAGATTCTGGTACCATGGATACCATTAAGAGCCATCTACACAGTATGCAGAAAGCATACTCTCCTCTAAAGAAAATGGAGCATCTACTGGCAGCAACATCTACTATCTACAAATGTGTAAGTTATATAAATGTTAAGCCTGTCAACATCTCTCTTTGGAGAGGATGTTGTGATTGCAATCAGTTTCAAAGTACATTGATTAAAATTCTCTGCCTTGTGTTGTTGTTTGGATGGCACAACAAATAGCAAAGGAATACCATAACATATTAAAGAAGATTATAAACAATCACTTAATTAATCAAAAATGTGTAAAGCACAGAAATCAGATGCCACAGCAACCATAGACAAATAGAGGAACCAAACAAGTCTCAGAGAAACTATTGCCAGTACAATAGCAGTTGGTCATAAAAAACTCACAAAGAAACTATATGTGTAATTTGTATTATCATGGAGGACTTTGCATTAAGTTCACATTTACCTAGGAATAGGAAAGAGTGGCTTTCTGTATGTAATAATTTTTTTGATAAATAGAAGTTCAAAATTTTATAAAATATTTTTTAGATGACACAAAATATCAGCAGAAAGGAGGGAGTTGTGACAATAGGAGCTGATGGTAATTATAATTTTATGTCATTTTACAGTCTACTTCAGATATACATGTATTGAAGTTTTAGGGATTTTAATATATAAACCAAAGTTGAAAATAAGCGAAATTGGATGTTGAAGACATTTAAAAATCCTAATCTCTATCTAAAACATCTAGACAAATATGAACCAATATACATGGTTAAAGTTGTGACACTTACACAGTTTGTTAATTAAAGCTTTGTATTTAATAAAGTCTGACATGTTTATTTCCTGATCTTAAGGAAGGAATTCCCAGACTAACTTGAACTCAAAAGCTTGTGTACATGTTTATCATTGATAAAGAGTGCATGCACCAATCCTACGTTAATTTGCATTTAGATTTCACAATTTAAACTATGCACATGTGAATTTATTTTAATTAATGAAAGACGTTTTTCTTTCATAACATATTCTAGTATGTACTTCATCTTTGTAGATTTCTTGCCAATGTTGATCTTTGTGTTGGTGCATTGTGGGATGGTGGCAGCAGAAATAGAGGCTGACTATATGTGGGGGCTAATTCATCCCTCCCTGCTCAATGGAGAGGGGGGATACTATCTCACTTCTCTCAGCAGTGCTGTACTAGCCCTCAAAAACTTCCAAAATATGCAGGGAACACCCAGTGATTCTCAGCAGGTAAATGACTAATAAAGACTTTAAAATCAAAACTTAACACATGGAATGTGATATCCCTATTACAGAGTAATATACATAGAAATAATGTGTATCTCATTAACATGTTGAACTGTTGATTTTTTGTTACAAAACACTGACTATTTTCAGATTTAGCCAAAACTCTGGGTTATACATGCTTTTTTCTTGTCAATAACTTTATATAAGGTTGACAAATACATGTAGCTACTCGTGTATTAGACATTTTTTTTCAATTTCTGTTGTTATTGTTTGGATGAAGCATTGTTTCCGATAACTTCAGGTGGAGGTCCCGGCTCTTGGTGACATGGAGGGTTTTTTGAAGGTAGCCATTCCTGATGAACTGCGGGATGCGATCATCTGGAAAACACTCCCTGTCCGACCTAACATGAATACTAAGGATGTCTGTAAGTTACAGCCAATAAAGTTCAATTAATGGACCATTGTTGTTAAAGTCCATGGACATTATAGAAATTCTTCAGGATTTTGTGCTTATATTTTTATCTAAAAGCAGGCTTAGAAGTTCATATTTTATGTTGTTGTAGGTTCCATGATTGCTCATAAGTTCCGGATCACAAACCCCCAGGACTACGGCCTTTATCTACTGGTCCAGGGAGAAGGTACGTATAAATCGACACATGCTGAACATATAGTTATACAGGGAAATTTATATTTCTCAAAAGGCATTGCGATTGATGAAAATACATATATTGTTTGATAGTAAGGCAACATTTGGATTATCTGAACCAAATGTCTATTCATACACTTCCACTTTCTTGATAAACTACTCAGTTTGCTTACTTTGTTCTGTCTCATCCTATTCCACATTTTTTTTTTTTTTGCAAACCTTAACATTTTTAGTTCATATTTATTTTTAATTCTGTAAATGATTTAGATTACATGTTTATTACACTAGAGATTCTTGTGTATGATTTGTTTAAGAGTGACTGATTTTTGTTTTACAGAAACTCGTCTTGGTGACATGAATATTCCTCAGGTGATAAAATCTGAGAACAGCTCCCATGGAAAACAGCCAGTATTTGCTTACAAACGCAATGCTGCAATCATAGCCTGGCCCATGTCAGTCAAAAGGCAACAGAACTGCTGAATGCAAAGAGAGTACAAGAATGAAAAAAAGATGCTCAATTTGAAGGAGACATTTTTTACATGAATTTTTTCACTGTTGAATCTTTAGAATTTCTCAGTTGAGTAAAAGGGATTTTTTTTATTAAGAGATTTGTGTGAGTTACAGATCAAAATTTCAGTGAGGCTTAAAGAAATCTGTATTAAGTTTCTGCTTGAATTATTGATACACTTTATCAAATTTCCTTCCTCTCAAACAAAGTTTGGGGGATTTGATACTAAGTCATAGGAATCTTTTTTTCTCTCAACATGTTCTTGCAATCATTTTTGTGCCATAATCTTCTAATGGATAGACATTGCAAGCCCATACTTTATACAAGGATTGCTTTAAGGTTTGTCATGACATTGATTTACTTGCAGATTAAGCAAAAAATCTACATCCAGTTCATAATTTTCTAATGAAGAAACATGAAAAGTTCATACTTTTGACAAAAATTACCTCAAACCTGAGGGCATATCATTACCTTGACCCAAGATCATTTAATCAAGTTCAAGGTCACTTGGGAAAAAAATATATCTCTTCTGTCCCGGTCATGTCCTTTAGTGGAGGAATATTTGAACCTCATTCTTGGCACAAAAATTTCTAAATAATTCATGAGTACTTGAAGCTACTTTGTGACAATTAGATTTCTCTGACATGAAGTAATTTTCAAAAAAAGCCTATTTTAACAAAATCAAGGTCATAAATAGAGAAAAATATATTTTGATAAATTGGTCACAGAACAAAATAAAAATCTTGTATGCAACATCAAAATTGGCCAACACCATATGACTGTCTCTTAGATCCCATTGGCTTATTGTTTTCTGAAGGGTTGAAGTGTTTCTAAAGAAAAAATTCTAAAGATAAAATCTGATAAGTTTTTAGTTTGATACTGAAGTAAAGAAAAATTAATACAAACAATAATTAGCTGTATAACTACTCATAAATACTATATTTTCTAATAATTACTTCTGAATCAGTAATTTTATTCAAATCACACGTATTTCATTGCTTAGTTTGCCTTGACAGAGATATGTATTGCTTGATTACAAAGCAACAAAGTTAAGGCTAGCAATTAAGCTTTTGTGACATACTTTAAAATTAATTCCATTGAGAGGAAAGACATTTTTAGCTCTTCTGAGCCAAAGGCTCAAAGAGCTAATGCTATGCACCCATTCTCAATATAAGGGCTCAAATAATGTCGCCTCATTTTCATTTAGAAGAAATACCACTGATGTAATTTTTAAATCAACATGATAAATAGTCATATAACAATGAATAAGAATTCATATAATTATTGAAAGGGTAATATATCAAATATAGTACCCTATTTGAAATGTACGTTACTGTCGCCGAGGCAAATATTATGCTGAATCCCCTCTGTGTAATATATAGTTTTGATTCTCAAGTAAAAATTTTCTGATAAGTTAAACCTTGTATCATATATATTTCTTTTCATAACAATAAATACATTTTCTTTGTGATAATAAATAATTTTTATTGTGCAATGTCCCTGTCGCTTAATTCTATTTCAACCACATTACAAGCAAACACAAAGATTATACACCTGATAGTTTTGTTCTCCTTTGTTTATTGATGGGCTAAATTTGAAATTTCAAAGGATTAATTACTCCTACTTAGATAATGTAACATGAAATTGAACAATTTGAGCAACTTTTATAAATATGCGGAATGAAAGAAAATCGTAGAGATAAGAAAGAAATGTACGTTACCTATATTCTTCCATTAAGAATATATATTAAGTAGAAAAAGAAACGACTCTGAATAAGCAACCCCTTGTATCCTGTAAACTGGCAAAGACGTTTTGCTTAACACAATTAAAAATTATTTTTTACATAAAAAGTGATCATTTGAAATGTACGTGACTGAAATGTACGTTACCATGAAATTCGAATTAAGTGAATCTCGCACGAATTTTCATGTATTCTCATACTTTCACACAATCGAATGTGTACACAAAGGAAAGTTTCAAAGGTTGGTGGTCGGCTAAATCCCAAAATTAATGAAAAGAAACGTTTCTGCTGAGGATAAAAAATATATTAAGGTCAATTATATGTAATATAATTTTGATACCTGGTATATATTTCTGAATACGAAACCTGTATGATGCATTTCTTATGATATGCAAGTTCAACTAGTATCAATATATTGCGTGTCTAACGTACGTTTGTGGAACAGAATTGATTTTATATTTGAAATGTACGTTACGTATGGTAACGTACATTTTGCGTATTTCTAACTGACATTCTTATTTTAATTAGTCAATGAATTGCGTTTACACGAGCGAAAAAAAATTATCGTTACAATCCATTTGACAACTGACCACATAAATCCATCTAAATGCACCCCCAATCCTCGTAAATGTGGTAGACTGTTACCATATGCTAGAAAATTTATTTGTAAGTGTCTTGTCTTATATTCATCTTTAGCAACCTTTTTGCAGTTTGTTTACTTTTTATATGCGACTTTTCGTCAATATTAATTTAATTGTTGTTGATAATTTAAAACAAGGTATAAGCTTATAATTGGTAAAAAAAAAAACACAAAAAAGAAAAAGAAAACAAATAAACCCTGAATACAAGACGGTCACGTACATTTCAAATACTGAAAGGCACACAATACTCAGTTTTGTTTAAATCATTTTAATTTTGGGTTATATTTTTCCAGATCTGCTGAAAAGCACGTATGTTTGTGTTTTGACAAACGATGTTGCAACATACTAAATGAAATTGTTAACAAGACTGTCGATGGATATATTCGGAATAGATTTATGTTAAGTTTCAATGGCCAAACACGAGCATTTGTTAGATCATAGCAAAATACTGTCTCTTATTTTTTTTGTCTGTACCCTTGCACACAGGTAGAAGTAACTAGGCTACGACCGGTGTCAATTTCAGCGAAACAGCACAAAGAATGGTAATGAACTGAGGTGGAGGGGACTCCCTAATAATATGTGAAATGAACGTTACCGAAGTGACGTGACATTCATGTAGTTGATGACAAACAACCTCGTTTGCTACATTATGATTTCTTATATTACTGCGTTAAAACGCTTTATTGAAATGATTTTTATGTCAATAATTGCTTTTTTTCAATATTTTCTTATTACTAATTTACATATTATTACAAGCTTGAAATGTACGTTACCTACTCATATTCTGAGGCAATCGTGTCTTTATAGTGGTGATTGTGACATATAACACAATGTGATTACATAGGGAATCTTTTTTGGAATAAACTGAAACAAAACGATGAATTTTTAGATGAATTTTAAGCTTTTTATTAAACAGAAATATATCTTGAAATGTACGTTATATTTACGTAGTTTTCTAAATCGACATGGATATATGTTAAAAAAGACAGTAACTACAAAATAAAATTTTACTACATGTACATGTTAAGTTCCAGTATCTATAGAAAATGACAAGATTCCAAACTGATCGCTCTAAACAAAACAGAGAGAAGAATTTCAAGCATATATTTAAAATAATGTTTTTATACATCTGGATCAAAAAGTAACCTTTGTTTTTTGAAAGGAAAAATCAAACGCACGTTCGTATGCCGAGAAAATATGTTGCTGAGAGAGTTGGTAGGATGTGCTGGTGTTAAGATGAGATATTCCAATTGTGATTTTAATGACTACATTTTTTTTGACATATCTTTTTGGACATTGAAGAAAGAGTAACGTACATTTCAAGCTACATTTCTGAATAAAATCACCCTCTACTTTACCGTCTTGTCATTATTCCGTGTATTAAAATTTGATGAAAAAAAATCTGGAAACAAAATCTTCAGATACTTTCTTTCAAAGGTAATTGATAGAAAAATTGTTATCTTGAACTTCATTTTTTAAAAAATCAGAGAGGCATTTGTGCCCTTATATTGAGAATGGGTGTACGGCCATTTGTGCAGTGTGCGTCAACTTTTTAGAATATGGGCCATAACTCAAGAACCCCTTGGCCAATCAGTACCAAATTTGTCACAGGGTATCCTTGACCCAAGGGCTACCATTTGTACTAAAATAAGGGTTGGGACCCTTAAACAAGGGGAGATAATCAAGAAAACAAAACCAAAAGTACTGGTTGCTAAAAAATCTTCTTCTCCATAACTACCAGGCAGATTTTCACCAAACTTACATACAAGGATCAGGATATGTCGAAGATTAAAATTTGCACGGGGAATTACCCTGGGGCAAAGGGTGTGGTCTCAAGGTCACTTCAAAGTTGACCTAAATTTACAATTAATACAAACGTGTATATTTTGCTTACTATAAGGACTAGGATCATCAAGTCTTGTAAGTTGATGCATCTTACGACTTCACATCATGTTAAATCAAAAGTAGGTCACGGTGACCTACTTTTTGAATTTTGTGGGGATTTGTTTTTAAATTGATTTGAAGGCATATTTTGGACACTTTAAGGCCTATGATCATCAAACTTTGTCAGTTGATGCATCTTGGGTCCTCAAACAATGTCAACTTAAAATTAGGTCACCGTGACCTACTTTTTAAACTTTATGACTTATCTTTTTAAAAACATTAAATCCCATTATTTCAGACACTGGGAGGTTTAGAATCATCAAATCTTGTACTTTGATGCATCTTGGGACCTTAAAACATATTCATGAAAAAGTAGGTCACCATGACCTACTTTTTGAATTTTGTCGACATTTGTTTTCAAATTGTTTAAAATGCATATTTTGATTACCTTCAGACCTACGATCATCAAACTTGGTCAGTAGATGCATCTTGGGTCTTTGAAAAATGTCGACCAAAATGTAGGTCACGATGACCTACTTTCGACATTTTATGGCTATATTGAAGTATCTTAGGTATTTATTGGATTAGAATTGGCTTAGAATCATCAAACTTTGTGAGTTGATGCATCTTGGGTTTTCTGAGATTGACGACCAAAAAGTAGGTCATGGTGACCTACTTTTGACATTTTTTGGCTATTATTAAGTATCTCTGGTACTTATTGACCTAAAATCATCAAATTTTGTCAGTTGATGCTTCTTGGGTTTTTGGAGATTGTCGACCAAAAAGAAGGTCACAGTGACCTACTTTTGACATTTTATGGCTATTTTTAAGTATCTCAGGCATTTATTGGCTAAGAATCATCGAACTTTGTCAGTTGAGGCATCTTGGGTTTTCGGAGAATGTCGACCAAAAAGTAGGTCACGATGACCTACTATTGAATATCTCAGGTACTTATTGGCTTAGAATCATCAAATTTTGTCAGTTTAGGCATTTTGGGTTTTTGGATAACATCGACCAAAAAGTAGGTCACTGTGACCTACTTTTGACATTTGATGGCTATATTTAATTATCTGGTACTAATTGGCTTAGAATCGTCAAACTTTGTCAGTTGATATAAATTTTCAGAGAATGTTGACCATAAAGTAGATCACAGTGCCCTACTTTTGAATACTTATTATAAGGCTTAGAATCATCAGTCTTTGTCAATTAATGCATCTTAAGTCATCAGAAAATTTCAATCAAAAGGTAGGTCAGGTCACTGTGACCTACTTATGGTATTTTATAATTATATTACAACTGTATAATATCTTCAGTCTTAACTGGCTAGATATTATCAAACTTTGTAAGTTGATGCATTTTGGGTCTTATGATACTAATAGAGTTGGAGGCTTCTAATAGAAGTGATAGATTGTACAATTTATCTGAAGAGCGATTCAAGGCCCTTGGGCCTCTTGTTTATTATGTTGTAAGATATTACATCTTAAAAATTTTTTTGTTTAAATTTGTAAAAAAACAAAATGTGTTAAAGCTGAATGCATTATATATTCTCTTTCCGTCCATAGCATTTTTTTTCTATGCAATATTCCATATACACATTATGTAAAATGACATTCATTAACAAAATGGAATGTTTTACTGTGATCCACTTTATTTTCATTATAAACCATTCCATGCACAGTTGATATTTTATTTCATGCAGTTCTGCATGCAGACTTCATGACTGATATTTTTTTGATATATGGAATAAATTATTAACAATGTATTGACAGAAGTTAATGGTAAGAGCTGCTCTTGTGTATTTCATTTCCATACCATTCATTCACTTGTTAACCCCCCCCCCCTTTTTTTTTGAATTCATTTGTATTTCTATGCAGCACTGTTTATATGCTGGTAACACATTGCTTTTCCCAATTTTACCTCAGCTGACCGAGGCATACATAAAAAGTCTGCAATTTATCATTACTTTGAGTTATTTGTGTATTTGTATTGTTAAAGCTTTTTTATGTACCACTCATATATCGCTGAATTCAGTAGTGATGACAGAGTGAATGATCATTGAAAACTGAAAGTACAGTGTATATATCAAGTTTACATGTGCCATATTTTCAGTATTATTTTGCATGCATCATCAGTATCTGTAAGTTTGTACTCTTATTTTTTTTCAGAATGACATTTCTTTCATCCGTCATACATGTCTCAGCATTATTTTTGGTATTTGTGTTTTGTGCTAAATGGTACAAAATTGTCCAAAGATATGGATTTTTTCTATATTTAGCTCTAAAAACCGATTTTGTTGTCATTTTAAGCTGCAATAGCTTTGGTGCATGTACCTAGTAGGTACACTGTTGGTTGTTATGTGACAATGTTAAACAAGTTGTTGTGATGTTATATTGGAGAGAAAAAACTCCTATGTTCTTTTTATCACAAATGTAGTGAATAAAAGTTATCTAAATATTATCTAGTGTTTGGGTTTTCATTTTGATATCAATCATATCACGCATAATCAGTTTGTCAACAGAATATTGCAGTAATGTATTAAATAAAATCCTAAAGTAAACAAATAGTTAAATGGGTTCATCATGAAAAGTGTAATCTTTTTAGCTCACCAGAGTGAAAGGCTCTTAAAAGTGAGCTCTTCTGATCACATTTTGTCAGAAGTCTATCTGTCTAGCTGTTTGACTTCTCTCCAAGAACTACTGGGCCATTTTAACCTTAAAGTATCATTAGATTAGATAAGGTGAAATTCAATTTATACAAATAAGGGACGTCATCCTCATCCAAGGGGGGATAATTAAAAATATGTGAAAAAATAATGACATTTTAAAAAAATTCTTCTAAAGAACCTCTGAGTCAAAAAAGTTGAAACTTAAGTAAAACCACCCTTCTGTAGTGTATCAGGTTTGTTCATAGCATGGTCCTCATTGATAGAGTGGCGCCACAGTAGGTTTTACTGAGCAATAATGAGGTAATGTATTCATGTTTGTTTAAATCATGGCCCGGGAGGACTTGCAATTATCAAATTTTACAATAGAATAAAAAACGTGAGAAAAAATCTTTATAAAATACTTAAATTAATCATGATGTAACAAATATTGAAGCATCTTCAGGTCATGTTCAGATAATGAACACCCTTCTCCTTCCCAAAACCTTGATCTTTTACATTTAAGTTTTTTTTCCACGACTGATTTTTGCCTTTTCTTAAGCAAACTTTCATGCAGGTGAGTGATGGGGCCCATGGGCCTCTTTGTACAAATAAACATACTTTATTTATAGCTCCAAACCTTCGTTATGTAAACAAGGTCCATGTCATGGTTTTGTTCCATAGATTAATATACTAATATATGTTCGTTCAAAGTAGATAATTTCAATAAAAAAGTTAATTTTAAATACGATTCACAGTTTCTATTGATTTGCTGAATTTCATTTGTTATCAATATAGTATTTTCAATATGTAAACAAAAACAAGGCACACGCCTTGTTTACATTATGAAGAACTTAAAAGTTCTGTATCTCATTTCTTAATCAACAAATGATGTTCAAATTTTTGCTTATCATTAGACGATGCTTTAGGAAGGAATTATAAACATTAAAATAGGTTTTAAAAATTCAGTTGAAACTGTGTCCATACCCCTTTAAAGATTGACAAAAAGTTTTATTTGAATATGTACGTTTTTTAACCTTTCATATTTCAGTACGCTTTTTTTGCTCGGTACAATTAAAAGCAGAAGTCCCTGGTGAGACTGTAGCTCTGCGGTTTTGAATTTAACAAGTTGAAAATTGTACTTATTATCGAGCGCTGGAGGATCTGTGGCTGTGTTAATGTGTACATTGGGAAACGATTCATATTTCCGTTGTTAGATGAAATATTTTCTTAATATCTTTCATAAAAATTATGAATAAAAGCTGTTTTTTTTAATTTGTTTAATAATAATTGTAATTGTCATTGTCTGTTTTTCATTTGAGTGTGTAAGATATAATCACAAAACGTTATGTCCCCAGATATCAATTTGAGATACAGAGTGTTTAATTAATTAATATTGAGAAAAATATTATAGGGAGAAAAAAAATACAGTTGCATATGTCACAATGACATATTTCAACACTTTGCATTTACTGTGATACATGACTATCATAGTGAAAACATCAGCATTATTACATGACAAATATTTAGGGAAGGGTAATTTTTTTATTTCAGTAACGGGAGAAACACTCCAAGCCTTGTATTCAAAATACTATAAATACCTTTATGTGCGTTTGAATATAAAAAGACCATATCCAACTTATAATTTTAATATAATTTACATAAAAAGAACGAATTACTTTTTATTTACGTTTAAAAAAGTTAACCTTTTCTTGATAAGTTTAAGAAAAATGAGATTTCAATCCATACTCAACATGAGCAGGTCACAATTCATGGAATCTACATTATCAGCACGTATTTCAAGAGACAAATCATAACACCGCCCTCGAAATAGTTTTAAGGATTTTGAAATGTATCACAAGACCACCAAAATACGTGTCTGGTGTAAGATATCAAGAACAAGTTCCGTTGAAGGACTCGGAATGACCTCAATTATTGTTGTTTTCTTTCTCAAAGTATACAAAGTCCTGAAAACAAAAAAAAAAACAACAATACAGATAGAATGCATTCAGTGATTCATAATGCATATTCTGGTCATTTTTGATAATTTGTCTTACCACAAGAAAAATGGCCCCAAAAAGCAAAGCTTTGCTTGAAACAGCCATGTCTAATGGAACTGTAGGTAAAAAGAAGAAGCAATGATTCCATCCATCAGTTTTGTTAATGTATATATGCGGGTATAGCGAATTCACTAACTCTATACACATCATATATACACTGTAATATTAATAGCTAGAGTTAACTCATCCCTGCAATATGAATCTTGTCTAAAAGTCTCAAGTTCTCTTCATGCAATGGGCTGGTACGAATATAATTTACTAATTACTAGTAGTAATAAGAAGCGATTGAATACATACATGTGACTCCAAATGTATCGGCATCAGTGAACATTTCACGTCCACATCCGGCCCAGCGCTTAAACATCCGGCCCAAAACATTTTGCTCCGTCAAGTCCGTAATCTATAAACGGCATGAAGAATAACAGATGAAGAATAATAAAACTCTTCATATGGCTTACCAATATTTCTTCTATATACAGTTCAAAAATACACATCTTTCTGATAACTTACAGGAAAGTCAATGTCATCTGTGCAACATATATTCTGGCATCCCCAGCAACACGGTCCACGGATGACGTACATTGGTTGCCGGTTGGCGTCAAAAACGCGAATATGAGGTTTCCATTTTGAAGTTCTGCAAATTACAAGGGATAAAGCAGTCCAGTATTTCGTACCCGCATTAAACATGTACATGTATGTGAGAAGGTTATTTGCAACCTTATATCTAGCTAAACTCACTGCTGTTTGGCATAACCGATGATATTTCCGACTGGAGCCTCGATCTGGACTTCATAACCACAGGAAGAGTCGGTTGCACACCAGCAACATCCAACACAGCAGACGAAGTCATGACGGACCCGCATCACCTCCTTAAAGTATCAAATATTTACTGCATGTACTTACTCTGTGTGGAAGTTTCCAGTACAACCCCCCCCCCCCCCCCGAGCTTTCCTTTAAAAGGAGGGTAATGGCCAGCATTCATTTCATAGAGACAAAAACATATAAAATATAATTTAAATGAGCGGAATTACTTTAGAGAAATTTTAAAAGCTGAAACTATTGAATGCCAATGTTCCCTCAATCTGGTAATGCCTTTTAACTTGAAGTTGTCAGGACTAAGTTTAAAGGTTTGTAGGTAGTTGAATATAAAAAAGTAATTTAGGTGTTAATAAAGCCCACCGATAAATTTTCTTGTCTAGTTAGTATGGAGGCCTACCCCCTCCCCCCACTTCTCTGCAAAGATAGACATAATGTATAGAAATTGAGTATCAGGCCATAGGTTAAGCCCCTCCCCCCCCCTTTCAACAAGCACCTTGCAGAGTAGTTAGGGAAAGTGGTTGTGTTTGAAATTTGCTTCCGACGCCAATGCTATTATACTCTCTTGCAGAACTGCAGATGCAAAAAGCATCTTACATGTTACGTATAGTTTGACCAGAAATCCAAACCTTCTCACCTGACCATTATTATCTGTGACGTGCATAACGTATTCCCTGTTTGGTCCACAGCATTGTCTGCCGCAAAAGTCGGATTCTGTTCATGTAAAATAACAAATTTTACTTTGAGTCGTAACTGATGAAGATCTCAAAATTTTCCTGATATGTCACAGGTTATTTTCGACAGACGCTATCATGGAATAATATTAAAATATAAGCGAGACAAATTTTCCATTTTGTGTGTGTAGGGGTGGATGGGGTATATAATCTACGCTAATACAATAGTTTACGAGATAAAACTTTCACAAAGAAGGATCTCTAATAATTCTGTAATTGAGCGAAAATTACTAGTAAATTCTTGTGAATAAAAACTTAACCTTCTTGGGCGAAGTAGCACTGCTGTCCCACGCTGTTCATTACGTCATACTTATTCCTCGTCTCAAAACCAGTAATAACTGTAATTAAGAAAAATCACATTTACAACTCGTAATATATCATGAATTGAAACCCTTTAGGTGTCTTTCATAAAGCTAGGTATGAGCACATTTCTCTTTTAAGCCCCACCTTTGTGAACTGAAAGACAAAAAATATAAAGCAGTGGATCTACTTTACAGATCTGCGCTTTCCTTGACATCAATGTAAATTATGTAAAATAAGTGCTCATGACCTAAGAATTGAAAAAGGCAGATATGAATCTGTAAAAAATAATGCTGGTCAAAGAATCCCCTTAGATAGAAACAAAAGAATATGTTTAATGTGTAACCAAAACAATATAGAAGATGAATATCATTTTCTTACTGAATGCCCATTATATACTGAGGAGAGAGATAAATTTTTTCGTGATATCTCATTACTAAACAAAAGTTTCATATTATTATCAAAAGGAGACAAATTTCTCTGGTTAATGTCTAATGAAGATAATCTAATTATTACAAAGCTAAGTGAATATCTTGTCAAAGCCTTCAAAATAAGGCATAATGCCATGAGTTTTCATAAATAATGTTATAGACACATATTTATTTGTAAACTGGTATATATGTATATTGATAATATTGATTTTGATTGCATGTTAATTAACAATTTGATAACCCCAACTGCTGCATCTACATGTCCAGTTACTTGTAATATTATATCAGATATATACATGTGTGTGTATGTGTGTTTATGTTTGTATATGTTTACTATAACCTTTCTTTTAGAACTTTCTATCTTGTCATTGTAAGAAACCTTTATGCCTTCTGGGCCCAAAATTGGAAATAAAATTATCTTATCTTATCTTATCTTATCTTATGTATTATTTCCCTTGCATAACTACCGGGCCCGGTACACTTTTAAAAACTTCTTTCACTTATTTATATTATTAATTACCCAAATCACGCACCATCCTATTCATGAACTACATGAACACTATTTCTCTATTCACGCCTAAATTTTACAAACATCTTATTCAATATAAAGCATTTTGGTCATTAAAATTTATTTGAATGCAAAGAAATGTTCATTAGTTATAGATCTGTTAACTTAAAACATGCGCCAAAAAGTTCATTGCCTTTTTAACAACTCTTTTCCTAGGTATCAGTTTAAATAAGGCTTTAAAACATTACTACTTTTTCAAATATACATGGAAATGCATAATGACTCTTACATCTTTCCGTATATATGTTTAGCTTTAGGAAAAATTCAATGTTTAAGATTAATACAACACTTTTTAATTTTTTCATGTTGTTTGAAAATCGATAATTACACACTCTCTAGTAATTCTATCCGCTGTTTCACAATGATCTGGTCCAAAGCTGACAAATAATCCATCCCCGGGGGTCCACCACCCGCCACAGACTCGGGGTTGTTCATCCATTCCACTCCTGGAATGACATAAGAAAAAAATTATTAATTAAAGGTGATCATGCTATCATAAGCCTTAGAAGGTGATCATGCTATCATAAGTCTTGGACCATTTACCCACTTTCCAGCATCGGTCAATTAACTACCTTTCACTCCATAATTCTAGACACATTATTTAACTAATCTGTATATTTTAGCCATCTACCTACCCTTTATAGTCGTCTCTACAAGTGATAAACTCGCTTGGTTAAAATCATGTGTTCGATTGCTGAATATTCACTTCAAGCGAGTTTGCCTGTAGAGACAACTATAAATGGTTGGGAGGTGGATAAAATATACATATTGGCTACAAAATGTGTCTAGAATTAGGGAGTGAAAGATAGTTGATTGACCAATGCTAGAAAGTGGAAAAATTCTCCCCAAAAGTGCGCAAAAAAATTGCGCCATAAATTGCACCTTTCTGCATTAAGGGATCTGTACTAGCGTTATGGTCAAAGACAAATATATAAAACCATAACGCTACAGATCTGCAGCTAACCGAATGTTGTTTAGAAAGCATAATATCGTAAGTATCTGTTTACGTCAGAGGTCAAGGTTGAGAGTTGGGGGTGGGGTATAAAGGGGCATAGAAAAAGTCAGAAATAAAGTTTGAACTCACCTTGTCTGGGCGCGGAGGGGCTTATAAAACACAACAAGAGGCCCACAGGCCTTATAGGTCACCTGAATATCAAGTAACAACTTTCCAACAATTGAAGTTGGTTCGTGTTTTAAACCAGAGGCCGTGAAATTCACAATTTTGGAGGAGGCACCACTTGCTTATCATAACTATACACTTAGCATGCTTACTTTGGTTACTTAATACCCCACGATAGATCAGAGTAATAAAGAGAAAATGCATTTCCACTTCATAACAAGTTGTTCACCCCACCCCACTGACCATGGGGCCACAAATTTCAAAATTTTGGAAATTTTATCATTTATTTTCTTTCATCATAAATGGTTGATTAATACCAAAGAGCAGATTTCAAAGCATTAATTTATTTTCAGACCATGTACCCCCTCTCCCCGATACCCCTGACCCAGGGGCCCTGAAATTAACCATTTTGCAAGATGTACCTTAATGTCTTCATCATAAATAAATATACTACTAGTACTTAGATCATTGGCATAATACTCTGGAGGAAAGGAGAAGAATTTCTAAGAATTCGTGCATTTTCACTATATAATCATTAGAGCCCTGCCCTAACACCGGAACCCCGACTCAGGGGCCATGAAATTCACAATTTTGGAAGAGGCATCCTTCCTCATCATAACTATGTATATAGTTCATTGGTTTAAGGACAGACGAGACGTTCCTTAATAATAGATAAATTTTTCTAAGAGTTTGACATTGAAGTATTGCTACTTAAACATGTTTACTCACAAAAAATTGAGATACCTTACCAGGCATTTCTGCAAGATACCAGCGGTAGTTTTTCTTATATAATCCTTTGGGGAAGAAAAATAATTTTTTAATTTTAAATATTTAAGTGTTTGGATTTATTAAAAACGTTTAGAAACTGGTTTAGAAATCAGAATGTTATTAAAATTTTGAATATTTTTCATACATTACGAAGATATACAAAACAAATGTTGAGGAACGTCTCGTCTGACCTTAATACGCAGGAGCAGAGAAGAAGATTTTTATAAGAATTAATGCATTTCCACTATATAGAGCCCCGCCCTAAGCCCCTAACACCAGAACCCCTGACCCTGTGGCCATGAATTTCACAATTTTCAAAGAGGCACTCTTGGTCATCATAACTATGTACTTAGTTATCTTGTTTAATACCCAGGCACAGATTTTCAAAGAAACAATACACTTTTACTATATGATCTATATAGCCTTACCCAAACACCATAACCCCTAACCCTGAGGCCATGCATTTCATAATTTTGATAGAGGGTTCACTGCTTATTGCAATCATGCCAACAGTTTGACTGCTTGATGTGCAGGGGTGAAGAAGAAGATTTTTAAGTATTGCATATTTTTGGTGGTTTTAGCCTATCCCCTCAGGCCCAGGGGACAGGAAAAGTGAAATTCACAAATTTTGTTCCCCTTTACCCATAGATGCTGTATACCAAAGTTGGTTGAAATTGGTTCAGTGGTTCCAGAGAAGAAGCTAAACATGTTTACGAACGACGTAGGACGATGGACGAAAACAGATACAAGTAGCAATGGGTCACCTGAGTTGACCTAATAATAAAGCTTGAACTCACCTTGTCTAGGCTGCATCTGAATAGGTTGCCACGGCTGCTGAGTCGCCATTTTTAAATTCTATACCTACAAATTATAGACAATTAAGTGCAATCAATTCAGCTAATTTTAAGACACAATTGGCCCAAGGTCATTACGCTCACCCGAATCACTCAGATCCCGCTGTACTTAATCAGCAGATTTCCCCCGTTTGTGTACCTACATGTATGTATGTAAAACTCGATTTAAACAAACATGAACCTACATCTGCCGAGGATGTCTTCATATAAAAATGACTGATAATTGCTTTGCTGTTCTAGAGAAGTTTTTTGTATTATATTCACATTTAGAACTTTTGCTCCCCATCATATCTAATTGTTCTACCTCTGGAAACATGCTTTCAATAAGCTTAAATTTACACTAAATCGTGAAGTTTTCACACGTTTCTTAATTTCTGACCAAGTGGGTCAAACTCCAAGGTCAATGTCAAAAAGTTAATACCCTTAGAAAAGTCTTGTCATAAAAAAAAACACATGAAGTAGAAAACCCAGAGCAACAAGAGTTCTTCAGTTATGGTCAAGGTTAAAGTTTGACAAAAAACGCTTTTAAAAGTGAGTAAAATGTTAAGGTCTAGGTGACAGGCATCGCCGGATACCCACGGGTGATCTCATCTTTACTCATCACGTTATAAGTAAAGACGAGATCACCGGCGTTGGGTGAAAGGTCAAATTTTTTAATGCCCAAAAGGAAGGTCTTGTCACAAGGAATACGTATGTGAAATATGAAAGTCACAGTTCCAACCAATAAAAACTTTAGTGCAAATTTAATGTTTTTGCGGACAAACAGCTAGACAGACAAGCGGACAGAAAACGGACGGATAGAAAAAATCATAGATCCCCGTATCTTTGATTACGGGGACATAAAAATGAAAAAAAAAAGTTAGGAGGATATGACGTAACATTTTTTCTAGTATCTATAAGCCTGAAATTCTTTATTATGGTCGCAAGAATTAATGAGCCATTTTATTCCTTTTATCGATTTTTTAAAACTTTAAAGACCTTAGTTCCGTGTTAAGTTTTAACAAATTGAACGCTTATTATTCCCTAGTGCTTTAATGGCACTAGCTCGAGATACCCGTATTTATTCATCTCCGTGTTTCTCATATAAATCGTTGATCAAATATGTACGGCTAAATTATAAATCCATTTTTATTAGCAAGTATTATTCATTCAATCAATGAATACACACATACGTACATCCAAATTGGATGCACACATGAGTATATGCACTTTCAAAATACTTTTGAAAAATTTTAATCTCGCATAACTTAATTTTGAACAATCAGTGCAAGGGCTTTAATATTTCACATGTTTACTAGAATTTATTATAACAAGGCGTTCCCCTGGATATCTTAAATTTGACCCTCTGGCCTCGATCTTCGAGTTTGACCCACTTCAAAAAACTTTAATCTTGGACGCCATAACTTTTGAATGGCTAGTGTCTGGGCTTTAATATTATTGAGACATGTTCTATGTCATCTCTTCACCTGGAGTTTATTTTGAATTTGACAAGCATTAACATTCGTCCATAGCTGCTATACGGTGCCATCCGTATTTTACAAACACATTTTTTCTTGATTGCTTCTCAAACATATTGGTCATTTTCAATGTTTGTTCGTCTCCATGAACTAAAGAATAGTTTTTGCTTCTTTTAAATAAACATGAAATTTACTCAGTAAAGTTTTTTTTTTAAATATTCCAGACCTATACTACAAAAAGCACACTGGATAATTTAGATAATTTTGTTTTTAGTTTTAGAAAGTAACACAACCAACAGTTTTAATCTTTCAAATTCAAAAAGATCTATTAAGATGTCTATAACCCATGATATTTCAAACTATCTTAATATAAAAAGCCAGAAAAATATTCAAAATCTAGAAAAACACATTCTTTTTAAAAGATTTTTTTTTATTTTTAATTTTTACATTCCTTTAAAATTTGTCAAAAGTGCTTTCTGGATCTTTGCTCCTAAATTCACTCGACGTTTCATTCTAACCAAATTGAAAAGATTCTTAACCGATTAATGCTTGGATTCTAAGTTTAAAAAAAAACATTGAAAGAGTAAAAATTTATACATAAGATTTTCTGATACATGTAAGACATACCTTTTGGAGTAACAGCTAGGAGTCCTGTGTACAGAATGTGCTTACAGTCTACAGAACTTCGATCTGTTTCAGTTATTTCAAAATTTGTTAATGTTCAAACCATGGGCATGGTGACTTAAGCCGATTGATATATTTGGTATATCTAAAGCGTTAACAAACAGAAATGGTCGCTTTATCCGTTCTAATAATGGAGATTCTATATACACGTATACTTGTGTAGTAAAAAAAATGTGGTCATTTAAACTTCTGGACAATATTTCTCCTTCTTTAGTTTGGCATTTAAAGACAACCAACTGTCCAACTGCTTTACTAAATATAAGCGTTTAAACAGCCATCATTAATCAACTTATGTATTAATCGGAAGACTGAATGTGCATGTGTGTGCAGTTGATAGTAGAAAAGTCCGTTGTAACATAAATTGTTAAGCCAGCAATGATCGTGTGAAAAGTAATAGTGTCATTTATTAAAGAGACAGTATGGCGCATCTCATCAAAAGCAGACTTGGTAAAAATTTCCGATAAGATTTGGAATATTTTTAAATTCTCATAAATGTACACACTTTCACAAAATTAAAAGTTTCATAAGTAAATAATTCTGATTAAAAAAACAGCTCTGCATCAGCCACAATTATAAAACGAAACAATACATGAAGGAAAAACAACATTTTTTTTTTCATTTTGTTCATAGTGTAATACAAACCACAATTTCAACAATTCTAGAAACAAATTTGCAAAATAAAAAACAATTGGTCGCTAAATTGGAATTTTCTGTAGATGAGGTTAAAATAGAGGTGTAAACATTTTTTTTTTTTTGAAAATGATGAAAATAACAATGTTTTCGCAAATGGTGAAAATACATGTAACAATTTTCAGTAAAATGAATAAGGTTAGCCGCATAAAATTTATTTTTTTAATTCAAAGGTTAATAGTGTTGCAATTTAAAGTAACAAAAAATTCTATTGACTGATAATGATGTTAGCAGAAAGGTAGAATTTTGAACGCAATTTCTGAATATTTTGAAAAATTATTAATCACATCACTTACAACCCAAAAAGTGCCTGAAATATTGACCAATCCAGACATCCAATTTTTTAGCTTATATCATGTATCCTTAAACATAAAATAAGTTTAATATACTGAGCAAATTTAAGACAAATCAATGTTAAAAACTAAATTAACATAAAAATAAACTGGTGATCTTTCACTTTTAGATTGAACTCCCCTAGCAAAAAGGGTCTTACTCCTTCAAGGGACATGGAACTGTTGTATTGATGTTTTGTTTGCAATTTGATTTTTTTTTCTTTTAATTAAAATAAGGGTAAGGTTAGTAAACTGAATTGAATTGACATGCAAATTCTTGGAATTCATTTTGTGTGTCAGTCAAACACGTACCGAAATATTTAGTTTCAATAATTATTAAAAGGAAGTTTCTAAATGTGCTTATATGTATACATGTAATATTTCTGACTGAAATTTTCTAGCAACATGTAAGTCATGTATATACAAAAATTTTAATAAAATACATGTATTCACTTCAAATCTGTGTTCAAGCCTCTGAATTCAATGTTGAGCCAGCATAAGTAAAAAATATGGATGCAATGTTTCTAAATACAGTAAATTAAGGGAATGTAAAATAAAAAATTGTCTGCTAAATAAATCCTTTTCATTTTTCTTCAAGATTGCTTCACTTTAAGTGAAAATAAAACAAATGTAACAAAAATAAAAATATAAAATGTATGGAGGTTACTAAAATGTCAATGAATATCACAAAGTATAAAAATAAATATAATATATCGATAAAAATGGTTACAATTTTCTTCTTGGTTTGTCTTCTGTTTCATTTGTAAGTAATAGCAGTGGTACCCCTCCTCTGAATATAAATTAATATAAACCCTGTATAGTTCTTTCATTTCTTTTTTAATTGTTGTTGTTCTTTTGTTGCTCGTAGTAGAGGAAATCCTATAAGAATATGAAAACATGTCAATAATTTAAGAGTAAATGGATCATGAGTTGAATATGGTCAACCAGGAATGGAACAAGACTTACCACAAGAAAGAGAGATCCAAACAACATGGCTTTGTGCGGTACAGCCATATCCATTGGGACTATTAATAAATAGATATTAAAAATAACATCTACATGTAGCAATATTTTTAATATTATAACACCATTAATTAATTATGGAAATAAAATGTAATAAAAGTGTTTTTATAAAAAACTAATTTAATTTCTTTCTAATTTTTTTCCTCTCTTTCTCCTCTGTGGATAACAGAAACAATTAAAGAATAGTAAACTGGTCTTCTTTTTTTCTCTCGTGAAAACAGCCGTAGATTAAAACTATAAGTAAGGATTTGAGAGAGCTATTACACATACATGTGACCCCAAATGTATCAGCATCGGTAAACATTTCACGTCCACATCCAGCCCAGCGCTTAAACATCCTGCCCAGGTTGTTCGTTTCTGACAGGTCCATTATCTATACAAAAAACGTAAGGTTTCTCAAAAAATGATTACATATTATATTCATTTATTTGATTTTTACATAAAACATAAAAGAAATTATAAAAACACGTTAAAAAAAATCCTTGCAGCCATTCCGAAAAGCCACTCACCGGAAAGTCAATGTCGTCTGTACAGCAGATATTCTGGCATCCCCAGCAGCACGGTCCACGGACGACGTACATTGGTTGCCGGTTGGCATCAAAAACGCGAATGTGAGGTTTCCATTTCGAAGATCTGGAAAGGAATATTCTCATTCATAAATTTCTGTTTTTATGCCAGGTTTTCTTGCTCGAAGAAAAATTTCAAAAATTTCAAATTAAAGCAAATTAAAAAAAAGAAACTAACTGTTGTTTTGCATAGCCGATAATGTTTCCGACTGGAGCTTCGATTCTGACTTCATACCCACAGGAAGAATCTGTGGCACACCAGCAGCATCCTACGCAGCAAACAAAGTCGTGGGCGATCCTCATCACCTCCTACAGGGAAGTAAACAAGAGGCCCATGGGCCACATCGCTCACCTGAGAAGCTTTGACCATGCTGTTCTTTACCAGATTTCCCCCTTGTAATACATATTGTGACCCCACCCCTACCCTGGGGGTCATGATTTGAATAATTTAAAACCTACACTACCTCTGGATGCTTCCACATAAGTTCCAGCTTTTCTGGCCCAGTGGTTCTAATGAAGATTTTCAACGATTTTTCCTATATATTTTTATATACAACTTTCATTCCCCATTGTGGCCCTGCCAACCCCCCGGGGGTCATGATTTGAACAATTTAGAATCTACACTACCCCAGGATGCTTCCACATAAGTTTCAGCTTTTCTGGCCCAGTGGTTCTTGAGAAAATATTTTCAATGATTTTTCCTCTATATTTTTATATAAAACTTTCATTCCCCATTGTGGCCCTACCCAACCCCCGGTGGGTCATGATTTGAACAATTTAGAATCTACACTACCTCAGGATGCTTCCACATAAGTTCCAGCTTTTCTGGTCCAGCTGTTCTTGAGAAGAATATTTTCGAAGATTTTTCCTATATATTTTTATGTAAAACTTTCATTCCCCATTGTGGGCCCGCCCAACCCCCGGGGTCATGATTTGAATAATTTAAAACCTACACTACCCCAGGATGCTTCCACATAAGTTTCAGCTTTTCTGGCCCAGTGGGTCTTGAGAAGAAGATTTTTTTATGACCCAACCCTATTTTTGTCTTTTCTTGATTATCTCCCCTTGTGAGAGGACCTTGCCCTTCATTTTAATAATTTGAATTCCCCTTTACCCAATAATGCTTTGTACCAAGTTTGTTTAAAATCGGCCCAGTGGTTCTTGAGAAGAAGTCGAAAATGTGAAAAGTTTACAGACGGACAGACGGACGGTTAGCTAGACAGCTAGACGGTTGGATGACGGACAAAATGTGATCAGAAAAGCTCACTTGAGCCTTCGGCTCAGGTGAGCTAAAAAGAACCGTCACCTTCACATTCGTAACCCACGTGAGTACTTTTCAAAAGTTTTCTAAGATTAACTGAACTAACAGAGGAATATTGGCTCATAAAACATTTAATTTTAAGGCATCGTTACCTGGCCGTTGTTATCTGTTATATGCATTACATATTCTCGCATTGGTCCACAGCAAATTCGGTTACAAAACTCAGATTCTAAAACAAATCAGGGTGGCACTATTTATTATATCGTTTCAAATGATTTTTATGGCGCCATTTAAAATGGGTAAAAAAAGAACTACAACTTTCATTCTTTTAAAAATCTTATCACTTATCAGCACCATATTGAATAATTATTAATGATATATGTATCTTTGATTAATTACTTAATGATATGATGTATCTTTGATTAATTAGTAAATACTTAATGATACATGCACATATATCTATGATTAATTACTTATTATCCATGACTTATACCTTCCTCCGCATAGTAGCACTGTTGTCCAACGCTGTTTAAAACGTCATATTTATTTCTCATTTCGCAGCCAGTAAATACTGTAAGAAATATACTGTAGATTGGCAAATATTCACGATGGTTTTGAATTTCACTATGTTCGCGATTTATCATTTTTCCGCGAAATTAAACCCATCGTGAATGCTGTCATTAGTTTTTAAAGATGTTTTTATGCTTTAAAGAAACTTAAATTTATTTTTTGCAGTGTGAAATTAAAACAATCGCGATTGGTACTTTTTGAGAATCGTGAAATTTTAACACCGTGGAATTAAAATGACTTACAATATAAATTTTTATACTTAGAATATTCAAACAATGTGCATAAAAACTTTGAACAGAAGGTAATCGTATCAACTTGGAATAGATATTAACATCAGGGGTTTAAACTGTAATATATATATAAGGAACAAAGTTGTTAGTTGAGTGTATGCTCTACACATTTATCATGCTCATTAAAATAGCAGCTTTATTGTAGAGGTCAAATGTAATGGCCAAGTCAAAAAAAGTCAAACTTTGATTGTGACCCACTCCTATTGTACCTCTGATACGAGGTGCTGAATTTTTAACGATATTGATATTTTACGTGCCAGTAAAAAAAAAAGGCTGGAAAACGTCAGATATTTCAAACAACTTACCCTCTAGCAATTCCACTCTCTGTTTAACAATCATCTGGTCCAAGTTCGCCATATACTCTAACCCTGGGGGAACACCAGAAATGGACTGGGGCATGCTCATCCACTGCCCACCTAATATATAAAACATTAAAAACAGTTCATTAGAATACAGCAACACATCAGAGATCTCTGGAAAGTTCACATATTGAGTACTGAGGTAAATTTTCCTTTACTAGGGAAGATATTTCCTTCCACGACATGTATTTTTCATGCCTGAGGTACATTTCTGCACCTCGTATCAGAGGTACAATTTTTGTAATGGATACATTCTGGGGTATATTTTTGTATTTTTTTTTCCATGTCTAAAGGAACAGTTGCTTTATCCGAGGTACATCTGTGTAACATTCTGCAGAGGTAAATAGGCTAATTATGTGAAAACCAAATCTATATAATAAAGAATTAACTTTGTGAATTTTAAATTTGTGAAATTCTGAAACTACGAAACTCCTATACATATAAAAGATTGCTCCTTCACAACCTGTGTGGGGCACTGAGGGCACAGCACCAGAGGACCTGACATATCATATTCATATTAAGCATATATTTGTCTTGTTTATATTTTGACAGAATAAACGTTGATCCTTTTTGTCACTCGCACAGATTGTCACAAACCTCACGTACACACACAGATCCTCTCCCTCCCTCACACACACCTTCATACACTCTCTAAATTTTACATATCCTCACACACACGCATGTATCCATAGATAGTAACCAACCCCCTTTCATTAAGTTACTTGGTTTTATATATCAAAAGAGTTCGATAAAAGAAAATGTTGGATCTGCGGAATGCAAACTTTCAGCGACCCTGCGACGAAACTGTTGTACACGGTGATGATAAGGTAAACATGGATATGTAAACAGGTAAACATAATTCAGATCCACATTTTTTGTTTTCATCGAGTTTTGGAAATAGGTTGGGGCTTTATTTATAAAATATATACATGTACATACCTTGTCCAGGTTGCGTCTGCACCGGAGGTTTCTCTGCCATGTTGATAATTACCTGCACAGGTAAAAATAAAAGGTAAACAATAAACAACTACACTATTAAGTATGATAGAAATTTGGCTTAAACAATATCGAAATGAAGTTTACCAAAACACGATACAGTCCAGGTTTGCTCTACGTACCACGACCTGTGTTAACTTATTTAGACATACCTATTATTTGTAAATAGCAAGATTTCGAAATCATGCATAATCGATATAAGTCCGGTGATTGCTTTGGATTTTACGTAAATCTATATAAAGCCTATGTACTTGTACAGAGTCTATTTCAAATTCAATATGTCCAAACAACTTACCAAAGGTAAATAAATTCCTGTCTGAAGTCAGGGCACCTGGGGTAACTGCTTTGTTCCGCCAGAGTGCACTTAAATATGTAATCGCGTAGAACTGTTAAAAGGAGGAGGTTTCCGACCTACCGATCGGTTTGCTTCATTTAAATTCCGCTACTAGTGTCCATGGTGTAGTCGCTCGTTTAAATTGTTTGAGTGCCCCATTTCTTTTCAGGAATGAAGTTTTGAGTGCCCCATTTCTTTTCACGAATGAAGTTTTGAGTGCCCCATTTCTTTTCACGAATGAAGTTTTGAGTGCCCCATTTCTTTTCACGAATGATGTGTTGCGTGTACAAAGAGGAATCGATCTGGTCAGCAATCTACATGCAAACTTATTTTTTACCTCAGTTCTTAACAATAAACTTCATGACCTTATTTACTTGTTACCGACGTTTTAAAATAAAAATGTACATAAAGCAGGACTATATACAGTGATCCCATTTTTGCTCTACATCTTCATTACTGTCTCATTAAAAAAAAGAATAAACAGAATATTTGTATATTATACGTTTTGTCAAAGGTGTATGTACACATATATTGTGATGTAGCTGTTCAGAAAATATGGCAAAAGTTAAGTTTGTTTTAAAAGACTAAGTATCATGTCAAACTCCAAGGTCAAGGTCACAAGGACAAATACGTTGATACCCAAAGAAAGGTCTCGTTACTTGAAATACACGTTAAATATAAAAGCCCTTGAATAAACTGTTACAAGGCTGGCTGTTTCCAAGGTTTTAGTTTGATAAAAGTACGTCAAACCTTAAGGTCAAGGTAAAAAGCTCAAAATTGTTGGTACTGAAAGAAAGATCTTGTCACAATGAACACATGTGAAAGATAAAATCCCTTGGCCCAACCATGGGCAAGGTTTAAGTGTTTTCGGACAAACAGACAAACGAATTAATCAGCATATTAACAGACAGAAAGACAGACAGACAAAAACCTGTATGCCAGCCCCGACTCTTCGATTATGGGTGAGAGAGTGGGCTTAAAAAGTGACCTAATTTCTAGCCTTGTGCTGAATAACTCAGAAAAACCGGACACATCAATGTTACGTTGGAGTCGGTGATTTGTTGTGTTCCAAATAATAACCTGTGATAGTTCAGTACAGTACAACGGATTAGCTTGAATGCACAAGTTGTATCTTTTTTTCAGATAAAATTATCGTGTTGTCTTCATAATATATTGTATCTTCGGGAGGGTGGGAGATAAGACATTCACATGCATTTACATAATTTTCTGCTTCGTAAACATGACAAGGTTTGTACTGGGTTTCGAAATTTCTCAAAACAACTGTCAGTTATTGAAAAATCCCGAATTCGCCAAGCAGCTGGTTAGTGTCCTTTCTGACATATTTTATTTTTCAAATAAAATCTGCAACAACTATGAATTTTAAGATTTTTATTTTCTTATTTCATTTATTTAATATTTTCACTTCTTTTAGTTTCTGTAATTATTTAATTTGTTTTAATTTTCAAACAACAGATTAATTGGAATTAATTCAATGTTTTATAAGCAGACGGTGTATATCAAAGAAAGACTTCTTCTGTCATAATGTACAATGTACATGTATTATCTATTTGTTGATTTCGTTCATAGAACTCATACATTGTTTAAAATGTTTCGATCAATAGATTTTTTATTATACATGTAAAAATGTAAAATTGTACTTGAGGGTTTCCTTTCATCTGTGTAATTCTGGAATCAAAGGTGTCAACCGTTCGATTTAGTGTTAAGTCCTAAGGGGTTATGTTTATAATTAAAGTATGGTCAATTGGTCAAGTAGATAAATAAATTACATAAAAACAAAGTGAGATTATCCGTAAATTAAATTTTAAGCATGTATATAGATTTTGATTGGTTAATACCTGTACAGGGAAGCGTGGAGTCTCCGATATAGATTGTGTCCTCTACTGGGATCCACCTGATCGGAGACGGCAAATTGCAATAAAAAAAGTTTCATTTTATTTACGCTTTCCCTGGTTACTAGTATATGTATTTTACAGTCATCCCAAACCGTACTGAACTGGAGACTGGGTCAAAAGGCTCCCTCACTGCAAGCGAGTTCCCCAAGGTTCAATAAAGCGTCAAAACTAGACACGACACTATTTTACAGTTTACTGTTACAATTTTTTGGGGGGGCCTTCATTGAAAAGGACATTGGATTATATCGTTTTCTTCGTATTTATTAAGAAATACTCCTCTATTTTATTCGATACATTTTCATTCAAAAACCAGCACAACATCGTTCTTTCGCCTCCAGTTCTTTAAAGGAATAAAAATAAAATGAGAGATAGCATTTACAACAATTTATACTTCTTGGATTCTTTCAGTTGTTTATTCAATTTTTATTATTTATTATGATACTTTTCAAAACACTTGATTTTGTTTGCGACCAGTTTTGCTTTGCTAAATATTTTATGTGCTGAGCATCTAGTGTGATGCAAAGAGGTGAAGTGATCATTAGTTTTGCAACGAAGTAGGTTGTTGATTTTGTTTTAAGCAAGTCTGTTTTGTATTTCAGTAGGCCTGTAGATGTTTTTGAATAATAAATTATCTTTTTAAAATAGTCTTTATTTTAACCGTTTCCGCTGACCACAAATTTTCCTTTTTACCATTCTCCTTACTGAAAGCAGTCGTCTGATAAAAACAAGAATCGAGCGTGTTTAGTTTTATTCAATTCTTTAGAGATATGATTGCATTCATAGACAAATATAAACATAAACATCTCTGATGTGTACATTTTACTGGCTCGTCCTCTTTTCCTCAATAGAAAGCCCCACGAAACAATCCAGATGTGTACAGCTTTTGATATTGTGTGCGTATCTATACAGCCCAGTATCTATAGTATGAGGCACGAATTGTCCGTGGGTCTGTATGCGTTCTACTGTATCCCGCTAATACCCAGTATTTCTTCCACAGTTAATTATCGTCTTCTGATGTTTCATAGTACAAAAAGTCCTGAAATAAAATTATATTGAACATTAAATAATGAAAAAAAACCCTCAAAAGATAAATACAGGAGGAAGAGGAAGGGTTAGTTTGAAAAAAAAAACAAACAAGAGGCCCATGGGCCACATCGCTCACCTGAGAAGCTTTGACCATTCTGTTCTTCACCAGATTTCCCCCTTGTAACACATAATGCATCCCAACCCTACCCCACTGATCATAAAGACTTTTTGAAATCTACACTACCCCAGGATCCTTCCATGTGCACATAAGTTTCAGCTTTTCTGGCCCAGTGGTTCTTGAGAAGAGGATTCTCAAAGATTTTTCCTATATATTTCTATGTAAAACTTTGATTCTCCATTGTGGCCCCACCCTTCCCCCGGGGTGATGATTTGAACAATTTAGAATCTACACTACCCCAGGATGCTTCCACACAAGTTTCAGCTTTTCTTGAGAAGAAGATTTTCAAAAATTTTTCCTATATATTTTTATGTAAAACTTTGATTCCCCATTGTTGCCCCCCCTTCCCCCGGGGGTCATGAATTGAACAATTTAGAATCTACACTACCCCAGGATGCTTCCACATAAGTTTCAGCTTTTCTGGCCCAGTGGTTCTTGAGAAGAAGATTTTTCCTATATATTTCTATGTAAAACTTTGATTCTCCATTGTGGCCCCGCCCTTCACCCGGGGTTCATGATTTTTACAATTTAAAATTTACACTACCCCAGGATGCTTCCACATAAGTTTCAGCTTTTCTGGCCCAGTGGTTCTTGAGAAGAAGATTTTCAAAGATTTTTCCTATATATTTCTATGTAAAACTTTGATTCTCCATTGTGGCCCCGCACTTCCCCCAGGGGTCATGATTTGTAAAATTTAGAATCTTCATATCCCAGGATGCTTCCACATAAGTTTCAGCTTTCCTGGCCCAGTGGTTCTTGAGAAGAAGATTGTTTAATGACCCCACCCTATTTTTGTCTTTTCTTGATTATCTCCCCTTGTGAGGGGACTTGGCCCTTTATTTTAAGAATTTAAATTCCTCTTTACCCATGGCCAAGGATGCTTTGTACCAAGTTTGGTAAAAATTGGCCCTGTGGTTCTTGAGAAGAAGTCGAAAATGTGAAAAGTTTACAGACGGACAGACAGCTAGACAGACGACGGACAAAATGTGATCAGAAAAGCTCACTTGAGCCCTCGGCTCAGGTGAGCTAAAAACAGAATAAGGAAGACGTGAATCAATGATGTCCCTGAAGGACAGCTCATTACCAAGGTCAAAGATTCTATAATGCAATTCAAACTACAAAGTCAAGAAGTCACACATTATTACAATCATAATACATACCAGTATATTTGTCAGAAGACATACATGTGAAATATGAAATGAAAGCCCTAGCACCGTTCAAAAGATATGACCAATATGACAGTTGGTTAAATTTTGCAAAAGTGGGTGAAACTCTAAGGTCAAGAGATCTAATTTGTTGGTATTTCAAGAAAAGTCTTGTCATAAGGAATACACCTTTAATACAAGGGGTCTACAGTAGCTGTAACAAATCAAAAGTTACAAGAAAGGTTAAAATTTTGCGGATAAAAAGATAAAAGCTTGAAATATAGCAGCATACATATTGATATTATTCATGAAATAAATTGTACACAATTCTTGAAGAGTCTTGAGTGCTTGTCACGGACATTAACTTACCACAAGGAAGACGGTGCCAAATAGAAGGGCCTTACTCGTTACCGCCATATCGAGGGGAACTACAATATAACATAATAACAGAGGACTATAATATTTATCAGAAAACTCGTTAATATATTATACACCCATTCTCAATATAAGGGCACAAATGCCTCTCTGATTTTTTAAAAAAATGAAGTTCAAGATAACAATTTTTCTATCAATTACCTTTGAAAGAAAGTATCTGAAGATTTTGTTTCCAGATTTTTTTTCATCAAATTTTAATACATGGAATAATGACAAGATGGTAAAGTAGAGGGTGATTTTATTCAGAAACGTAGCTTGAAATGTACGTTACTCTTTCTTCAATGTCCAAAAAGATATGTCAAAAAAATGTAGTCATTAAAATCACAATTGGAATATCTCATCTTAACACCAGCACACCCTACCAACTCTGTCAGCAATATATTTTTTCGGCATACGAACGTGCGTTTGATTTTTCCTTTCATAAAACAAAGGTTACTTTTTGATCCAGATGTATAAAAACATTTATTTAAATATATGCTTTAAATTCTTCTTTCTGTTTTGTTTAGAGCGATCAGTTTGGAATCTTGTCATTTTCTATAGATACTGGAACTTAACATGTACATGTAGTAAAATTCTATTTTGTAGTTACTGTCTTTTTTAACATATATCCATGCCGATTTAGAAAACTACGTAAATATAACGTACATTTCAAGATATATTTCTGTTTAATAAAAAGCTTAAAATTCATCTAAAAATTCATCCTTTTGTTTCAGTTTATTCCAAAAAAGATTCTCTATGTAATCACATTGTGTTATATGTCACAATCACCACTATAAAGACACGATTGCCTCAGAATATGAGTAGGTAACGTACATTTCAAGCTTGTAATAATATGTAAATTAGTAATAAGAAAATATTGAAAAAAAAGAAGCAATTATTGACATAAAAATCATTTCAATGAAGCGTTTTAACGCAGTAATATAAGAAATCATAATGTAACAAACGAGGTTATTTGTCATCAACTACATAAATGTCACGTCACTTCGGTAACGTTCATTTCACATATATGTATTATTGGGGAGTCCCCTCCACCTCAGTTCAATCATTCTTTTGTCCTGTTTCGCTGAAATTGACACCGGTCGTAGCCTAGTTACTTCTACCCGTTTGCAAGGGTACAGACAAAAAAAATAAGAGTCAGACGTATTTTGCTATGATCTAACAAATGCTCGTGTTTGGCCATTGAAACTTAACATAAATCTATTCCGAATATATCCATCGACAGTCTTGTTAACAATTTCATTTAGTATGTTGCAACATCGTTTGTCAAAACACAAACATACGTGCTTTTCAGCAGATCTGGAAAAATATAACCCAAAATGCAATGATTCAAAAAAAAAAAAACAAAACAAAAAAAAAAAAAACTGAGTATTGTGTGCCTTTCAGTATTTGAAATGTACGTGACCGTCTTGTGTTCTGGGTTTATTTGTTTTATTTTTTTTTATTTTTATTTTTTTTACCAATTATAAGCCTATGCATACCTTGTTTTTAATCATCAACAACAATTAAATTAATATTGACGAAAAGTCGCATATTAAAAGTAAACAAACTGCAAAAAGGTTGCCAAAAATGAATTTAAGACACTTAGAAATAAATTTTCTAGCATGTGGTAACAGTCTACCTTATTTACGAGGATTGGGGGTGCATTTAGATGTGGCCAGTTGTCAAATGGATTGTAACGATAATTTTGTTTCGCTCGTGTAAACGCAATTCATTGACTAAATAAAAAAAATGTCAGTTAGAAATACGCAAAATGTACGTTACCATACGTAACGTACATTTCAAATATAAAAATCAAGTCTCTTCCAAAACCGTACGTTAGACACGCAATATATTGATACTATTTGAACTTGCATATCATAAGAAATGCATCATACAGGTTTCGTATTCAAAAATATATACCAGGTATCAAAATTATATTACATATAATTGACCTTAATATTTTTTTTTTCCTCAGCAGAAACGTTTCTTTTCATTAATTTTGGGATTTAGCAGACCTCCAACCTTTAAAACTTTCCTTTGTGTACACATTCGAGTGTGTGAAAGTATGAGAATACATAAAAATTCGTGCGAGATTCACTTAATTCGAATTTCATGGTAACGTACATTTCAGTAACGTACATTTCAAATGATCACTTTTCATGTAAAAAACAATTTTTAATTGTGTTAAGCAAAACGTCTTTGCCAGTTTACAGGATACAAGGGGTTGCTTATTCAGAGTCGTCTCATATTTTCTACTTAATATATATTCTTAATGGAAGAATATAGGTAACGTACATTTCTTTCTTATCTCTACGATTGAAAATGTCTTTCATTCCGTAAACATATTTATAAAAGTTGCTCAAATTGTTCAATTTCATGTTACATTATCTAAGTAGGAGTAATTAATCCTTTGAAATTTCAAATTTAGCCCATTAATAAATAAAGGAGAACAAAACTATCAGGTGTATAATATTTGTGTTTGCTTGTAATGTGGTTGAAATAGAATTAAGCGACAGGGACATTGCACAATAAAATTTATATATTATCAGAAAGAAAATGTTTTTATTGTTATGAAAAGAAATATATATGATACAATGTTTAACTTATCAGAAAATTTTTACATAAGAATCAAAACTATATATTACACAGAGGAGATTCAGCATAATATTTGCCTCGGCGACAGTAACGTACATTTCAAATAGGCTACTATATTTGAATTTGGAACTCCTTAAATACCCTTTCAGATCGATAATTATATGAATTTTTATTCATTGTTATATGACTATTTGTAATGTTGATTTAAAAGTTACATCAGTGGTATTTCTTCTAAATGAAAATGAGGCGACATTATTTGAGCCCTTATATTGAGAATGGGTGATAGTTGTTTATAAAGTATACAATATATACTCACAAACTTAAAATTTTTCTTGAAACTTTCATTTTATGAAATCACAAGTGACTATTCAAGTTGAAATTATAGTCTGACTTCGGAACATAACACAGCGTCCGATAAAACTATATCGGGTACGATTTTGTTAATCTTGGATCTTTGATCGCCAAACTGTCATCAAGTTCTCAATTAGATTTTGCTTGGTGGATGAAATTAAGTACTGAGTATCAAGTTTTTTTTGAAAATTTTCAGGTACCAGAAATTTAAAAAAAAAGTGTTAAATACTAGTATGCCAGAGTCTATTAAGAACTTTTTTCTTTCCTTTTGTTTTTCTTGTTTTTTTATTTTCAGTGTTTTGCTGAATAAAGTAAAAGAACCTAAGAAAAATGATAATAAGAGGAGGTACTTTACATACATGTTACTCCAAAGGTGTCGGCATCCGTGAATGCTTCACGCCCACACCCGGCCCAGCCACAGGCACCTGACGTTACTTATTTTTCTTTTAATTAAAAAATATACACATACCTAATAATAAACAAGGTCCCCAAGGCGCCATCTTGAATTTTTCTAGGTCTGTCACATCAACTTGTATTTTCGTCTGAAACTCCGTCAAATAAATTCTCTGCAACCATATTCTTTCTGTGGCCAGTCTTTCGAGGTCTAAACTTACGGACAGTGCAACCAGAAGGGCGCATCACACTTGCAAATATTAAAAATCCCTCGTCAAACTCGATCTACTGCTTCAACAATCCGAGAAATCGCCAAAGGGGGGCCGGAAGTTTACATACGATTTGAAATTCTTAGGGAAAGCCCTTTTTTGATTGGTCAATATATTTGTACGATTTATTTTCAAAAATAACCTACGAAAGTTAGTATACTTATTCCAAAAACAATAATTCAGACAATAATACAACGTAATATACATGTAAGAACATTCATTTTATATCTCTCAAAATAATTTCGATATAGCTTGATCAAAGCGATTATATTTTATAAATGTCGAAGATCGGCCTGATCATGCTAGCTGATCAACATGATCAATGAACATTTTCAAGACAAAATATTGAGTCGGGACTTAAATGCACTAAATATAATTAATAACACTGTCATTATTGATGCCCTGATTGAGCGTTATCCGTGGAGAAGATTGACTTATCTAAAATATGTACGCACGTGTGTGAGAAGGGGGGGGGGGGGGTCCACACTAAAATTATTCCAGGGAGTGTTGAGATCTGCAATTTTATGTATTGCAATAAAGTAGTGGCATGGCGACATTTTAATTTTTTTTCTTGGTGACAGATTATACATATAACGTTACATGATGCGTATGCTAATATTTGATTTCATTACATATCCCCGAGCCTTTAATCAGTGTGCCCCCTTCCCTTTTTCAATTAAGCATATGCCAGGTATATATGTTACATAATGTATATATATAACTGGATGGTTTGCAGTCTTTTGTTTTCTGAAAACCATTCAATTAACTCTGGATGATTTGTTGTTGATTTTTTTTTCAAGCACCCCCCTCTTTTATTCAAGATTGTTTCAAACGCAACGATCGGTATAGATTAATACAGTATATTTTACAGGTATGTTTATAAGAAGTGTTTTATTTTTCCCATTTTGCATTTTTTTTTTTTTCATTTCAATAATCGAAATATTTATTAAAATTCAAAGTAATTATAACACGCCGCTTTAGATCCACCACAAAACTGACAAATACGGAATTCCCATTAGCATATTGATGTAAACTTCCGGCCCCCCTTTGGCGATTTCTCGGATTGTTGAAGCAGTAGATCGAGTTTGACGAGGGATTTTTAATATTTGCAAGTGTGATGCGCCCTTCTGGTTGCACTGTCCGTAAGTTTAGACCTCGAAAGACTGGCCACAGAAAGAATATGGTTGCAGAGAATTTATTTGACGGAGTTTCAGACGAAAATACAAGTTGATGTGACAGACCTAGAAAAATTCAAGATGGCGCCTTGGGGACCTTGTTTATTATTAGGTATGTGTATATTTTTTAATTAAAAGAAAAATAAGTAACGTCAGGTGCCTGTGGGCCCAGCGCTTAAAAATCCGACCAACATCGCTCGTTTCCGTCAAATCCGTTACCTGCAGAAATTAAGTCAATTTTAAAATTGTTATTTTCTTTTAAAAAGTGTGTCTATTAAATCAAAATATTTGCATTTTAAACAACTGATTTTCTAAGTGAAAAATATTCGGAATAATTGTTTTTAAAGATAAACTTGTATATTTTTTCATACAGGAAAGTTGACATCATCCGTGCAACAAATAGCCTGGCAACCGCAGCAGGGGCCTCGGATGACGTACAATGGCTGACGGTTAGCATCGAACACACGGAAATGCGGCTTCCATTTTGAATTTCTAAGAAAAATGAACAGAAAAGAAGATAAAGCATATTTTGTAAACTTATACAGTCTGTACAGATCAAAATTGTATAAAAAGAGAGTTCTACTCACTGCTGTTTGGCATAGCCGATGATGTTTCCGACTGGAGCCTCGATCTGGACTTCATAACCACAGGAAGAGTCGGTTGCACACCAGCAACATCCAACGCAGCAGACGAAGTCGTGGCGGACCCGCATCACCTCCTTTTTTATTAAGAAAAAAAAGATAGTTTACATTTACATGTAGTTAAATTTCCTCAAAATTCGAATACACTGGGGCGAGGTATAGCACGTATTGTCATTTACAATGGCCAAGAATTTTAAGCTGTCACATGGTAAAAAAAAATGTTCTGAAATGTTAAGTTTGATTTTTTTTGTTCTTGATAAGCTAAAAGAAAAGGATTTCGGTAGTGCTAAAACCAATGATTTTTTATGTATACTTGACTCTGACCTGGCCCGTGTTGTCCGATATATGAATCACATACTCTCTGTTTGATCCACAGCAAATTCTGTGACAGCACTCCGACTCTAAATAAAATAAATAAATATTACTAAGTAAATGTCCCATTACCAGGCTAATGAATGTCACATTTACAGAGAGTGTTCTTTTAAACAAACCTTCTTGAGCAAAATAACATTGTTGTCCAACGCTGTTCAGCACGTCGTATTTGTTTTTCGTTTCAAATCCTGTTATGACTAAATTGTAAACAAAGAATTTTTATTAATATTAGTTCGGTTGTAGTATTACATGTATGCATTATCCTTCTTTGTACATAATAGTCATAGTTTTACATGTATTATCCTTTGTGTATTATATATATATATATATATACCACGTGAATAAAACTTTTCCAAATCTTTAGAGATTCTCGACATTTTCTTTTAGCTCATCTTCACCAGGCCATGGTTCCTGATCCGTTCCTCCCTTCACAAACCCTTGAGGAAAGTGAGTGGATCGGATACCCTCGGCTAGCGAAGATGCTTTTGGCTCACACGATGAAGCCACACTGGTATATGCAATGTTTTCAGCAAGAGTCAAATCCTTTTTTTTTGTTGGGACAGGCCAGTTTACAAAAAATAAATCGTAGAGATACAAAACTTTCACCAGTTTTCAATCTATTCATTGCGAAAGTATTCGTTTGACCCCCTTAATGAGTTATTGCCCCTGAAAGTTTGAATTTTACGAATAATTAAAATTTCAAAACGATGTCACAGAGACATGAAATCAACTGCTTTGGATTCTTTGACCCTTGACCTTTAATTGTATGCAAAGGTCAAGGTCATTCCAAATAACGACAAATCAATTTCTTTCTATAGCTCTTTTGTCCTTTAACATATGCTACTTATCTTTTTTAATTTGTCCTTTTAAAATTTCTTCAAAGATTACATTCTTGTCCCCTCTGAGGCTTAGATCTAACACCATATACAATCTTGATTAAAATCAGATCCTTTGATCCGCTCACAAAGATCGCTGCACACCTTGTGTAGCGATCTGTGAGCGGATCAAAGGATCTGATTTTAATCAGATTGACTCCATATATATACAAAGACGTTGCGCACGGTGTTGGTGTCAAAAAGTCAATAATTACTATCATGACGGCATTTGCCCTATTTCCATAATTTTAAAACAATTCAATATATGAAAACTATATATCATTCGGTCGGTAATTGTATACTAAACACATTTTAACAAAAATATTGATAAAAAAATTCCAATTATCAAATATATTAATTCGACTATTCAATCAATTACGTCAAAAACGCATGTAGATCGGTAACAGGGGCATCGCACAAGCAATTAGAAAACGTTGATAATTTCCATAAAACAAACAATACAAACTTAAAATTCAGCAGAAAAGTTCAAAATATGATGTAAATGATGTAAAGTTTTACAATTGTGGTGTTGTTCAATCCGAATGCTGTGAATGCGTTGTTCAAAATGCAAGACAGCGATGTAGATAAGCGTTATCCGAAGAAATATGGAAGGAACATGAAATGTCATCGGTAACTTAAAAAAATAATTTAATGAGCAAAATCAATTTTGAAATGGCATGTCAATGATCCTTTTTGTGTGCAAGGAACTATATTTTACGAATCGTGTTCAGCTTTAAGCCTATTTATTGTGGGGACATTGACTAAGATGGTGTGTCATAAAGCTTGGAGGTTCCATCTCGCAAAGTTTTTAAGATTCGTTAAATTGCAAACTTTGTAATACTGGATAAAAAATTAATGTTAAAAATTATTTTAAATTCTACAAAATTATAATATTATGCAATGTTATTAAGGAAAAGATCTCTAGACAGAATTTTAACTTGCAGTGCCTTAAATTTTAATAATAATTGCCGTGTTACATATATGTACTACATGTAGCTATACGTCACAATTGAATTTGACGGCAAAAACTACTACACTCCAGCAATGTCCTACATTTTAAGACTTAATTTTTTTAATTTGGCACCAAACAAAGTTAAATACAAAATGTGCAAAATCAAAACTTTATTTAGATATGAAAATGAATTGATTCTATAAAGAAGTGTTTGTTTCAGAGGCTTTTTACAAAGTCAACATAAATGTCACACATTGTCCAAAAGAAATAAATCTAACTATAATTGCATAAATGTGGTAACATTGATCATATGTGATGTCATTGAAAAAAGACACATTGAAAATTAAAGGATTTTTATGAAATGTGCATCTTTTCAAAAAGTTATTGGTAAATTCCAAAATAATTTCAATAGAATGGTGACAAAGCCCTAACAAAAATTAAAGGTCAACATAAATGTCACAGACGTAAGAATTTGGCGTTTTGACGTTTTGAGGTTCAATGCAAAAAATGTTATGTAAAGCGTCAATATATTTTTCTCTCTCCAAAACTTGTTCTCTTAATTGCTGATGAGCCTGATATGGATAAAAAAAAAAACATACCAATAATGATTAAGTAGAAAAATAATTTTAAGTTTTAAAAGTTGTATTTATATATTAAAGTAAAACATGTGCAATGTATACTTGTACACTTTATCGGTATATATCCTTGTCAGACTTTGGACAAAAGTACCATTCAGAGTACGAATTAAGACACGAGAAAAACATCACACAAACCAAAATTTATGCAAGGATATGACTTCAAATTTGAATTAACTCACAGTAAAGTGTATCAGCTGTATTTTATGCTGGTATAAACTATTCTATACATGTACATGGCCGAGTTTATATTGAATAGTCCAATATTGAATAAGGGTAAGGGATTGTCGGAGGTGAGTAAAAAATGTATCAGATTTTCATTACAAGATGGGATGGGGGGAAAATAATTCAATGCTAAATCAGCAGAATATCTACAATCGTACAATTTACTGAAAACAAAGGACAGGTTCTAGGGCCTACTGATATGATATGGAATTGTTTTGAATTTATCTCAATAAAATAAAAAGCTTGTAAATTTAAAGTGAGATGTTGAACAAGTTTCGTTATTTCTACCAAGGTTGTTTTTTTTAAATGAGACAAACCATGCTTATATTTTCCTTCCGCAATATGCATGCAAAAGGGTGCAGGGAATTTAATTACAATGTTCTAATTATTTGAATTATTTAATAGGCGGCATTACTGGGTTTTTATTTTTTCTCCATAAAAAATGTTAGCAAAAAAGTAACGACAAATAAATTTTCCAGAACTTCACGTAACTGACACCATTACCGTGCGCAACGTCAAAGTTATTGCCTTTTGTACTAAAAGTCTTGTTATCGCTACTCCTTAAACCGTTGAGACACGAAACATTCACTAAGGGTCTTAGGCACAACTTCAAACTATTCAGTGCGAAAGGATCTGATGACCCATTTACGAGTTATCGCCCTTTAACGTTTTTGCGCTTACTATTAATCCTTGTTATAACTTAAAAAAGTACAAGCCGTACAGGCATTGGGTTAATTGCAATGTGACCCTTGACCTTGACAAAATTATTCCAGATCAAAGGTCAAGGTTATTTGAAAAATTTTAAAACTTTCATTTTTCTATCTTTCAAGCCATTTCTGAATTCTTTTTGTCTAAAAATTAACTTTAGAGAGTAAAATATAGAAAATTTAAGAAATTTAAAGAAGGTGGAAAGACCACCTTATTGTTCGAGAACAATTAGTCTACGAGTTATATAACTTTTCCGAAACCCCGTCTTATTTACGCAGTTATGTTCAGACCCCCCCCCCCAGTATAAGGACTGGCGGGCCCTCGTCCCTATCCCTTGTAGATAATTTTTATACTTGTCGGTTACTGAGTCGAGTCTGTTCTATTTTATACCAAATACCACTTTTTCTATACGGGGATCTTAATCACATTACGGGTATCCGATATCTTGATGTATATTTTCGTTCTGTAAAATGTTTGTCTACCTTCCAGTAGTTCCACCCTCTGTTTGACGATAATTTGATCCAAAGCACTGAAGTATTCCAGTCCCTGGGGTATCCCGGTAACTGACTGGGGCGTGGTCATCCACTCTGACCCTAAAATACAAACATTAAGCTATTTATAGTAATATAATATTCATAATTGTCTTTGTAACCCCTCCCCCCTCCCGAGTACAGAGTCTTATGGTGGACCTGAAGACAAAGTTCTCACCTTGTCGGGGCTGCATCTGTACCGGTGCTTGCCATTGTTTTTCTGCCATCTTTAGTTAATTAGATCTGTAGGCTTTGGCTGACCTGTTATGAATACTGTGAATATTAATTATGTATAATCCAGGATGAACTGTTATATATCCTGCTTTAGGATTTGTCAACATGTATACACTCAAGTTTCATTGCGAAATAGAGAGTTTATATGTCAGACTTTACATTCCTCTGTAAAACTATGAGCAGAGTGAACCATATGTTTCAAAGCAAACAGGATAAACTGAGTGATACCCTATAGAGTCAAATTAATTAATAATGGTCAATATTCCCCAAATAAGATTGAAGATTACAGGGGTCCCCAAGGATTGCCGTTCCACACAGTTATAATCATATATTATACTTACCATTACACTTATCCCGAGGTTGATTTTCGAGAGAGTGACCAAACTACTCGCCAGTATAAAAATTTATACCCGATATTGTTTACTTTTCTTACTAAAGGACCTCAGGTTTCGTGACATGTACTTTAACTTGAATTGAAGTCAGTAACTTTTAGCGGGGGAGGAGGACAAAGCTAGGATATTGTTTGGATAAAGTATTGTTCGATATTAAATATTTGTTGACTGTGTTCTTGGGCATAATGCGTTTTGCTGACCCCTCGAACCAAACTGTTTGGTTCTAGCGTTCGACAAACCTGTCACATGCGCGGATCTAGAGAGGGACCCCCCTCCAGAAAATCTGAAGTTATTAAATATGTATACTTATTACCCAAGTGAAGGTGACCTGGGACCCCCCTCCTAGAAAACGCGGATCTATGTGGAATATAAGGGTGAAACGTTTACTGAATTTTGTAAACGTTTAAACGGATAGCAGTAAACGAAACGGTACCGTTTAAACGGGAAATATTCTATGTTGGATTTTTATGGCTACTCATTCAAGAAACTCGAATTTAATAATCAATTCTTTCACTTTAATATAAGTATGAGCTGTTATTACAAATTTATTGTTGGTCATTGTGATTTAACCGTAAGAATTTGAGGCGCATTAAATTCATTCACTTACGACCTCGTCACCCAACTGCTTGGTTTATTTGGTTACCGGACGTAGAAAAAATAATTGTAAAGATGGATCTTTTAATCTCGAAAAAAGTAAAACAGGACCTGCTGAATGTATTGAAACTTTTCAAAGACTTGTGAAAAATGTATTATATTTATTTAATCAAAATATATCAAGTTTTATATTTCAAGTGTCGTAAAACATCGCTAGTATTAGCAACTCGGAAATCGGAATTAATTATGTTAGCCCGTATCGGGTTTTAGATATTTTCATTCAATATGTTTCCGGTTTAGATTGTTGCTTATCAAATGGCCATAGACGGTGTTTCTTTTGTAAATTATGAAATAAAACAATTTTTTTTGTGTTAAACTTTATTTCTGATAGACATTGATAATGACCTTCGTGTAAACGTTTACTCAAACTGTAAACGTTTAGAGCATATAATCGAAACGTCGCCGTTTACACGTGTAATCGTTTCGCCCTTAGTGGAATATGAAAAACATATAGGTATGATGCTTTAAAAGTCAACGATTAACCACCACCCCTTCCCCGGAAATAGGCTTCTCGGGTTTGGGAAAAGGGTATAGGTTCGTTTTATTTTGTTGCGATGGACACCCCCCCCCCCCCGGAAAAAAATTCCAGGAATTCTGGATCCGCACCTGTGCCCGAGAACACAGTCAATCAATGTTTAATATCGATCAGTTCGATCTTTTGTCACACCCTTTTCCTTTAATTTTGACATATCTTGCATTGGATCCCATATTTGTGTTAAATGATATACCGCCAACATTGTGACGTAAAATCGTCATATGCGGTCCAATATCTCATTGTTAGGTCCAGTATTTCACTCAGCACTCAGCTGTCCATCATGAATATTTTTGGGCCGGTAAAACGTTGGAATTGTTACGTACACTTTTTATTATTTATTTTAATCGGAAACTTATTTTAGATTTCCCTTAGCAAAACATTGACACTGCCATTTTTTCAAACCACTTTCACAGATTCATTTGACACTTATTTCAGGTTTCCCAGAACAAAACACACACTTCGCCATTATAATAATATGGGAGGCGGGGTGGGGGTATCATTTTAGTGAGCTCAGTGCTCACAGTTCCTCTAGTTTTCTGGGAGGGGGGGTTGCAATGTCTTCCCCCATTTTTCAGCATATTAATTTCATCACTATGCTGTTTGACAACCTCAACCCCTCTTTCCTGTGAAAAAGAAAGGAAAAAAAAAAACAAGAGGCCCATGGGCCACATCACTCACCTGAGAAGCTTTGACCATTCTGTTCTTTACCAGATTTTACCCTTGTTATACATAAAGCATCCCCACCCTACCCCACTGATCATAATTTAGACATTTTGAAATCTACACTACCCCATGATCCTTCCATGGGCACATATGTTTCAGCATTTTTGGCCCAGTGGTTCCAGAGAAGATTTTCAAAGATTTTTCCTATATATTTCTATGTAAAACTTTGATTCCCTATAATGGCCCTGCCCTTCCCCCGGGGGTCATGATTCCTACAATTTAGAATTGACACTACCCCAGGATGCTTCCACATAAGCTTCACTTTTTCTGGCCCAGTGGTTCTTGAGAAGAATTTTTTCAAAGATTTTTCCTATATATTTCTATATTAAACTTTGATTCCCCATTGTGGCCCCGCCCTTCCCCCTGGGGTCATGATTTGAACAATTTAGAATCTACATTATACCAGGATGCCTCCACATAAGTTTCAGCTTTTCTGGCCCAGTGGTTCTTGAGAAGAAGATTTTCAAAGATTTTTCCTATATATTTCTATGTAAAACTTTGATGCCCTATTGTGGCCCCACCCTTCCCCCGGGGGTCATGATTTGAACAATTTAGAATCTACACTATACCAGGATGCTTCCACATAAGTTTCAGCTTTTCTGGCCCAGTGGTTCTTGAGAAGAAGATTTTCAAAGATTTTTCCTTTATATTTCTATATAAAACTTTGGTTCCCCAATGTGGCCCCGCCCTTCCCCAGGGGTCATTATTTGAACAATTTAGAATCTACATTATACCAGAATGCTTCCACATAAGTTTCAGCTTTACTGGCCCAGTGGTTCTTGAGAAGAAGATTTTCAAAGATTTTTCCTATATATTTCTATGTAAAACTTTGAATCCCCATTGTGGCCCCGCCCTTCCCCCGGGGGTCATGATGTGAACAATTTAGAATCTACACTATACCAGGATGCTTCCATATAAGTTTCAGCTTTTCTGGCCCAGTGGTTCTTGAGAAGAAGATTTTCAAAGATTTTTCCTATATATTTCTATGTAAAACTTTGATTCCCCATTGTGGCCCCGCCCTTCCCCTGGGGGTCATGATTTGAACAATTTAGAATCTACACTACCCCAGGATGCTTCCACATACGTTTCAGCTTTACTGGCCCAGTAGTTCTTGAGAAGAAGATTTTTTAATGACCCAACCCTATTTTTGTCTTTTCTTGATTAGCTCCCCCTGCGAGGGGATATGTCCCTTCATTTTAACAATTTAAATTCCCCTTCACCCAAGGATGCTTTGTACCATGTTTGGTTAAAATTGGCCCAGTGGTTCTTGAGAAGAAGTCGAAAATGTGAAAAGTTTACAGACGGACGGACAGACAGACAGACAGACAGACAGCTAGACAGAAAGACGGACGACGGACAAAATGTGATCAGAAAAGCTCACTTGAGCCTTCGGCTCAGGTGAGCTAAAAACCTTAGAACGGCTCATTGCAAAGTATCATTTTAATATCTGACATCTCTCGAGACATTTTTTGTCTGAGCCAGTGTAAATCCTTGAGATTTATGGAGAAATGAACAGTTTCATTCTGGTACATGTACTAGAATATATTCTCTCAACTAAAATAAATATACATCGAATATTTTGTGTTTTTCTTTCACAAAGCTGTAATAGATTTCATAACACACAATACAACTGTATCCTTTTTAAAAATTTTATTGCAAAGTGAAAATAAATAATTAAAAAAACTAGATAAAACTAAAATAAGTAGTGCTATGTTTTCACATGGAATGGTTATAAATGGATTATGTAGACTGATGTTCTAGTTATCACATCATTACATGCACCAGCACTGACACTGCACACATAAACAGGCAGTGCATCATACTGAAGATCATTTATTTCTGGACGGAATATCATTTAAATATATCTGTAAAACTATTCACCATGCAATACATGGGGAAAAAAATCATTTGATCCTCCAACATATCTAACCAATGAATTGGTAATAAAAAATTCACCCAGTTTGGTTGATAAATCCATGAATATGTAAATACAATATTTGATTTTTTTTTCAGCTTCCAGTCAATGAACTTATGGTTTGCTAATACCAAAAACTACCCTTGCAAGTTTTTTGACAACAGAGAAATATGGAATTTTTACCTATGGAGTAAAAATTCTGTAACATTTTTACAACATTTTGAAAAAGAAAAATCCCAAAGTCAATGACATTTTGGTAATTCTCCTCATTAACACTTCAATTAAAGTTAATGACTTTAAAGTAATTTCCTACTTCAACATTCTAGTAAATAAACAAATGATGTTATTCTGTAAATGCCCTTCCTTGGTGTTTTTACTCAATGAAATAATGCCTTAACACGACACTACGAGCCAATGAATGACTGATAAAAACAACTCCTACAGCATTCTACTAACTGTGACACTGCACCTCTCCCATTTCCCCTGACAATCAACATACTTACATAACTAACAATATACACACCAGAACTCTTATCAATTATTGACCCATTATTAACAATGAAACTGTTACAGTATATGCTAATTTGCACCTTGATAGCAATAATAGCACTACATTATTTGGAACATGTTTTTTCTAACTCATAAACCATCTCATAATCCTTCATAAATGCAATGTTCATCAGAATATCACAGTGACCAAGATTCAATCATATAAAGTAGAAATATCACAGTGATCAGTCAATAAGCCTAAGGCTCTATAGGCTCAAAGGAGTTATCAGGCTGCCTGGAGCTTTGATGAGAGTTCACACATTTCCTCCATTTTCTGAACAAACAAGTCAACTAATGGATTCACAAAGTCTTCCTACAAATAAGGAATAAATGGATACATTTACTTATGAAAAAATTCATGTTTTAACTATTGTAACTATTTTAAATACCATGCATATAGAAGTACTTTTTTCCCATGTGTCTGAGTCATGTCTCTAAAAAATAAACTCTGTATTTTCTGGTAGGATAAAAATAACTATTTCACAATAAAATACATTGTATATAAAGCAATCACTTGAATTTCTACCTTTGTGTTCATTAACTTTTCACACTTCTTGCTCCATCGTTTGTCCCGCTTTTTGTCTGTGTCAATATCTTGCTCCTTTTGAAAAGAGAGCACAGAGTTAAAAATAGATATAAAAACACTTCATATTTATCAAAAAACAAATCTGTGCTAAAATCAAGTCACTACGTAACTATCAAACCTGTGTCATTAAAGGTAGGTCGTGGGTTTAAAAATTTGCGCCTTCTGCACATGATGACGCACATAAGTCGTAAAACAAAAAATAAGTTGAAAATGATTCTTAAACAGTTTTAAATGGTCAATCTTAATAAAACAATGTAAAAGCAATACTTCTAGGAGTTAAGATCTAGTCAGTACTTACCATGCTTTCTCTGTCACCATCAGCACTCATGATATCCTCTAGATCTGATTGGCTTAAATTCAGGATATCTTTAGCCATTGCCTGAGCCCTCTGTAGTGAAGCATTGACTTGACTTTGTTGACTCTCCTTCTCTCGATGACTTAACGTCTCTTTTAAGTGGAATCGTGACTGATTTAATCTCTTTATCAACTCATGTCCCAAACTCTGGTCAAAGAATGAAAATGAAAAAATGTTTTAGTTTCTTTCTTGAATAAATGTGTTGAATCTTTACTGATAAGGCATCAGATTTGTAAAGCTATTTTCTTTGTTGACTAAATTTTGAGGTAAATTTAATAATGAACATGGTATTTTTTTCATTTAAAAGGTCAATCTTCTTTATAGACATGTAGTTTGAATAATTTCTAGTATAATCCAGTGTGTATAGAGAGACAAACCTTGACAAACTGTTGGTACTGACGTATGGTGTAGTGTAATAAGAGACAAACCTTGACAAACTGTTGGTACTGCTGTATGGTGTAGTGTAATAAGAGACAAACCTTGACAAACTGTTGGTACTGACGTATGGTGTAGTGTAATAAGAGACAAACCTTGACAAACTGTTGGTACTGACGTATGGTGTAGTGTAATAAGAGACAAACCTTGACAAACTGTTGGTATTGCTGTATGGTGTAGTATAATTATGAGAGACAAACCTTGACCAACTGTTGGTATTGCTGTATGGTGTAGTGTAATTATGAGAGACAAACCTTGACAAACTGTTGGTATTGCTGTATGGTGTAGTGTAATAAGAGACAAACCTTGACAAACTGTTGGTACTGCTGTATGGTGTAGTGTAATAAGAGACAAACCTTGACAAACTGTTGGTACTGCTGTATGGTGTAGTGTATTAAGAGACAAACCTTGACAAACTGTTGGTACTGCTGTATGGTGTAGTAGGCCTCACTGAGCTTCCTTTGAGCTGCCTCAATGGCTGCCTCACTTTGAGCTGCCAGCCCACGGAGTTGTTGTTGAGCTGTGTTCTCTAGATCCCCCACAGCAGTCTCTAGCTCCATTCTCCGCGTCTGACTCTCCAGAAAATGCTTGTTCTAAAAATAGAACAGAGACTTCCTTACTAGGAGCACATTAAGAATTGTGTACATCATTAAACAAAATTCATTTGTGACACAGACCTTTTTCTCCAGTTCTGCATTCACTTTGAGGAATCTTTCCTCATACTCCCTCTTTTCTCTGGTGACTGCTGACAGCCTCTTCTTGTAGGACTCCACCTGGAGCACAAGGTATAAGAAATTTAGGAAAATTGTCAACTCTCAAATATTAATATCAATTTTCAACTAATGTCAATTCTTTAGAGACAGACATGTACAACATTATGACCCTTAGCAGTATAATTGCATAGAATCTTACTTGTATCTTGAGTCGATCACTAGTGTCTTGAATCAGTTTAATTCTTGTCTCCATTTCTTCCTGTAAAATGAAAATCAACATTATATAATAATTATCAAACCCATTTTGATTTACAAATTATTGCTTAAACATGTGCTTAAGACTTGGATAGTTACTTTTAAAAGACTTAGCAGAGTTAAAAGACGTTTCAGACAGATGCTTCTTGAACAGTTATGTTGCCACATGTTGTTTTCTTAAAATCACATTAGCAGATAATTTTGCCCCGTTTTAAAACAGAGTTGTTCTACAAGAGAGATAACTCTTCTTTGTTGAATTCACACTTTTCATAGATTGCCCATTGAAAACAATGGTGAAAAGGGGCAAATAAAAAGGAGCACAATTTCCCTGTCTTGCAGTATAAGTACACTTCTGACACTCACATTAGCATTTTGTTCGGACTTGGCGTTTGTCTGGGCCAGCTTTAACTTGACTCTCTGGTCCTCCAGGAGTGTCCTCTTCTGATTATTGTCTCTCTCCACTCGACTTATTCTGAGAAAAAAATGTGGTCATTATATCAATTCTCAGTTAATTACTGCTTATGCTCAAGTTAAAAAATCATTAACTTTGTGGATCAACATAAAAAGGAGGAATAGATGCATAGAGGCTCTTTAAGGTCATGATCTAGTAAATAAAACATGCCTACAGATTTATTAAATTTGAGAAATAAATTCCTATATAACTTTAGCTTGGTCAAAAAAGGTGTTTTGAGTCATAAATTGTAGGAAAACAAGATAAAAAGCAATATTTTAAACAGTCATTTTCAATGAAAAATTAAGAAAACCAGTCATGAATATGGGAGTTTTTTCATATTTGACAAAAGTAATGTATCCAGATTGCCTACAATCTCTCAGAAAACGGTAATTTGTATGTTCAGGGCCTTATTTTAAAATGAACATCAATTTTAAAATAGGTATCGGGATTACTTTTCAAATGATTTCAAATTGAATTCCATGAAAATACCCGATATTCTACATAATTCTGTTTAAGCCGTTAAGTACAGAAAAGGAAAGTTGACAGTATGAAATATTTACCTATTTGATTAACATTTGAGAAAAAAAGATAACTAGAACTGTCCAAACGGGACAAAATACCCCCCGCCGGGTTTTTCAGAAGTAATTTTTACCATAATAAAGATATGTATCACACATGAATTATGAAATTTTTCTTCCAGTGACCTTGAAGTTCCCCAAATGACCTTGAATCAAGGTCATGACAAACCCTTGGGTCATGGGCAATCTTTGTGTAGAATGAGAACCTACCAAGTTTATCCATAAGAAAGATATGGACCGGACACAAATTATGAATTTTAATTCCAGTGACCTTGAACTTCCCAAATGACCTTTGGTCAAGGTCATGACACATCCTTAGGTCATGGGCAATCTTTGTGTAAAATAAGAACAATCCAAGTTTATCCATAAGATAGATATGGACCAGACACAAATTATGAACTTTTTCTTCCAGTGACCTTGAACTTCCCCAAATGACCTTGGGTCAAGGTCAGGACACATCCCTGGGTCATGGGAAATCTTTGCATGAAATGAGAACCTACCAAGTTTATCCATAAAAAAGATGTAGACCGGACACGAATTATGAACTTTTTCTTCCAGAGACCTTGAACTTCCTCAAATGACCTTGGGTCAAGGTCATGACACACCCTTGGGACATGGGCAATCTTTGCATGAAATGAGAACCTACCAAGTTAATCTATAACAAAGATGTAGACCGGACATGAATTATGAAGTTTTTCTTCCAGTGACCTTGAACTTCCCCAAATGACCTTGGGTCAAGGTGATGACACACCCTTGGGTCATGGGCAATCTTTGTGTGAAAAGAGAACCTACCAAGTTTATCCGTCAGAAAGATATGGACCGGACACGAATTATGAACTTTTTCTTCCAGTGACCTTGAACTTCCCCAAATGACCTTGGGTCAAGGTGATGACACACCCTTAGGTCATGGGCAATCTTTGTGTGGAGTAGTAGATTCTAATGTCCCTCCGTAAGAAAGATATGGACCGGACATGTTTGCACAGACAGACAGACAGACGGACAAGGTGATTCCTATATACCCCCCCAAACTTCGTTTGCGGGGGGTATAAAAGTTTTTGGAAGAAAAAGTTTAATGATGAGTGTACTTTTCCTGCAGAGTCCTGATTTGTTCCTGTTGTTGTTCGTTTTCTTGTTTAAGCTGTCTGGCCTGATTAGACTGTCTACACAACTCATTGGAAGAGGCCTAGAAAATTAAACAGCACTTCTTAATCCATATATGTAAACAAACAAATGTAGTGTAGTTAAATATTCAATAACTATCCTGTGATGTTGGCAAATAATTTATAGATTATGGACCTTGGTGTAAAATGACCCATCATAACAGAGTTGACCTACTTTGAGTCTGGACTCGAGGATCTTCCAGTCCTGTTCTGTATGTTTGTCTGTGGCTGTAGTGTGGCGATTCTCCTCCACCAGCTGAGCTTCTAAGGCTGCCTTCTCTTGTAAAACCTTGTCCATGTCTGTTGTCAGCTTCTGTAGGTAACAAAATTAATGTTAATAATAAATAAATTAATAGAATGAATTCCATATATTCTTGTGTATTAAACATTGTTATCTATGGTATTTCATTTTCAGGATCTGATTAGCCAGATTTATCTAGATTTCTGTTTAGCCATTCTTAGTCCCTGATTGGCCAGATTTTCCTGGATGTTCTGTTTAGCCATTCTCAGTCTCTGATTGGCCAGCTTTACCTGGATGTTCTGTTTAGCAATTCTCAGTCTCTGATTGGCCAGATTTACCTGGATGTTCTGTTTAGCCATTCTTAGTTTTTGATTGGCCAGACGTACCTGGATGTTCTGTTTAGCCATTCTCAGTCTCTGATTGGTCTGATTTACCTGGATGTTTTGTTTGGCCATTCTCAGTCTCTGATTGGTCCAACTTACCTGGATGTTTTGTTTGGCCATTCTCAGTCTCTGATTGGTCCAACTTACCTGGATGTTCTGTTTAGCCATTCTCAGTCTCTGATTGGCCAGTTGTACCTGGATGTTCTGTTTAGCCATTGTCAGTATCTGATTGGTCCGACTTACCTGGATGTTCTGTTTAGCCATTCTCAGTCTCTGATTGGTCAGACTTACCTGGATGTTCTGTTTAGCCATTCTCAGTCTCTGATTGGTCAGACGTACCTGGATGTTCTGTTTAGCCATTCTCAGTCTCTGATTGGTCCAACTTACCTGGATGTTCTGTTTAGCCATTCTCAGCCTCTGATTGGTCAGACTTACCTGGATGTTTTGTTTAGCCATCCTCAGTCTCTGATTGGCCAGCTTTACCTGGATGTTCTGTTTAGCCATCCTCAGTCTCTGATTGGACAGATTTACCTGGATGTTCTGTTTAGCCATCCTCAGTCTCTGATTGGACAGATTTACCTGGATGTTCTGTTTAGCCATCCTCAGTCTCTGATTGGACAGATTTACCTGGATGTTCTGTTTAGCCATCCTCAGTCTCTGATTGGACAGATTTACCTGGATGTTCTGTTTAGCCATCCTCAGTCTCTGATTGGTCCAACTTACCTGGATGTTCTGTTTAGCCATCCTCAGCCTCTGATTGGTCAGATTTACCTGGATGTTCTGTTTAGCCATCCTCAGTCTCTGATTGGCCAGATTTAAGTCTGCCTGCTGCTGTTGATTCACTTCCTTCTGTTGCTCCAAAGCCTTCACAGCAGCTCCGCGAGATTCTCGTAGAGTAGTGATCTGCAAATCAAACAATTCTTTACAATATTTTTTTTGTCAGCAGAATCACTTCTCATTCAAATTTGTTATGGAAAATATTCAAGATGAAAGCCTAATATCACTGTGTAATTACACTGTGTAATGAATGAACATTTAATGGTTTTTAAAAAGACATGCACACATAGATGAGCAAGATATCTTACACATTCCACCAAATGGGGAAAAAGATACATGTATAGGGTTTATATAAATGTAAAGCTGAATTTAACAGATTCTGTTCTGTGAAAAATTAAGAACACAGAAATACATTAGTTTAGTAGTTTTGTTGTAACCATCTACATTATTTAATATACCAACACCAAAAAGAATCCATTTGTTTTAAAAATTCCACAAATTGTTTAATTATGGAAGACCATATCTGTTAAGTATTATATAGTCAGAATCAAGGTTACACTATACCCTTGTAATATTTTGCCTCAAACAATACTTACTGAAAATGTTAGAGACCCAACCTAGCAAGTGAGGGATATTTAGTTATCCAAGAAAAAAATATCTGAGAAGATATATATGAAGTATATGAGAATTTGTATATTAAAAGAAACCAACTCCAGAAAGTTGAAATATATAATTTATGCTGTAATAAGATTGGCATTGTGCATCTACATCCGTAAGTGACCCATACATGCCAAGAAGTAGAGCATTATTAATACAAATAGCAGTGTTTTTATAAATATAATAGACAGGAATTTGTGCAATCTAACTATCTAAGAGAACAGAGATTACTTATAAATCCTCTTTTATCAACAGAAAAACTTCCGCTTACTTGCTGTGTGAGGTAGCCTACACGCTGTTTGAGCTGTTTAGCTTGTCGGGCCAGCTGGTTGCTGGCTTGAACCCTCTGTTCATAAGCTCGCTGCTCTTGGATCCTTGGGGATGGAGAGAATTCCTGGGCCGGTGCTTTTAGTGGAGATGTACCTACTTCTTTGAGTGTTACTACAACATCAGAAAGATGTAATAATAACACAGTCAAGAACAAAAATTTTGACTAACATTTTAATGCAATGTGGCATTTACATAAGACATATGATCTTGTAGGGGACAGTAGGGAACTTATACTGCCTCGCTGGTGAGCTAGCTTTTCAAGTGATGTGCTAGATCCCTCTATTTCAGGTAAGTTAAGCAACAGCGAGCCTGTGCAACCCTTGGATCGGTGACCTTTCACTGTACAGTACTGTACAGCAGGAAATTAACTCGCGGAGTTAATTTTCGCTATATTCGCGGAAAAAGAAAATCCGCGAAGTCAACATACAGCGAATAATTCTTTAAAAGTTTTTTACGGCTAAATTGAAATTTTATTATTTTCCGTGATTAGACTGTCTTCATAATTATGCGAGTGTTTGGATCATTATTACAAACACGTAGTTACAGGGTATTGGTGTTCTTAAAGCTAATTAATTGTTTAATTTATTTCTATGGCTAACAAATTAATTTTGCCATCTAGTAGATGTGCGATGTAATTATTCAATAAAACATGCTTGGTTATTTTTGACCTGTGCGTATCACTCAGTCATTACCCTTAATCAAGGCATTTACGTAGTAAACAGGGTAACTACAATTAATTAAATTCAATTGTATGATTAAAATTCAACATTTTGACAACGGTATAATAATTTCTCTGATTTGGACCCGAAATGAAAATAAAATTAACTGCGTAACATTATGTTGACTTCAAATCAGGATCAGTCCGGTGTTTCGTTATTATTCAATCGGGATCAAAATCGACACAATATGTAGACTTGCCTTTTCTATACACGATATACATGACAGACTTTCGTAAGATAGAGACGGAAAATATCAGTTCACGCAATATATAATTACAAAAAAAATGCTTGCAAGTACCATTTAAGAAATGTATGGTTTTTCCTTTTCCGCGAATTCAAACGACCGCGATTGGCTGAAAATTGAACAAATCGCGATCTTTTCCGACCGCGATTTTAACCTGCTATACAGTATTTTTTTTTTTCAAAAATTTGAAAAATAATTGAATAAATATGGCTCCAGAAGAAAGCATACCTCTTTTATTGTCAGTTACTCTGGCAGTATATGGACGTGAAATACTGCGGTTACGATGATGTAGGTTTCTTATTCCACCTCGTCTGTTTCTTAAAGAGGACATCTTAAAACTCATAGGTCTAAGGCTTCTTTTAATCTGAAAGACATAATTATACAAACAGGAAGAGGGTTAAAAAGTTAATCTGTTTAATACAGTGCTGAACATAGAATGAAAAATAATAAAAATGTATCAATTTACTTTCTCCATGTCATGTAGAAAATAGTATAATTACATAATTTACGTCAAATGTTCGTCTATTTACCCCAAATAAACAAAAAATTATTATTTAATGTTGGTTTGAGACTGTTCTTCATGATGCAAAGTAAGACATCCAGAGCTAAACATTTATATTAGACAGTTGTCTTACTGTTTGCCTGTGGTCCATGCTCTCATCACTAGGAGGCGTGGTCTGTGATTGCGAAATATCCACAATGGTCTGACCCAAAGAATCACTCTCTGTTTCTTCATCACTGCAAAAGAATCAGAATATTTACATCCACTGAATATTTTCTCCTTTATTTCTAAAGAAATTCATTGCTGTTTATCAGTTCATGAACAATACTAGGCATATCACCTGTTCAGATTTCTTGATCAGTGGCTGTTTCATCAATGAAACGTACTATGACGTACATATCAATGATACAATAATTAATCTTTTTTAAATCCTACGTTAAATGATTATTTACACAGCTATAAATATAGAAAATAAAATCTCTTTCTTAATGTCACAGCTATTGCAGAAAAAATTTACATAACCCGCTTCCTGATAAAAGACAAACTGTTCACAACTTTATTTGAGAAAAGACAAACCGTTAGCCACTTTTCTTTAGAAAAGACAAACTGTTAGCCACTTTTCTTTAGAAAAGACAAACCGTTAGCAACTTTTCTTTAGAAAAGACAAACTGTTAGCCACTTTTCTTGAGAAAAGACAAACTGTTAGCCACTTTTCTTGAGAAAAGACAAACTGTTAGCCACTTATCATAAGAGTAAGCAAACAGATAAAGTATTCTTGTGAATAAATTTAAATCAGAAAATCTAACTTGAACACCTAGATCAGGTTAGCTTATTAGAAATTAAATGATATAATCTTTTTGTAATATTAGCACATTACTATAGGTGACTAACAGTAACCAATTTGAACAGATTTTGGTAAAAGCACATTAGTGACTAACATTTCTTCTGACTCCGGTATCTCTTCCCATCCTTCATCTTCGAAATCCCTGAAGACAGATCTCATCTTCTCTATGCTTCTGTTGAGGGCTTTCTGGTACTGTAAATTGATAAAATAAGGCTTTAAACATTCAAATACAAGCATACACACAAACCAACAAGTAACCAGACTAAGAAATGACTTCATTGTTTTTTTCCTTTATACGTATACCCTGGTAGTACATAAATTAGCAATAAGCCAGCCCATGCAATTCCAATTTTGCATTTCAGGTGTTAATTAGGATTCAAACTGACAAACACAATTACATTAATGTAGTAGGTCTAACTGAATGATCTTTTTTGGGGGGATTGTGGAGAAAAAAAATATATTACTTATGTTAAACATGCTAATTAATTCAGATAGACCTACTAAGGATATGATATATTTTGATATATATTGAATATAGATATATATTTGTCACATCATGACCTTCACCTATGACATCTGACCTTCACCTTTGGATACTTTACCTCTTCCCCAGCAATATCAACCTGATTGAGAGTCTAGACATTTAAAGATTATGTTTAATTTAAAAATTCAAAAGATCATGTCTAATTAAGAAAATCAAAGATTGTGTCTAAGTGAGAATACTAAAAGTTCAAGATAGTGCCCACATACAATGTGATTCATATACCTGTATGGTCATAGTGTATGCAACTTGAACTCACAAAAGTAATATAAGTTTTATTGTATCTGTTTTTTGTTTAAATAAATGTTTTTAACAAAAAGAAAAAATGGTATTAAAAGAAAAAGAAAAAAATCTTCTCTTAAATGTATTTATCTAATCTTCATCTTAAGACAATTTCAATTATTGTAACAGTATATATCATTTTCAGGAAAAAAAGTCAATAACTTGTCTTAAAAAAAAGAAAAAAAAAAGATAAAAATTCTAAGAAAAAGATAAATTTCAAATACAAATAACCAATATACAACAAAATTCATCAAAACCAAATCTATAAAACTTTCAAGTTAAAACTAGTTAAATGGGTGTCTTGAAGACTAGCATATATTCATTAATTTTTTTTTTAATATCTTGTCCTTTAAAATTTCTTACATTTAACCACCACCTTCAAGAAGATTATGACTATGAAAGAACAGAAACTCCAATATTGATAAAGATTTTACTTTAGAATGACAGCCTTACTCGTTTAGATGCCTGGCTTTTGTTTCTGAGTTCGGCTCGACGTGACTTTGGCCTGTTCTGTTTCGTGCCTAGCTTTTCTTTGACAGCCTGGAATTGTTTGGCAAGCTTTTCTTCCTCCAATTCTCTCTCCAGTCTAGGGAGTACAAACAAATGTATTTAGTACAGGCATCATCTATCACCAGAGTTTTGTCTCTTTGGATAAAATAACAAATATTTTATACACACCTATTGATGTCCCGCTTCAAATTTGCTGTCTCCATGCGATATTTTGAATTTGCTTGCTTCATTTCTAATATTTCAGATTTCAGACTCCTTCAAAGAGAAGACATTTCATGTCAAAGTTTATAAAATTTTTGAATGCCAAAAAAAAAATGCATGGATAGCTTCTCTTTTGATTAGCATTAAAGCTGGGATGTAAGCATTGTAAAAATAGTTTTTATAAAAATCTTGCAGCTAGATTTAATGATTTATAAAATAAATTAACTCCCTTGTCAACTGACCTCCTTTCTTCTAACAGAGCCTCTTTTTCAGATTGACTTTCCCTGAGCTCTCTCTCTAGTTTATCAAGTCTGACAGATTTAGACTGAACCTGTAGAAAGAAATACCTTCATTACATATTTTAAAATTTGCAAGAATTTCAGTATGTTTTTTTTTCTGTCTTGGACTTTTAATAATTTTTTTATTAAGCTTTCCTCCACATTCTTACTTCAATAAATTTCATTTCATTATAACGATTTTCCCCTTGTAATGCACAGGTCAAAAATAAATAGTTTTTTTCTCATTCATAATTTAATTTGCCCCGATTATGTAAATCAGTAATTGCTTTACCTCTGATCTGGTCAGTGTGAGTTCGGCCTGTAAGTCCGATTTCTCCTGAGTCTGATATCCAGCTTTCTTCTTGTCATACTCTCTACCTGAACATTCATTTAACCTTCATATAAAAATGCTGCAAAATCTGTCTGTTTACGTTTTATTTATGGCTCCTTATAACCCATGCATTATATCCCTGTTTATTCTATTATTAAATTTTGAGGATTAACAGGTGTTATCATGGCTGATTTTAAAACTGATCAGCAAAATCTTTTTGATTCTCTCGTGCTGTTTATAGAAAATTAAATCTATTCCTCCCTAAAATTGATAAACTGATAAACTCTCCCTTTACTTTCCCAAAAAAGATTCTGAAAAATTGATGACGTGCTAAACTGTGTCCTTACTTTCCCTCTCCTGTTCCAGGGCCACCTTGAGTTCATGTAGAGTAGCCGCGTCCTGACTGGCCTGTACCTTCAACATGTCAACCTCCTCCTCCAATGACATCCTGTCAACATCACAACACAGATTACTAATGCTCTAATCAAACTCGGGGTCCAGCAAATATTTAAAAAGAAATTGTATTAAAAATGTTCAAACTATTCATACAAGTATCTATTAAAAAATGTTTTTTTTTTTTTTTAACTTTTATAGATTCATTGCTTTTCACATCTATTCTTGTTTGCATTGATGTACATGTACCATTTTCTAATTGAAAATGTAATGAATGTAATACTTGTAAAAATGGCCAACTGGCCATTGTTGAATTCATCATCAATAACAACATATAAATATGTCTTTAGCCCTGCTGTTCTCAGAGAAAGATTCTTAATGTTATTTTTCCTATACACAGTACTCCTCTAAAATTTTTGTAACATTAAGCGTCATTTTATTTCAATAACTATTATCAGTACATATTTTTTCAACCTTTTAGGAGGATGCTTGCAAATTAATCTCACTAAATGAAAACCTGTTGTTTTTTAAGATGAGGACATTGTAAAAAGATTTTATGCTTTTGAATTCCTATGTAAAACTTTGCCCTGCTGCTGCAGTCTCATCTAAGATTTGGGGATCAGGACTTGACTATAATTAAATCTTTTCTACAATAGGGAGCCTGTATTAGCATGTAACCTCCCTCTAATCTGTCTCAATTTATCTCACTGATTCTACTTTATAGAATGAGTTGTCTTACTTTTCTACCACCAGGTTTGAACTTTATAGAATGAGTTGTCTTACTTTTCTACCACCAGGTTACGATTCTCATTTTTGTACACGGCCAGCTCATTCCAGACTTTATCGCTGTTCTCCTGGCGAAGTTCCCGTGGGTCTGCCCGTTTCTTCTTTCTTCCTCTCTCCATTTTATTGCTGTGGAACATAATAAACTAAACATTATACAAGAAAGTATGATGCACATATTACATACAATCAGAAAAAAAAATGTTTAAAATGTAAACCAACAGTGCATTTGGTGCAGACATTAGGATATTTTACATAATGATAAATCTAAAGATTAATGTACAATAAGGCTACCCTGTATGATTTTTTATTGTTTGGAAATTTCAAAGCAAATTTTGAGAAAAATACCTTAGCTTGAGGAGTAGGGCCTTTTGTGCTACCCTACAGACTCAAAAAAAACCTACCTATTTTCATCCTCATACAACTTCAGCTGATCTTTCAGGATCTTGTAATCTATCTGGGCACTTTTCAGTCTTTCAAGACGTTTAGCGTGAGCCTTCTTCAGTTCCTCTAATTCACGGTTCTTAAAAAAAAATCATAAAAAAATATTCTGAATGCATATTCCAAATATACAGAAAAATGTGCTCTTACATCAAGTGGCACAAGTTATATGGGGTGACTTTAAGCTCAATGATTCTAATGAGCCAGTTCACTTAAACTTGTTTTGTCCTTAACCTTAACCTGCACATTTCAGCTACAGTACTCGTGCTTTGATCAGATACTTGAGCTAGAAATAATCTTATACTAATTTAAATATTTCCTTTCATAACAGAGTTTTATGAAGTATCTCAACACATTTTAGAGTAAAGAGTTTAATTTCTTGTTGATGCAAAACACCACCATTTCACTACCTAAGTGTGTATTTACCTTCAGTCTGAGCATGTTCTTGGTGTCGTCCAGTTTTCTCTCTGTCTGCAGCAGTCTGTGTCTGAGGTCACCCTGCCTGACAGGGGGTCCCTCCTTAACCTTCCTGACGGGGGATAGAGATCGAGACCTGGAGTGCTCCCCCCTGGTAGAGGACTTGATGGGACTCAGGGCTACGCTGCGGACCTCCCTTGCTGGGGTAGAGTGAGTTCTCTCTCGTTTGTTGAGGTCAGACACATCAAACTCGATATTAAGTTTGTCATTCTCCTGTTCCAGTCTCTCTATCAAGCGATCCTTGTCTTCCAGTTCATCCTTCAGTAGATTTATCTCCCTCTGCATTCCCCGCACCTTGATCTCCAGATCTGACGAGGGCTACAAATAAAACAAAGAAATCAACTTACTTCATGTCTATAATTCCAACTCATTCACTACATGCATATATTCCAAGATTTCTCACTCATCTCTATAAATGCTATCTATAAATGAGGCAAAGTCATTAGACATATTGAGAATGAGCAATGTAGTGAGTGATACAACACTGCAGCAATTTACATTTCTACATGTACATACATTCTAACTGTAAGTTTGCTGCAGGTAAGACTTAAAGGCCGAGGTTTTCAAAAGGTCGGTTTTCCTCAGGTAAGTTTGGTGTGGGGTGGAGCTAAATCGAAGCGGCTGAGATGCCCTGAGGGAATGACGCTGGCTTGTGTATAGCTACCTATATACACAGGATGTTACCTGAGTGTATTACCTGTACACGTTTTCCTACGACATTGTAAAACGAAGCCCGTTTTTTTTTTTCATGTTTAGGTCAATTGAAATGCATGAAATAAAGCATGTTTTTGTTGCGGACAAAATCCTTCTCAAATTCTTTTTTTTTAATTAATATTTTTAATAATTCAACAATTTCAATGTACTGTGTGTTTGTTAATCAAATGTTATAACGAATTAAGCACCAAAATCTGTCGTAACAGTTGTAATCTGGTGACAAAAAGGGAAGCAATTCAAATTACATTAGAACTTAGAAACTTAGAAACCATGTTTTGAGGATCGATAAACTGTTTAGAAATGTAATAGTCTAAATAAATATTTTTTAAAGATAAATCCTTTGTGATTTTTCCATAACACATGGTCTGTAAAAATGACCTGGGCTTCAGACCGGGGATGATTCCCCGACAGCTATACTGAGGTGAAAAGGGAATGGAATCACCTGCATCGTACTTTTTTCTTTCAGGATTCATAATTTCAAATATTAAATGCAAAGCAAGATGTTATAATCCGACTAATTTCTCTTCTAAAGGTGGGTATTATTTTACCGTAACTTCGTCACCATCTCTCGGAGAAAAGCGACACGTACAGGTTTGTCTTATGAATAAATATAAATATTCACTTGACTTCTGAACAATGTTACAATGTTGTCAAACTTGTTTTTAAACAAACTAATTTAATTTTATTCCACAATACTTCAAACGCGGGCCGGTTTTGTTAATTATGGTGAAATAAATGTACATTAACTCATGCTTTGACAAATCAAAATTATCGATTGTATATAATTGTGAAATGAACCCCCCCCCTTTTCAAATTAAAATCATAATATATATGCATGATTTTTCTTATTATTTATCTAATTATTTGACAGATTGATTATATTTATGAAATATTCTTATGGACTAAAAGAGAATGCTTTGATTGCTTCTTTATCACGTTGGCATACGGGGTAGGCATCAAAAGCCTGAAAGTTAATTCGATGGTCAGTACGACCTCCAGACAATATACACAAGATGTACACAATAGCAGAAAACTAAATGTCAATCAAATCAAAGCATCCAATCCCAGGCTTATTTTCAGATGATTGACAGGGGTTCTAAGACCAGGTAAATTTGAAGGTGCTTATTTCCTCCCCCTTTAAAGTTACTTGGAAATGTGCATGCTCGTAAAAAATGAATCTGCCCAGCTTACCGTTATTTAAATGGACCATGCGCCAAGAATAATCAAGAAAATATAGGTTACATGCAGCACATGAAGCAGGAATAGAAGCATTATTACATACTGTGAAATTACTCATTTTCATGGCAGTTTAATTCTCATTGTTTTCGAGGTATGAAGAGACTCAGAATTTATGTCAACCATGAAATGTAATTTATTACAGACATTACTACTCAACATTCTTTATGCACAAAATTATATTCCCACAAACATATATTTTTACCTCAAACCATGAAAAATTTACCCCTTGAAAATATGTGATACAATGTATTACAGTACATCATTCCTGCAAGTTTGGTCCAGTTAAGTCTTATTGATACTTGAAGACAGACCTGCTCAATATTCATTAAGTCCAACATTTTTTTATTTACTGTTTTACGGGAATTTTTTTCAAAAAATTGAGTCGGGGGGTCGAAATAAAAATAAAATATTCAAATTCAAGCAGTCGGTCAGAAAAATAAAAATAAAACGAACAAATGTAACAATTTTTTTTATTTTAAGAATGGAATTGTTTTATTACCTAAATTTGGCAGAAAAAGGTGTTATTTGAAAAGATTAATGCATGCAAAACATTTTTATCATATATATATTTTTTTGGTATTCAATAAATAATAAGATTTGAGGATTTTTGAGTAGCTATCATATGGCAAGAATATAGTAAAACAGCCTATATTCTTAAGGCTTTTAATGGATCAGTTAAATAATTTCACAAGTGAGACTAATTAAAAGAAAATCTGTGTATCTTTTTCAATGCAATTCAAATTAATATACACATAGGTGGATAAAACATATCTTTCTCTTGAAAACATATTCAAATTGCCTCAGTGCTACAACTTTCAACGTACATGATTGTAGAAAATACATGTATTTACCATAAGTATATACATGTAAAATAGGCAATGACAATTACTCTGTTTACTGCAGAATTCGAATATTTGTTAAAACTTGTTCTAATCCACAACTTTTGAATAAAAAAAAAAACAGGCCATATTTGTATGGACGTATCATCTGCAGCTATGTTTTTCCGTATTGGTAAAATTTTTTCCCAAAGAAAGCTGTTTTTACTCCATTGATGTACATTAGTTTGTTAGCAAAATTCCATTTTGAATCGTAATAAGTGTGATTAATATGAATAGTAACGAGTGAAATTTATGACTCGAATTTCCTCAGTCACGCCACTTTTTACATGTAGAAGAAAACAAGACTGTCATTTAAATAAGTTTCAGAACAATCTTCAAGCCGTATTTCAACGCTTTGAAACAACTGTCAAAGATAATACATACTTAAAACCTCTCAAAACAAGGGGCTGACAGAACCTCAATTTCCTTGTGGCAATCTGCATAACATTTGATCACTTTGACTACTGTTTAGTCTATTTTATTTAATCTTTCATTAAAAGTTAATCTGAAATTGATACTTTTTTCTAATAAATGTCATGTCACTTTTTAAAATGACTGAGTTGATTTAAAAATATATCAAACACTACGATTCTGACATTTTGCCGCTAACTGTTAGGCTGAGTTGGCAGTGACTATCCATGCTTCACATTCATGCTCATTAGTTTTGTCATCTGTGATTGGATGGATATATTTACCTTAGCCAATGACAATTGACGTTTTGAAAGGCTTGTAAAAATTTTGTTGACGTTTCTTTTATTTTTTCAGTGACTATTAATAAGCTATCGGCGGGAGAAACAAAAATAAAACTTGAAGAAGAGACTTTTATTTTTATTTCATTTCAGCCCAAATTAGGGTCGGCGCTCCCGTAAAACAGTAAATAAAAAAGTGATGGCCTAAGGAATGAAGCTTATTTCAACTTTTGTTATAGGATATAACATAACTTGGGGCAGTTTACGCTTTATAAACCTAGTCTCGTTTTCCCCCGACTCTCGCTCTCGAGACTTTGCCCGAGCGAGAGTCTGGTCTGATTCCTATTTAATTTTTGTAATTTAAAATCGAGGCTTACCGAGAAATCGGTATGGATTTTCATTGGCTGATACATTCTCTTCGATGCTAAGATCTGTATTCTTTAAAAAGTCAGATGCTGCACCTTTACTTTTATCTGTTTTTATAGTAAAATATCTCTGTCTGCTTTACTAGGAACAAAAAAACGCACATATCTTTGTTTAAAAAGTAAATTCTCACATGTATTTTCATGGGAGTCGCCATCTTGTTAGCCGGTTTAGCGACCTCTAGTGGTTACAAAAATTAAATAGGAATCAGACCAGACTCTCGCTCGGGCAAAGTCTCGAGAGCGAGAGTCTGGGGAAAACGAGACCATTTATAAACCGTGAAGCGGTTTATAAAAAAATGTAAACTGCCCAAAGTTATGTTATATCTTGTAACATAAGTTGAAATATGCTTCATTCCTTATAATTTAATTTCAGTGTTGACAATGAGACAATTTTTTCCTCCAGAAAAAAGGCTTCAAATTGAGCATAATTTTAAAAGTAACGTCAAGCGGAGTAATAGGTTTTTGACGTAACTCGTGACGTAGGGAAGTTATGTTATACAAATTGGATAAAAGCTTTTACCCAATCAAATGACGTGTTACAACTAATACATGTATTAAATTATTAACAAATTAAGAAGAAAAGTGACAACATCCTAAACTGCATCATCAATGTAAGTTTTTTTTAAATGGTATTTGCTTCAGGAACATAAACCAAGAATACTAATGTGCTGATCATCAATGCTACTTTGACTGAGGTGAACTGAATAATCAACTTTTTTCAGCAGAATCCAAAGCTGAGAGAACCAAAAAATAAAACAAGAGACAATAAATTCACATACTAAAAATCTTCCTGAACTCTAAATACCGATGAATTACCTTGTCATCAATAAAGCTGCCTGACGTTCCTGGACTTCGACTCCGCTGTCGTCGTTGGAAACTATCAACTCTACCCTGAAGGGAAGCAATGACAGAGTCCTTCTCCAATAACTCCTAAAAAAATAAAATTACACAGACCATTTTATATATTCCTTTTTTAAATGGTTTACTTGAAAATGTTTTCTTGTATATATGAAAGTTTTCATATCTTATTTTAATTACATGTTATAAAAAAACTAGAAATATGTTCATAGGACATGAATGCCCCGCCAAGGGTATGTTAGTAATGCAACATAAAAATTTGTACATGTGTATGAAATTTGATCAGAATATATTGAATAGTGATACAGTTGAATTGCTTACATCAGTATGTTTCAGCATATGAAGTTTGACACTAATTTTTTTAAAGTGAGGTCAAGGTTAAAGGAAATGCTAAGGTCAAAAAATGTCAATGCAGTTGAAAAGCTCTTATCAGTATGTATGAGCACATGAGTTTGAAAAAATATTATGAATGGTTTATTTAAAACTGACTTATTTGATAAAAGTGAGGTCAAGGTCAAATCAAGGTCAAGGTTAAAAATGTTGATGCAGTTAAATTGCTTACATCAATATGTATCAGCATATGAATTTGATACTTATTTAGGAAAAGTGAGGTCAAAAGGTCAAAGAAAAGGTCAAGGTCAAACAAGTTGATGAAATTGAATATCTCTCATCAATTTGTATCAACATATGAAGTTAGAAAAAAATATCTTTAATGGTTTCTTAAAAACTGAGCTAAACACTAATTTAAGAAAAGTGTGGTCAAGGTCAAAGGAAAGGTCAAGGTAAAAAATGTTGATGCAGTTGAATAGCTCTCTTCAGTATGTATCTACATTTGAAGTTTGATAACACCATCTTGAATAGTATGTTTAAAACTGAGCTAAACACTAATTTAAGAAAAGTGAGGTCAAGGTCAAAGGAAAGGTCAGGGTCAAAAAATGTTGAGGCAGTTGCATAGCTCTTATCAATCTCTATCAGCATATAAAGTTTGATGAAAATATCTTGGATAGTTTCTTTGAAACTGAGCTTTGAACTGAGCTAAACGCAAAGTGTGACGGAATGACAGACAGAGTCACAGAAGGACGGAGGGACGGGAGACGGACATGACAAACACCATATGCCCCGGCCATATTCATGGCAGGGCATAAAAATTCTGACTTGATTTAAAATGTACACAAAGCAAATATGCTTTACTGGAATTTTAACTGGAGTCTGCAATGTACTAAAATTTCACTAAATACAAAATTCATAAACATATAAACATGTATATTTTTAGAAAAATCAAATATGTAGACTTGTCATGCAGTACCTCAAATCTGTAACTTATATTTTTCTAGTTTTTTAGGCAAAAGCTAAAACTGCATTTTGCAATTAAGGGAGAGTTTTTTGGTGGTGTACCTTAAAAAGAAACAAATGTCACTTCAGCCAGCCACCAGTGTTTGAACAACATCCTAATCTAATAGAGTTCCAGTTTAATGACGGAAAACGTGGAAAAGTGTAATTGTTACCATTTCACAGACGACACCCTAACTCTCTGAGGACCTTCCTTCTCTGTCAATGTTAAGCTTTACAATTCAATTCTGGAAACAATCCCCTAGAGGTAATATGATTGTTCAATCTAGCCAGAGCTGAAAACCAATTACATTCTAATAACAGCTATTATGCCATTACATTCTTTAACCACCTCTTCCAAAATTATGATATGACTTCTCTGCCATAGTGTCATTGGAGTCGCATTGGTGAGGTGCTCAAATTGACAGGTCACCCAAATTAATAAGCTCGGGGTTTCACCCTTTCTTGTTGTAAACAGAAATTCCTGATAATGTAACCAAAGCTTGAGGCGTCACACTGCAAAATGGGACTCGAACGTTGTGATCCGACGTGACGAAAATTTGAATAATATGACAAGGCGTATGTTATACTGCGGGACAGATTCTACCAAAGCATCATTCCTGTCAGTACAATTACAACTTAAAATATTTCACAGCGGTGTGAGAGAAATTATGAATATAATATGAAGTCTGTCCCTCTAGGACACAAGCTCCATTCCTAATTTTCCTGGCTTTTTCAAATTTGTGAACATTTGTAATATTTGTCAAAGAATTTGATTTAAGGTTAGTGTACAAAACTGATTCTCTTAACTTTGATTGAAACGTGAAGATGAATTGATTTTTCTGTAATTACTAATTGAAAACTGAACAGGAAATAATTCATCTACTTTAGGAAACCATATAAAATTATAGTTCAATGTTTTTTTAAACCATACAAAAGTTATTAGATAAGAATTATGTAAATTTCAGATCAAATATATCAGAAATGAAAATTATGAAAAAAAATTGTGCCGAAATTGTTCTTTTTTTATCCACAAAAAATATGTCATCAAATGGGAGCTGGACATTTTTGGCATGTGAAGAAACCCATGTGCTCTGTCTCAAAGTGGCTAAATTGAAAAAGACTTTTCTAAATGGCTCTCTAGACATTGACATTGGCAAGTTAGCAATGTCTTTCTATCATACTGCTCCAACAAGCAACAGAAAGCATTAGTCTGCACTTATTCTGGTGGCTTCCTTTCCCCACCTTGCACTTCCAATGGGACCCTTGACAGAGCTCTCCAGATTTTGATAGTATACAAGACATGATGGTAATTGCTGCATGTTTACCAATCAAATATTTATGAAGCACCACTCGGTGAATAAATATGACATTGAACTCTTTAACTTTAACCAAATGGGACACATATATGGTCGTCTTTGAAATGTCTTTAGCAAATATGGAATATAAGTGTCAGGGACAATTTCCTCTATTGTAAAAATCAAATCAGATCGGAGAATTTCTTGATTATTGATTGTATCCTTGTACCAGGAGAGAAAACACACAATCTATTTTGAAACCATTGGAGGACAGGGAATACAGCATGATTGTCATTTTTGTATAAATGTTTGACGATGGTTTATATAATAAGCCTGTATCCTCCTTTGAGACTCTCATCTCGGCGATGATTGATGACTATTTGTTTAAAGGCTACTTGGATTTAGAGATGAAGCCTCTAAATTGTCCCCTAGGTGACAGTGGAGTTAGGACAACTCAATATAATGTCATTTGTCCCATGTCTGATGTAGTTAAAGCTGATGCCAACCGTTAACTCTGTAATTTAATTTTATACCTATCTTATATCACAAAACTACCGAGGGACTAAAATTTCAACTCTGGAGAACACTGCACTATTAAAATCAATCAGAGATGTCACTTACATTTATTAATTTGCACAAGTCATAAATGATAATGAAACCTACACTGTAATTTATTTATTTTTTTTTTATCATTTTCAGTACTATTTTATCTCTTCTTTATAATTAAAACATCCTCTGATTAACGAGATGTATGTCACCATGTCACTGCAGATAATTGTGTAGTGTGGTTCTAAAACTTGATGCAAATCCCAAATCACACTCTGATGACAGAGAAGAAGGAATTCATCTCCCTAATAAAGTGTCAGTTTACTAACAGAGGATCATCGGGGTATTGGTTGTAATAAGATTGTCACATAACAGACTTTTACCGTAATGTTCAATTTATTTTCAATTATTTCAACATTCTTTTAATTTCACATGCTTATAGCAAAGGGAAATGAAATTAATTTCACTGAGACTTTCAGTTCAAGAAAAAATATATATATCATATAAATCATTTAAAATGCACTATGTTAAACATATTTATCAATATCAATTAGCTACATTGTTATTTACATTTAGAATATACTAGCAAAAGTAACATATTCTAATTTAGGCCATAATAAAAATTTTTGATAGTGATATTTTTTACATTTTTTTTTCTGTTTTTCTTCGTCTTAATTCTGATCAGGATCGGTATTCATCTACCATTCTACTTCTGTTTTAAATCCCGCAAAAGTCGACATGATTTTGACAGCTGAAAAGATGGTTATTGCTGTAATACATGCGTATTTATTTTAAACAAGGGTCATTGGCTGAAAAAGATTGGTGATGATGTGAAGTAAGAGATAATTGAACCTTTACTATGACTTTTATTCGGGTATGGTAGATAAAATTACACCGATTGCCTAGGTCAATAAAAAATCTGCAAAATTGAAAAAATAAAAACCATAAAATAAAACTGCCTGCCCCCCTCGATTTTTAAAAAAATTCGGATGAGAATCTAGCTATTTATGTATTATGGCCTTATCTAATGAATATTTTTGATAATGATATTTTTTACATTGGAAAATATCAGTTTTCACTGGGCAATTTCTCAATGGACCACAAAAAATCTCAATTTTTCTTCCCTCCATGAAAGTGTAATTAAAAAAACTCCTTGTTAAAAGAAACTTCCCGTCACATTTCAGACTGAGATTTTACACTCACCTTTCTAAGGTTGTGGACTTCCCGTAACATCTCAGGCTGAGATTTTACACTCACCTTCCTGAGGTTGTGGACTTCCCGTAACATCTCAGACTGAGATTTTACACTTACCTTTCTGAGGTTGTGGACTTCCCGTCACATCTCAGACTGAGATTTTACACTTACCTTTCTGAGGTTGTGGACTTCCCGTCACATCTCAGACTGAGATTTTACACTTACCTTCCTGAGGTTGTGGACTTCCCGTCACATCTCAGACTGAGATTTTACACTTACCTTCCTGAGGTTGTGGACTTCCTGTCGCATTTCAGACTGAGCTTTTTTAGCTGCTTCATATCTATTGGTCAAATCTTTGTACATCTGGAATAGATTTAATCAAATAAAAAAATCAACTAAATTTTCAAAGTCCTTTTTAAATTAAATTTGTTGGATTTTTATGAAGGGGGGGGGATCAAATTCAGACAAGAAAATAACTGATTTTTACACACTTTCATAAAAAAAAAAAAAACCATGAATTGAAGGCAGTATTTCAGTGGCTGGATGAATATTATAAAATGCACACAGAGTTTTATATACTTGAGTAATTGATCAACTACTTACATCTTGTAATGAATTGGTCTCCATGCTATAGGCATCTTCTTGATTCTTCAACACTAAATATTGCCAACAGAATGTGTTACATTTTCATTGGAGGTTTTCAGTTAAAAGCAAAGATGTTTGTTACATATCTTCTTTTCAGAATGTATCGATATTAAGAACAACAATACTGTATAGGGGGAAAATAACTCGCGGTGTTAATATTCGCTATATTCACGGTGTTAATAAATCCGTGAATTCAAGAAACAGTGAATAAATTTTCAATAATCTCCAGGTTTTATTTGGAAATTTGAAAATAGACAACGATAGGGCTACATACATGTACGCGAAGTACATGGTCATTTCGGCCGGTAAATTACGAGTAGAACTCGTCATTCAATTAATTTAATTATCACGCTTAACTTAAATTCAATTCAGCAGATAATAACCTGTATTTGTTAAACAAGCTGTTTTAATAGCCAGCGCTACATGTTTCATCAATCAAAACACATGGGTCATGGGTTTTGATTATCCGTGCATAACTAATGTTACCACGTGTATTTGTCTGTGTGTTACTGCATTATCATGCATGCATACGAGTTTTTGTCGATATTTTGGTATTAAAAAATCATTCAAATAACTATAGAACTTACTGAAGATGTGGAAGGATATTTCGTCGACCTTTTCCAATATTAAAACATTTATTACCGTCCTGGTCCAGTGCTTTTTCTTTGCGTTGTATCGAAGATCTTAGGGTGTACACACACTCATTGTAATAGCATATAGGAAAGACATTTGATGTTTAGAGTCAAGGACTTTTGATAACTGCACTTGTTTTAATTAATCGTCAATTTTTTATTATATCAAATCTACTTACTTTATTTAAATCTACCCCGTTGTTCGTGAAATAAAGTCATAACACTGATTATTAATATCGTTTACATGTAGCTATGGTATGGATAAACGGATATAGACAAGGGAGGTAACTTTTATCATGTACCAATTCCGCGAATTCAAGAAACCGCGATCGTGTCAGATGGGGGAAAAACGTGAAAATTACAACCCGTGAAATTTATCCCCTATACAGTAACTAGATCTTGTACATTTACATGTATAGACAGTTTAAATGAAATGCTATAAGTATATACATGTATTGTAAAAGTTGATAAGAAGTAGACAGTATAAACTGGTAGTACACGTATAACACAATAGACCCTTTTCCTGTGACATATTTTGCCTAGGAGTTATTCCCCTTAGCCGCCATCTTGTAGGACAAAGTAGTGAATTTACCTCTTTGAGCAACCAATTTTAAACATGCATGCAAGAAATATATGGGGGAAAATACTCACAATATTATAATCATGAATTAATAGATGCTTCAACTAACATATATTCATAAGAAAAATAGCATTATCTTTACCTCAGTAACCAGTATAACAAATTGAACTTGGTTGAATAATGAAGGGATCTGGGAATGTTGCCCTACAAGATGGCGGCTAAGGGGAATAACTCCTAGACAAAATATGTCATAGGAAAAGGGTCTATAGAAAATAAATGATAGAATTATATGTATACTCAGACAATTGTTTGAGTCACATAAGCAATAAAAGATTTTGTTAAGAAATTTCCCTAATCTTCTGTGAGCTTCTTTTCTGTATGCTGTGACCTAGTTTTCTGTGTTCTATGACCTATTTTCAGTGTTCTGTGACCTATTTTTCTGTGTTCCATGCTGTAGTTTACTGTGTTCCATGACCTAGTTTTCTGTGTTCTGTGACCTAGTTTTTTGTGACCTATTTTTCATTGTTTTGTGACATATTTTCATTGTTCTGTGACCTATTTTTCATTGTTCTGTGACCTATTTTTCATTGTTCTGTGACCTATTTTCAGTATTCTGACCTACTTTTTTGTGTTCTGTGACCTACTTTTTTGTGTGTCCTGTTGTAGGCTCTGTAGCTGTCTGATGAGGTCTGCCTGTTGACTCGAGTGTTCTGTTAGCTGATTGTGACTGTTCCATAATTCTGACAACTCTTTTCTGTTGAATTCAAAGACACAGATCTAATCAAATCAATTTAATTTCCATAACAGTCACACCATTAAATACAATAGAGAAAACTACTGCGATTCTGGCTAAAACTATATTATATCCTGGTAATAATAGTTTTCATATAAAGGAAAACCTTACCTGACAGTTTCCAATTCCTTGTTCTTGAATTCATTTTCCTTTGTTAATTTTTGTGTTTTTATGTCATACTGTTGAAGTAATTTTTTGGCTTCTCCTAACTGAAAAAGGGAATACATTGTCTTTACATAAGGAAACATATACATGTACATAATTCTGACCATATTTTTGCTTCTAATGCATTCAGGGCATCAAACTATCTTAATTTTTAATTTATCACAAACTGAATAAACTCAAATTTGGATCATACAGTCAAAATTCTGTACACATGTTACACAAAGTAAAGTAAAAAGGCTAATTATCATGATATGTTAAATATCAATGGAGATTTTCCATTCACCTCTCTGATAATGCCCTCAAATTTCTCCACTTTCTCCTCAATGTCGCGATCCAGTTGTCTGACCTTGTTTTCCAGTGATACCTTCTGGGCGATTATACTCTCCTTCTCTGCCCTGACTACTTCTATCTCTGTCGACATCTTGCGACATTTTTGTTCTAAATCTGATTTGAGATGAATGTTAGAATAGTGTTAATAGTAAATGTGTGGCTTTACTGATCATCAATATTGGTTATCAGCATTACTAAAAATGTACATGTATATTAAAAGTGCCACAGAGGTAATTAAATTTTATCAGCTAGGACAAACAAAGATGTCCAGAAACTCAATGGCATATTACTCTCTGTAACTTTGAAGACTTTGTTAATTATTGATTAATTTGAAGCAACCACTTAAATTTTTGTCCCATTTGGATTTTGAATCAGTGATAATACATGTATCCCAAAAATCCAAATTCCATCATTCTTTATCCTATCCTATTTATATCAGAATCTACAAGTACCACTTTTGTCCTGAGATAGATTCTCCACTGTATTTCGATGCAAGTCTCCTGAACTTTTTTCTCGTACTTCAACACTTCTCATCTGTAAAATATATTTATTTTTCTTAGCAATAATGACAATAAATTTGTAATGTAATAAAATGTAACTTTTTTCATCATATGGGTAAAACAATAATTTTACATTTTATGGTAAATTTAAGTACAAGAATGTAACAATCTCCATCAACTATAATGATTAAATGTAAAAACAGCATTAAAACAAATCTGTAATGAATAAATAATTTCAATGTTAATTCATAAAAATTCAGTAATTTTTTAACCTTCACCATAACATATAACCATAACAATTACACAGCAAACTTGTGTTACCTTCCACGAAAATCGTGGAGGAGGGGTGAAAACAACACCCCGTGCTCGCAGCTGTAAAAAACAGGGGAAAACTCTTAAATGAAATTAACAAGTGCAAATTAGACTTCTATTATTTGTCACTGGTTATGACTAAAAGCGGTAAACATGTTTACCATAAACTTATGCAATGATGAAAGTTCAATTCGAAAACAAATTTTTTTTTTATGAGTCTTGGCACATGTATTTAGAAATTCTAGTTATTGAAATATATTCTTCTTGATGATTATAATTTTTAAAATTTGTCATTTAGAGGATTGAAAAAGTTGAGCCTGCACAAAATAAGGCTGCTGCATTTCACTCTGAATTCATGTAGCCCTGAATCATTGAGAAAAGGACATTTCTAATATCACCAGTCTGTATAACCATGATGTTTCATTCCACATGATCCCTGCTAAAAACAAATTAAATTCTATACCTTCCTTGATTTGAAAATATATTTTAAAAGCATTTTATTTTATTTTTTAAATTATATAATTTTTTTTACATTCCCTTTGTAAAATTTTTGGACCATATTAGGCATAATGGGCCAATCCATGTCTTAGGAACTATGATCAGAATTAATTAACATAAATAACTTAAAATTACATTTACAGTTATGAAAATACTTTAATATAAGTTATAACATTTAGCCCTATAGTTACTTAGAAGATTGGATTAATTGCATGTTGTTTTATGTCCCTTTCAAGATTTTTTAACTCATATGGAGACATCATCATATACTAGTGAAGGGCTTCAGGTTTTGACCTTTACTTGGCACTCAGGGCCATTAAGCAGTGAGGGATCTTTATTGTGCCATTGCCTGCTGTGACACAGGGCCTCAGATTTTAAGGTCCCATTCGAAGGACCCGCAACTTTCACTTCAAAGTGCCGAGTGCAATGCAAAGGAACAGGTGCTATCCATTTTTTATCAGTCGCGAGATTGGAAATCAGGACCTCCCGATCATGGAGCAAGCACTCTACCAACTGAGCTACCATGAACAGTTTGCTAAGAAGAAAATTGTTGAAATATTTATTCCCCTATAGAGTCAAGTCTTGTTTTCTCAAACGCAATGGGACTGAGAAAAGAAATTGAAATATCTGAGGATTTGAGATATCCAGGAAAATACTTATAAATAGTAAGGGGTTGGACTTACATGGGATCCAAGGTATTAGAAATATATCAGTGTTAGAAAAACAGGGTGTACCAAAGTTCAGATGTAATCTTAAAACTTGACTCCCTTTTGTGGCCGCATCACTGGTTAAAACAAGAAATGTTTGAGAAACATATATACGTTGTATAGCAATATATAAAACAAGAAATGTATGTGAAACACTTATGTTCGTGTATGGCAGCTCCTGGCCAAAGTCCATGTTTTTCAAATGAAGGTCAAAGGTCAATAACAAGAGATAAAAATGGTCTTGTTACAAGGAATATACAAGTGAAATATGAAAACCAGTGCTCTAAGTGTGATGTTTGTCAAGCAAACGGTTCTCAAGTCATTGAACTGTCAAGATATTCCTATGTCTGGAGTAGTTTCTCCCTTTTGCTCACAAAATAAGAGGGGTCATTCTCTTTTCAAGTGGTACAAGTATACCAAATTTAATATCTATCAACAAAAAGTTTCACTGAACGTTGTGTTGACACACTTGGTCTATGGAGTAAGAGACTGACAAATGTGCAAAGCAATATGCCCCTCTCTATCACTGGGGAAAGGGACATAAAAATCAAATCCTTTTTCTTTGGGATTAAAATTTGAATAGATTACCAGTACACAATAAAATAATACAGAAATCATTATTCCACATTTCAAGGATCAAATAGCAAGAATATTACATGTAATAACTGGGAAAAATTCTACATTAATACAGAATAATGACTTCATGATGAACTATTTTTAATTAAAGAAAGTCACTTAACTTGCGCATATTTCTCAAACAAAAATAAAAGCTGATTTTAATACAGTATAATTTTATGAAATGTGTATCGCAAAACTTCTGGTTATTAACAATGTACTAATTAGCTAATTAGCAACTGATCTCCTCTGAACGATCAGAAATAAATATATTATATTTAAAAACTGCTATTTTTAGTTTAAAACCTCCATACAATTTACATTTTAGTGGAAGCAATTATTAATATTTTATTTACTATGGTAAATACCTAGAAATATTTTCATTTAAAGTCATTGTAACGGATTCTCCTTCAATTCCTGCAAGCACTCTTTTTCTTGTATCTTAAATTATTTTTCAATTTTATTTATATCTTTTTTTTCTCTAAAATTTATCATTTAATCTGAAATATTACACAAGTATCATCTCTTCTGAAATGGAAATCTCTAACGGAGAGAATTTGTCCCCCACTTGAATTGTCTAGATTGAAGTATTATCATAACAAAACCACAGGTCACCAAATACGGAGGAGACAAATAAGAAAAAGCAATAATCAGAGACAGGAATTTCCGGGGATGATTTCCACTGCCTTTACAAATGAATTATCAATCTTGCAGAACAATTTGTCCTCGGTGTTAAATCAATCTTGGAAATTCTATACAATAAGGACCCCTCTCTCCTCCAGCTAATCCCACAGCCTTCCAACCGAAGAATACTTGAATTATTCACGTTTCATTTGCAGTAATTTGTCGTAACATTTATGATTACAATTTGTCACCCATGTTGATTTGCTCAATTAGAGGCATGCAGCGGGGATTTGTGTTTGTCATACATGATTTGAGACTTGTCACCCTCAAAAGCCACAGATTTTGATTTCTACTGTAAAATTAGATTTTTTTTTCTTGTGACTCATGTTTTTATTGTGACAGTGTACATTTCATTTTAGGACACATCTTGACAAAATTACATTTCCCACTTGTGTGCTTTTTATATACAACTCTACAAAAACAATTTGAATTTCACGCATTGTTGCCATGTAATGACAAATTTTAATTCTGTCCAATAAATCATCAATTAATTAATTTGTATAATTTTTGACGCTAGGCATAAAATGACCAATCAGTGTTAGACTGTATCATTACTTTTTTTTTTGATGCCATTATAACAGACTGTATCTATGGTGGGATGAACATGTACTATAAATATCACAGAGTTTAAATTTAAGATAATCATTGCAAAGTGATCAGAAAAAAATATTTTAACCTCCAATGCATTATTTTGAAACTGTATGCTGCATATTTGACATTGCACTGCAATAAAATATGATATTTGTGGGTTGCTATGTCTCGCTGGTTTATCAGGGCAGCCATCAACAGTTGTGTGATATGCTTCTGTCCCCCCAGTCCAGACACACTGCTGAGAACTTCTAATTAGCCCCATCTCATTTCTAGCAAATTAAATCAACATGAAACAAATAGAACATAAAATGCAATTATTTAAGTTTATGTGCAAATTTTACGCACTTCAACCTTATGTCCCCCAAACATGAAATATACAAGGACATTCTGGTCCACATGTTTCCTCTGAGGAGACCGCTGATGGCCAATCAAACAAATTGAAGTTGACAGTCAAAAAAATGACATCAAACAAACCTCCCTTCATGATAAGCTGGACATGAAATGATTCCAAAGGAATTTTTACTTTCCCTAATTTTCTCCCTCTCTTATGTCTAAGTCCCCATTGAATTTCCAGGAAATAGAATATATTTTCTGCTTTAAATGTTTATGTATATCTATTCAGAGTGACATTGATAAATGTCGTTTGTGACTTTGGCATCAAATGTTGGTCCCCAAGGAAGGCCATGTGGTATGCTCTAGGTCTCGATCTACACCGCCCCCATTACCTACCTGAGTACTAAACTTTCTACATTTTACCCAATAAATATGAATATTTAAAAAAATAAACTTGCTAATTTCATTTACACTGGCTATTGATTTTTGTTTGTCTTGTTTTATTTACCAGAAGAATGGAAATATGACTAAGGTAAAATTTGTTATTTGTGCATTCAGCACCCACCCATCCCTTACAATTTTTTTTTTTACACACTCCCTCCCTAATTCTGTGTTGGTGTGTTTATATTTCATGAAGAGTTTTCTTGATAAAATACATAATTTTGGTTATTAAGCCCTATAAGTAGGGGACTGAGGAAACTTATATCTATTCTGCCAAAAATTAGTGCAAAGGAAATTTAAAAGATAATCTGACTGTCCCCCTTTTTAACACCATTTAGCTAATCTACACTTTACTGTTAAATTAGTACTCTTTTATCCATATCCACCCAAGGAAGAAGAAAGAATTGTCAGAAATACAGGTGTGACAACTTAGTCACCTTTCCTATTATCCCTGGAACTGACTGCACCCCCTCTCCTTGGGGGAAAAAACTCAATACCAGCACTACTGCTGTGATAGCATCAGCTAGATTGTCCCCTTTCAGCATCAGAATCTTTATCTGTAACATTCAGTGATAGATAGACGTGATGGACTTCTAGCACCAAAATGTTGATTTCGTTATGGATTCCCCCCTGGGGCTAATCAGCTGATGACCCACTGTTTACAAATGTCAAAGCTAAGACTAGATGTGTAGTGTAAATATCTGGACAGCCATATTATGCTAGCAGTGAAAGTGCTCAGAAAATAATCAGTGAGTAGGTGTAATTAAATCTAGGGATCAAACAAGACACTCTCTCTGTAAAATATACAGAGTCAGTGGCACAAACACCACTTGTACACAAAGGCTTACTCTGATCTTCTGAAAGTTGAAATTAAATATGGATCATTATAAATACTGGATCCTTTCACCAATATCCATCAAGATAAAAGGAACATCACATTGGTGCATTTTAATTTACTAAAACTTATAAATATCAAGTCTTATTAGAAGTGATTTTTTTCCCTTCATTACAAATTCAAAGCATTAAATTTTTTTCTCACTCAGAATTACTGACTTCCATAATGGATATTTATTGTAGCAATTCTAAAATCTGGGAGGGTTTGCCAAATCTTATCACTTTGTAAATACTACGTTCTTAACCAAATGACAATTTGAAATTCAATAAATTGCTACATTAACAAAACAATTGTGACATTTTATGTCATCATAACCAGAAAGCAGTGTTTTTATTCTGGCCATTACAGCAGAGTTTTTTTTATTAAAAAATTCAGGATCTTACAACCATGAAGGATAAAACCCAGGACAATTGATTATTGCAGAGCATCCCTTCTCTTCCCTATCAATATAGTCAGTGTGACAACTTGAAATAAAAGTCTGGAAATAGACTGAAAATAAGACAACAAACTTAATGTCATCATAAAATGTTATGAGCCTCTTTATTAGTTATATAGCCATTATTGGTTTAATGCTAATCCCAATGACAAATCTAGAGAAAAATACTTCCCGCTGTTATTAGAGTCATTGACCATAAGAGATGTCATAAAGCAGTAGCATCCAATAGATACTTTAGCCTCTAATTTTTTCTCGGATGAAGGAAAATTTTAAGTGATTTGATGCAGTTTTTCTTTATTTATTAGGGATGACATTTTTACCAGACGGATAGCTTAGTAAAATAGTCCAAAGCTTTAGTCAAACAATAGTCTTGTTATCATTTTTTTTGTATGTTCAATGTTAAGGTTTTGACATTTTCAGACAAGTAAAAAACTTACTCCATTCCACCTTGGCATAGTATTTTCAAGTCAACATCAATATATTAAACTTAATATGAATTTGATTTCCAATTTATAGTTTTATTGCATACATTTTCTAATTACGCTTTTCTAATCCCTGTGCTTTTCCTTTCTACTTACATGTGATTTATCCATCACATGTTTTCAGTTCCAGCTAAAGCTTAAGTCATTCACCCAGAACTGGTAAAAGTTAAATGTTCTGTCTACATTATTGTTTATCATCAAATTATAAACAACCAATACATTCCCAGACTGAATTGATATAGAACATGAAAACACAACCGTGAATTATGCACATAACTGTTTCCTAAATTGCTTCAACATTATGCACATAAAAGTTTTACATGCAAATGTACAAATGTATGCATATGATATTTTTATGGCATCATTTCCAGCTTCCTTCTTTCAGGAAACATTTTCATGTATTCGAGTACACTAAGCTTGTAACTATGGTATATTGTTTAAAAATTGTTGTTGAAGAAGTGTACTTATGCTGCTGTGTGCTGTGGATCAATAAGTTTTACCTGCATCTCAAGTGCTGCGTTCTGATCTCGTAACTGGTCAATTTCTTTCTGAAACCTTCGAAATTCCTCTTGGTGGTCCAACTTTCTGTTAAAAAGATAAAAGAAATTGATCTATCTGTATGGTATGGTTAAGTAAAACCCTTGTATTAAAATTATATACACTTAGTGCATATACAAAAAAAAAAAAAATAGTAAGACTAAACTCCACTTACAATGAAGCTATCTCTCCTAGTTCTCTGGATCTGTGTGTCAAAAGTGTTTGTAACTCTTCTATTTTGTCATCTTTCATCTGTAAGACCTCAAGCACTTTCCTGTCTTTGACTTCAGCCTTCTCTTTTTCCCTTAAAATTTTTAGAATAGACCATTTTTAATATTTAAACCAAATAATTCATTATATTAAATGTGTTTCTTTCCTTTTCTTAAAGGTGAATAAATGATAAAATACTAGTAACTGTAATTGCTAATTTCCATTCCAAGAAAAACCTTGCATCTACCATATAACCTCTACATGACCAAAATATAAGTACAAATTTCAGATTAGAATGCCTCCTTTACTAGGAACCCTATGACAATAAATATATGAAACTTATTCTATGATAAAAGTCAAAGTTGTTGGATTTATGAATACATTTTACCATTAAACAGAACAAAAATATATGGTTTGTTATCACACTTTCTCACTATGAAAGAATGACATTGTCTTGTGAGTGAAAACATTAACAAAATGTTAAGAGAGACATTTCTGATCCAAATATAGATACCAACAATGTGTCAAACTTGACCCAATACAATATACATCACCAGGACTTAAATCAAAGACAATCTTGCATGCAATCACTCTGCAATCAATACACCAACATCTCCTACATTTTAGATTTCTTTAAATGTAATAAAACATTCCCATTCTCCAACAAGTTTCAATAAAACATGAAAATGACATAAAAATCAAATTACCACGAAACAGGATAATCTGATAAAAGAGCTGTGTGTCCCAAGACGAAGGGCGGACGTGTAAGAAGATGGCAGTCAGCACATGTCATCTGACGGGTATCTATTTCTTGTCTCACGTTTTCTAATTAATCTTCTTTGGGATGTGAATTTTTTATGGAAACAGTAACTCCTTCTTATTTCACATTGTCAGGCAATTCTGTACCTCAAGACAGACTTATAATCTATTGTAGGAGACCAACAATTCTGCTTATGTCATTGCTTTGAAATTTCTAAACAACATTTTTTTCCAATTTAGGGTAAAATGAAAATGTGAAAAACATAAATTGTTAAATGTAAGTAAAATTATATGACCTCTTTGCCTAAGAAAAAAAATAAACATCTACTGAGTTCATTGTGACTATACCAACACATAACTAGCAATAATCACTTCTAAACAAGACTAGTTGCCTTAAGTAACTCATCTCTGAACAACAAGGCTGGTTGCCCTAACAAACTCATCTCTCACCAACAAGGCTGATTGCCCTAACAAACTCATCTCTGAACAACAAGACTGGTTGCCTTAAGTATTTTACTTCTAAACAACCTTTATTAACTCCTCTCTGAACAACCTTAAGTAATTCACCTCTGAACAACAGGGCTGATTGCATTAACAAACTCACCTCTGAATAACAAGGTCGATTGCCTTAACAAACTCACCTCTGAATAACAAGGCTGATTGCCCTAACAAACTCATCTCTGAACAACAAAGCTGATTGTCCTAACAAACTCATCTCTGAACAAGGCTGATTGCCCTAACAAACTCATCTCTGAACAACAAGTCTGAATGCTTTAACAAACTCATCTCTGAACAACAAGTCTGATTGCCCTAACAAACCATCTCTCATCAACAAGGCTGACTGCCCTAACAAACTCATCTCTGAACAACAAGTCTGAATGCCCTAACAAACTCATCTCTGAACAACAAGGCTGATTGCCCTAACAAACTCATCTCTGAACAACAAGTCTGATTGCCCTAACAAACTCATCTCTGAACAACAAGGCTGATTGCCCTAACAAACTCATCTCTGAACAACAAGGCTGATTGCCCTAACAAACTCATCTCTGAATAACAAGGTCGATTGCCTTTAATAACAAACTCACCTCTGAATAACAAGGCTGATTGCCCTAACAAACTCATCTCTGAACAACAAGGCTGATTGCCCTAACAAACTCATCTCTGAACAACAAGGCTGGTTGCCTTAACAAACTCATCTCTCACCAACAAAGCTGATTGCCCTAACAAACTCATCTCTGAACAACAAGGCTGATTGCCCTAACAAACTCATCTTTGAACAACAAGGCTGGTTGCCCTAACAAACTCATCTCTCACCAACAAGGCTGATTGCCCTAACAAACTCATCTCTGAACAACAAGTCTGAATGCCCTAACAAACTCATCTCTGAACAACAAGGCTGATTGCCCTAACAAACTCATCTCTGAACAAGGCTGATTGCCCTAACAAACTCATCTCTGAACAACAAGGCTGATTGCCCTAACAAACTCATCTCTGAACAACAAGTCTGAATGCCTTAACAAACTCATCTCTGAACAACAAGGCTGGTTGCCTTTAGAAATTTACCTCTGAACAAGGCTAATCATTAAGTAACTCACCTCTGAAGAAGACTTGTTGCCTTAACTCACCTCTGAACAACAAGGCTGATTGCCTGGGTAACATCTGGGTTAGCAACTTGCAACTTTTTCCATAGAGACCAAACAAAGTCTTTGTCATTCTGAAAGAAAGGCAGAAGATTCATCCTTATTGGAACTTAATCAAAATCCTCAAATCTGCATACATGTAATGTATGTCAAAAGATGAGTTCTTCAGACCTTTTTGATATACTTAGTATTAGCTTTATGAACATCTTTAATTACGGATCAACGAGATCTAAATTCTGTGTACGCTTACCTGGCACTGACGAAGGTCTTCCTGTAGAATTCGGTTTTCTGACTGCAGTCTGCTGATTTCATCATCTTTGAAACAAAAAGCCAACGACATTTATTGTTAAAATCATCTTGTATACAATGTATGGCAAATTCAAGGTTCTAAGTCCCACAGTCCCAGATAACTACTTGCCAATTCACTTAGTGGAGTAAAAAAGAAAACATAGGGAGGACTTGCATGTCAGCCACTGTGGCATCTAATTTTTATTTTTGTGTTGCTACAACTACATGAAAGAAACAAGAGGCTCATGTGGCATTTGGTCCACAATGCTCATTTGCAGACTTGTCGAAATCCGTCGGTCCTGTCGGCAAGGCCGGTAAAAAATTGTCTGGACCGATAACATTTAAGAAAACGTCGGTCCAGATGACCGTTTGAAAAAAAATGAGCGTAATGCAAATTTAATAAAGGTCGGGATCGGGATGCGTAGTTCAAGGTCACAAACACAGAAAAAAATGGACGTGTATGCAGCTTGTTGACGCTAGCTAAGTAAATTTGTTATCACAAAGTCATAAATCATGTCATTTATGTCTATGTTAAGGACTCTCTATCCCAAGAAAGGAAACTTGTTAGATTGAAGGCTATTGAAAATAATAAAGGACATTTTGATGCTGTTATTCATATGATTTTACCGGCATCAAAATAACGTACAAGTAATGGTATCTGGTCTGACAAAAGTTTGACTGGTCCGACAAAACATTCGACGGTGTCAGACCAAATGTCTGACAGCGATTAAAAAATTTCGACAAGTCTGCATTTGTAGTAATCTTGACACTCTAGAAAATTTAAAAGAAAGATTCCTCCCCTCTGTTTTCCAATAACAATAGAAGCTGCAAGTCTGTAGCTGGTTGGTCTGAAAAAATGGGATAGAAAAAGAGCTAAAGTGCCATACACCTATAAAAATGTACATTTATCGTTCACAAATGAGTGTGCTTTAATTTTCTTATTTTTTATTGTTTGAACAATTCAAAATATTACCTAGTGTGTGTACTAACATATTCTTTTATGACTTTCATAGCAAAACTATAGGTACGAGCCATACCCAAGCAAAGCATGCTGAACTGAACTATCTTGCCACCAAAATTGGAAGTATATAGAGGCAAAATTTTCTATTGTCTTATGCCATGGAGCGTTATAAACAACAGTTTTGGGAAATCCTTTGTTGTGAAAGAAGTAAATGAATATGCTAGGAACACTTCATTGGTAGAATTTTGAGATGGCAGCTTAAATAAATGGAGAAATGAATTTTAAAAAATGTTACTTTTTATGTGCATGTAAAATATACACTTTTTTAAAATTCTAACACTGTAGGTCTCTGGTTGTCAATCCCCATTTTTTTCAGATGATTGAGTTACAGCAATGCAGCTTATGACCCTACCATTTCTTGGAGCAGGAATGAATTTTAACCAATTGTAATCTTCTCTATCTAAAATGTAATCTTGTTACCTTCTATATAAGAGGACAGATTCATTAAAGTTTGGTCATTTCTTTGCAGTTGGCACTTAAGAAGCAGATTTAAAAGAAGCTACTTATTAACAGCGACAAGTCCAAGGGAAGGAAGATGCATAAAATTAGGAAAATAAATCTTCAAGAAATGAAATAAAGGTATCAATAAACCGACACACTGGAATGAATCACAAACAACTGTCATAAAAGTTAAAGCTAACAAACAAATGTCATTTTATTGATAAAATTGAAAAGTATTCGAAATATTGAAAAATAAGGCTTTTCATACTTAGAACTGACGCATTCATTGTTATTCCTTTTTCTTTCCTAAAACCAAATATGTCCTGACCGGTGTTTCCCCATTGGAATGTTTATCACTTCTCTATGATCCTTCAGTTCTGTAATATTAAAAAATAAAAGCTTCAATTTCAGTTCAAACTTAAATCAAAATATGCATTTCATTATTGTGTTACTTATTTGAAGTTAATGTCTGTAGAAAAATTATTTGTTGTCAGTATATAGTGAAAAGTTGATAAACTTAATTCACAAGACAAGGTTTTGTTACACGAACTTGAAGAAACATGTTTGAACGTCTGTGGTCGGCACAGTTTACTTTCTCAATACCTATCTAGGGCTCCGTAGATGCTCAATGAATTAATCAAAACAATAAAAAAAAGAACAAATACCTCGCGAAAAAATATAAATCACACAAGAAAAAGCATCTAAAACTATTTTAACTTGGGTTTCTGCATGCATCAATCACCGGAAGTTTTGAATACGCGCTGCTCTGTTTACTATCGTAAAGTGTTTTATTTAATGTCGTAATTGTCAAAGTTAAGGAAATGAAACAGTGTTAGTTATTTAAAAAATAATATTTTCATAAGAATGTTTTATTTGTTGTTACCCTAATTATTAAGGAAAAGATCAACTAGAGGAGTTTATATTACGACTACCGTTAGGCGTAAAATTTGGCGCCAAATTTCAATCCACGTTTGGAAACATGGGAGAACTTTCGCTTTAGCTTTATAATATCTGTATAGACGACACGGTGAGGCATGTCACTTTAATATTAAATTTCTTTGTCAAAATTATGAAAACAGTATCATAGATTGTTGAATTAATAGTTCAGACCCAACTGAGGTAATACCGTAAAGGCTTTCATCTGCTAGGAACAGATTATACATGTATATTTATGCGCCCGGATCGATAGATCCGAGGCGTATATTGTTTTTGTCCTGTCTGTCTGTCTGTCTGTCTGTTTGTTTGTTTGTTTGTTTGTTTGTCCCCAAACTTTAACCTTCGCCATAACTTTTGAACGATGAAAGGTAGAAACTTCATATTTGGTATGCATACTGCACTAATTAGGTGCTTTCAAATGACACCAATATTAATGACCTTGTGACCTTGAATGTGACCTATATGCTAAAAATAGCTTTTTTGCAAACTTTAACCTTTGCCATAACTTTTGAACCATGAAAGATGGAGACTTCATATTTAGTATGCATACTACACTAATAAAGTTCTTTCAAATGACACCAAGGTCAATGAACTGGTGACCTTGACTGTGACCTATATGCTAAAAATAGCTTTTTCGTACTTTTCACCATAACTTTTGAACCATGAAAGATAGAGACTTCATATTTGGTGTGCGTACTCCACAAATCAAGGTCTTTCAAATGACACCAAGGTCAATGACCTTGTGACCTTGACTGTTACCTATGCTAGTATGCTAGAAATAGCTTTTTTGATTTTTGTTGCCACCGGGCGCATAGTGTTTCACAAACACATCTTGTTTTACTACTGCCTATCCATGCTAGACATAATTCTTTATTTTTTATTGTGAATTAAACCCAGTTTCTAGAAACTTTTCAAGATTTTCACCAAACTTTATACACTTTTGCAAAGCAACATTACTAATCAACCCGGCAAGGCATTCGTGTCCAATTGATATATTTCTATTTTTGTAACAACCTCAGTTTGTAATTTATGAAAATGACTAGTCCTACAATTTTAAAGCTCTATACAATATAGTCTTGGTTGTCATCCATCTTAGTTTGCAGTTGTATCTAGTGAGATATTAGCTGCAGAACTGTATATATATCTCCAAAATTATTTTTTTGACAGACTGGAGAGCTACAGTGCCACCCATTGTAAAAACTGTATATTTATTGCGCACAAAAAAGTGTGCTGTTGCTTGATTTATTTCTCATTGTTTTTAAACTGTCATCTCAAAATATTACTAACCTTGTGTTCCTAACATATTTTTTCACTGTTTCCACAACAAAACATTCCTCATAATTGTTGTTAATAGCCCTCCTGGTCCTGGAATTGAGATCATCGAAAATATTGTCTACTTATACTGCCCTTTTGGTTTGCAAGATAATTTGGTCGAACGCACTTCATGCAGATGGAAACTACGAGAGTACTTCATAGAGGAGTAAGGATTTTTTTAAATCTACTTTTTACGCAATTGAGGTAAGAATTTTGGAAGAATTAATCCAGAACTAAGCGTAACTCTTTGTGCACAATAAATATACAGGTTTTACAATGGATAGCACTGTAGCTCTCCAGTCTATCAATACCGATATATATTTTTTCAGAGAGCTACAGTTCTGCAGCTAGTGAGATATGTAAGGGCTGGGTCTGGTTTTGATACTAACCAGGTCCAGTATCAACATGCTGTGTATGCAATTCATGAAAATTGGACTAAAATGCTTTGTATGCATACTGACAATATTCAAATTTTGTTCATATTTTTGGGTAGACTTTACAGGTCCCCAGATCCACAAGATCCTCACACTCATTGAACTATGACGTAACATTTACGTCACTCAACTGATGAGGGTTAGTCATGATCCTGCACACTTTTCGACTGATTAGGGTTAGTCTTGCACCCACCTGAGAGGTTAGGGTTAGTCCTCGCACATTTGCTTACTAGGGTTAGTCTAGCATCTGCCCGTGAGATTTCCTCTAAACATTTTATTCCAAGCATACCAGCTGAGAGATGAGGATAAGTGAATCGTTCTTTTAGATAAATTAAAAAAATTAATTGCTTCTGTAATTTTTGAAAGATCATAATTCAGCTTTAATGGCATTTTGTTGGTTTATTTACATGAAGAAATGGTTATTAAAGTCCAAAATAAATGACACTGCAAACGCTTCTTTGATGATAATTTTTTGTTGATTTTTTCAATGAATAAACAATATTTCTTAATTTTTCAGAAAAATAGGTTAAAAACTTTGTTTGGAAACTAAGTTTTTAACTGAACTTTTAACAGCTGAATTCAAGTTTGGGGCCAAAACTTTAAAGGCCAAAAATCTTGAATTTTTAATTTTTTTATCAATAACCCTCTCATATATACTAAAGTTGCCTTCAGCAACACTACATTTTAACACATTTTTCTGGAGACCAGTAAAGTCATTCAAAATTTTTGAAATACCTGCAAACTTTTTTCCCTCCAAATAGTTAATACATTGACGTGTATTTTCCGAATTGCTAATTACAATTTATTTCAATATCTGATGCTTAATCTGGCTTAGTCAAACTGTGTAAAGATAAAGAGATGGTGGTAATTAGCAGTGATTGGGAAGGCCAAAATGGTCAATGGGAATATGGTGCAACTGTCAACATTTTTAATAGGCCATTTGAAAATGGATTGGCCATCAATATAAACTGAAGGGCCATTTTAAAAAATTACAAAATAACAAATATGAAAGACAAAAAACAAGTTTTTAATTACTGTATACAGGGAAATTTTCGCCCCTGTTTTATTTCCACCCTTTCACCCTTGTTGGAAGAGGGCAAATGTAAAGCAGGGCTTATTCAAAGTAAACAGTATTATATCTTCAACAAAAATCTTTCTGGGCGAATTTAAATGGGTCAAACTTGTTTCGAAATATGAAAGGGCGAAAACAACATGGGTCGAAAATAACCCTGTGTACAGTAACTAAATCTTATTTTATACATATGCAATGCAGCAAATTTATAGGAACTCATATAGAATATAATTTATCATTAATTTGTGTTAAATTAGGTCACAACTTGAAAAGAACACCACCCTACCCCACAATAAATGAAGTAATGTACCTAATGTAAGTGCTTCGTTTAACCGGAAGCAGATTTTGACAGGTTCAACCAATTAGATCTGTTGTTTTAAAATTGACTGCAAATAAAACAAAAGTAAAACAAGGACGAAAGTCTTTCGCAAAATATTTCCAAATAACATTGCTAAAAATTAAATGCGCACCTTGGTGACACCATTGATTGATCTAATGTGCCATTTTTCACTTCAATGCGACTATGGCGTGTGGCGAAAGCAATTCCCAATCACTGATTTAAAAATCTTCACTCTTTGAGAAAAGAGGAATTAAAACCATGACCCTAAAATATAATGATAATTAAGACCATTTTCAAAAGAGTTCCTTTGGGTATCTAAGGTGTGGAGTGACCTTTATTATTTTCGAGGATGAAAGATCCAGGTCATAGGGCTGAAACAATTCATCGAAATATCGATATTGTTCAATATAATTCCTCAATTCAATATTTGATTCACTTCCTCAATTTTCAATTCAATACATTTTTTTATTATCAAATTAGATTACCCCTTAAAATGATCAGCTTTGTCCTCATTTTGACAGTTTGACACTCATGAGAGAGAAAATTAAGACAGAGAAAGTTTTAGAGCAGGATATTTTTTTTTTTTTTTTTTTTTTTTTTATTGGCTCTTACATTTTACAAATTAAGATAAAATACATACATGTAACATTGCAGTGAGAATATATGTAAACTTTTCACATTTTCGACTTCTTCTAAAATAATAAGAACCACTGGGCTTATAAAAAGAAAAAAAAATTTAAACACAAACTTGCTACAAAGCATCCTTGGGTGAAGGGAAATTTAAATTGTTAAAATGAAGGCACATATCCCCTCGCAAGGGGAGATAATCAAGGAAAGACAAAAACAGGGTGGGATCATTAAAAAATCTTCTTCTCAAGAACCACTGGGCCAGTAAAGCTGAAACTTATGTGGAAGCATCCTGGTATAGTGTAAATTCTAAATTGTTCACATCATGACCCCCATAAAAAGGGCTATTGTGGGGCCACAATGGGGTATCAAAGTTTTACATAGAAATATATAGGAAAAATCTTTGAAAATCTTCTTCTCAAGAACCACTGGGCCAGAAAAGCTGAAACTTATGTGGAAGCATCCTGGTATAGTGTAGATTCTAAATTGTTCACATCACGACCCCCTGGGGAAGGGCGGGGCCACAATTGGGTATCAAAGTTTTAAATAGAAATATATAGGAAAAATCTTTGAAAATCTTCTTCTCAAGAACCGCTGGGCCAGAAAAGCTGAAACTTATGTGGAAGCATCCTGGAATAATGTAGATTCTAAATTGTTCAAATAGTAACCCCCAGGGGAAGGGCGGGGCCACAATGGGGAATCAAAGTTTTATATAGAAATATATAGGAAAAATCTTTGAAAATCTTCTTCTCAAGAACCACTGGGCCAGAAAAGCTGAAACTTATGTGGAAGCATCCTGATATAGTGTAGATTCTAAATTGTTCAAATCATGACCCCCGCGGGAAGGGCGGGGCCACAATGGGGTATCAAAGTTTTACATAGAAATATATAGGAAAAATCTTTGAAAATCTTCTTCTCAAGAACCACTGGGCAAGAAAAGCTGAAACTTATGTGGAAGCATTCTGATATAGTGTAGATTCTAAATTGTTCAAATCATGACCCCCGGGGGAAGGGCAGGGCCACAATGGGGT